CACAGACACGCAAAAAAAGTGCACCATTTCACAGAGAGGACAGCTGAACACTGAAGGATGTGTAGATTGTGTCGCAGTATGCATTCCATTTTGGAGACTGAAATGACACTCGCGATGCACCTCTCGTTTTGAGATAAATGCCTTCTAGCATTTTACGGAGGTGGGACTATGAATTTTAGTGAGACAAATTTGCGAGGAATACCACCTACGCGAATCTGAACAGAATATAATAGGCACTGGTAGCCCAGTGACGTGCTTGCTGCTCCACACATTTGAGAAAAACAATATCAAGAATAGCGTATGAACAAACATATTAGCTATCTGAACAACTTGTGTGCATAGCGGGTAAAAAAGGGAGGGGGGAAGCTGCTGCTGTATTGCCATGCTAATTTTGCGGTTAAGCATCAGCTGTGAACGCTCATGCATTATTATTGACATCACGAAGGAAGGAAAAAGGTGATTGACATTGTCATCTCGTCGCGGTGCTTTCTTAAAATACCTCTTAGAGGTCTCTGACCGAGCTCTAACGATGCTTGCCTGGGTATTTCGAAGGATGTGAATAAACAGATGGGTAATCTACCAAAGTTATTAAAAAAAAAAATGAAATAAACGCCTTTCCAAATAACGGTGAGTTGTCTACCGCGCGAGTTAATCTCACAATATTTTGCGGTAGTTTTGTTTACATCAGTTGCGGTTCTTACTGATGAGTTCGCTAAAAAGTTTAGACAAGCGCTCTGTCGTGAAAATTGCTGATTGCTGTGATCACTCAAATATGCAAAATTCGCGCAAATATTTTGTGGTGATGTTGACAACGATAGAGCGTCGAGAAGCATGGCTGCTTCAAGTACTTTTGTACGCTTCAAAACGCAATTTACAAAAATATTGTTCAATATATAACACTATTGAGAATTTTTGCTTTATAGTAATATTATTTTCATACTTTTTTTTTGCGCTTTACTGGCAATTGAGAAAGCTAATCGCCATCGTCATTACACAAACCAACTGACGGCAATAAAAACGCTCCTCCGCTAAGCGAAAAAAACCTAAGTTGTTTCTAATTGTTTAATATTTTTTGTGTTTATACTTAAAAGAACTTCTCACAGCGACAGAAACAGCAGTTTTGACGTAATTACTTTGCTATTTTGTGCGGATCTTTGCTCTACATATACGTCTCGCACGCTGTGTTCATCCGCACGCATGTGCTCCCGTCATGCCGGACGATTGTTTTCATGGCGTCGCGCACGTTTTGCACGTGGTGAGAAAACTTCCGTAGTTTGTTGTTGCCGCCGTTGCGACCTAAGTGAACTTTCCGAAATGTTAGTCCTCTTCGAGTCAGCGGCGGGATACGCCATCTTCAAGGTTCTGGATGAAAAGAAGCTTCAAAAGACTGATAACTTGTTCAAGGACTTCGAGACACCGGACAAGGCATCGCGCGTGGTGAAACTCAAGCACTTCGAAAAGTTTGAAGACATGACCGAGGCCTTGGCTGCCTGCGACGGCTGCCGTGGAAGGTAAAATGAGTAAAAGCTTGAAGAAAGCGCTGAAGAAGATTGTTGCCAAGGAAGCGCACGAAAGTCTCGCCGTCGCGGACGCCAAGCTGGGAAACGTCATCAAAGAAAAGTTCGACATCAGCTGCGTTGCCAACAGCTCCATCCAAGAGCTGATGCGTTGTATTCGATCCCAAGTGGACGGACTCATTACGGGACTCCCCAAGAAAGAGATGACCGCGATGGCATTGGGTTTGGCGCACAGTTTGTCCCGCTACAAGCTCAAGTTCAGCCCCGACAAGGTCGACACGATGATCATCCAAGCCGTCTCTCTCCTGGACGATTTGGACAAAGAACTGAACAATTACATCATGCGTTGCAAGGAATGGTATGGCTGGCACTTTCCGGAGCTCTCCAAAGTGGTCACGGACAACCTGCTGTACGTGCGCACCGTTCAGGCGGTAGGCCAGCGCACCAACGCCATCGAGACGGACCTGTCCGAGATACTTCCCGAGGACCAGGAGGCGAAGGTGAAGGAGCTCGCCGAAATGTCGATGGGCACCGAGGTGTCCGACGAAGACATCCGCAACATACTGCACCTGTGCCGCGAAATCACCGAGATGAGCAGCTATCGCGCCCAGCTGTTCGAGTACCTCAAGAACCGCATGATGGCCGTGGCGCCCAACCTGACCGTCCTAGTAGGCGAACTGGTCGGGGCGCGACTTATTTCGCACGCCGGTTCCCTACTCAACTTGGCCAAGCACCCGGCCTCCACCGTGCAGATACTGGGTGCCGAAAAGGCGCTCTTCCGCGCGCTCAAGACCAAGCACGACACGCCAAAGTACGGTCTCATCTATCACGCCCAGCTCGTTGGTCAGAGCGCGCAGAAGCTGAAGGGCAAGATGTCGCGTATGCTGGCCGCCAAGGCAGCCCTGGCGACCAGGGTCGACGCCCTGGGGGAGGACGGAACGGGGACCGAACTGGGAATCGAACACAGGGCCAAGCTGGAGACGCGCTTGCGAGTTCTCGAAGAGGGCGGAGGTAACCGGAGAATCAGCGGCACCGCTCGGGGCAAGGCGAGGCAGGACATGTACGAGCACAAGAGCTTCGTACGTCAGTACGAACCGGCCGAAGATTCCACGCTGCCCGCGGCGTCGGGTTTTGGCGCGAAGAGAAAGTTTAAGCAAGAGGAGGGTGAACAGGAGGCCGATGATGTGGCCGAGACCAAACCCAAGAAGAAAAAGCAGAAGGTGGCAGAAGAGGCGGCGGCCGAAGAGGCCGATGAAACCTGAGACGGTCACACCCAAGAAAAAGAAGAAGAAGGTGAAGAAGGAACCTGAAGAATTAGATACACCCGTACAAGTCAAGAGTGAGCCTGTTACACCCAAAAAGAAGAAGAAAAAGCATCAGCATTCTGAAGGTGATGATGAATAAATGTTAAACACTGTTTTTAAAATGGTCTGTTTTATTACAAGAATGTCTTGTGGTGCAGTCTTTGAGAAAAAGTTTCAGAGACACTGTGCATGAGAAGATTGGACCTTGTGTCGTGGGAAAGGAAAACTGCTCTTTTCAGTGTATTGGAATTCTGCACTAAAACCTTAAGTAACTTGTGCTTTTGAAATGTGCTGTTGTACAATTCCCTTAAAACTACTTGCATTAGGTACTTGGCAATAACACTAGGAAATGGTTCACAATAAGGCAATTTTGTCCATTTATTATATTTTAGTGAAGTACTTAAAAAATGCCTCATTTCTTCACCTGAAGGTAGCATGCTGATGTGCATAAATGATGAGAACAGGTTTGATTCAACAATACTAAGCGCACCATGTGGCACTGCAAGACTTCACAGATATGGTGAAAAGCTTCATTGCGATGTTTATTCAACTGAATTGCCTGCTGCTTTTGCTTGGGGCTTGTGTGGCTATAATAACTAACCCAGGTTAGTTATCATTATTATTAATGATATATCATTATATCATTCTATGTTCATGCATAGAGCATGAACATAGAACAAAAAGACTAAAAGAAAAAGTATAGAAGGGTCACAAGTGACATCATTCGCTTGGGGCGCTAGTGGCGTCTGTTGCCCTCTCTATGGTCCGAGGTGGCACAATTTTCGCTGGTGTGGCGCTTTATTGGTTTTGTTAAAATTGCGAGAGGGTGTGTGCGTGACAGTGTGCATCCCGCTGCAGTGTGTATGGATGAAATGCAATTTAATGCCTTGCGGAGGCCACCAAGATGGACGCGCTGCCATTCCGACGCTGGCGCCATTTGGGGGTGGGAGGCTCATTTTATGCACTATAAACTTGCATGTCACCGCAACTGGCCCAGTTTTGTAACTACAAAATAATTTTCCCAACTACAAACCAATTTTTTGCCAGCTGTGTGGACCATTTTATTCGGTAATTGGGAAAACGCCCCCACTCTATGCTACTGGGGAGAGTAGTGCGATTCCAGTTTTGAAAAGCTTGCAGAATTGTTGTAGTGCTTGCATTTCAAAAATTGAAAATGTAGGAAGTGCTTATAATACCTTGCCCAGAATTTATTTTTACAGCATAGTATTCAACTGTGCTGGCTGGCCCGCAGCGTGGATGACAGCTGAATGAAAATGAGGGACAAAGCGAGTTGGCTAGGAGCACGACTGATGCAGGTTTGGTTTAGCTGGCACATTGCGTGAGGACAGGTGGTACATAAGTTAGTGGTGCTGAATCATGGCCACTCTGTCGACACTAAATGCTTCGGCGCTCATGCCACAATGAAATATTGCGTTTATTCCACATACACACCCGGAAGATGTGCCCAAAGCATGGCACTTCACTCGACCTTAATACTGGCAAAGAAAATGCATTTGGATGCTCATACCTTGTGTAATACATCAACAAAACCTGACGCTAGTGGTAGCATATCGAATTGCAACAGTCCATTTTGCTATGAAGTGCACAAAGCTGCTTCCAGTAAGGCTTGTGAAGAGTAGCATAGTATTAGTATCATCTACGTATACCTGAATTCACTTATTGCTGGCCTATGAGATTACAATTAAACATCCTTACAAGCTACAAATACAACTACCACAACTTAGGAGTTGAGTAGCAGTTAGTAGACATGCCTCTTGATCGCACAAACACTTCTCAAAAAGCAAGAGCACACTGCATAAAAATTGCCTTTAATGACAATTGAGTGTACCTTCAGCTGAAAGCAGTGCTTTTTTGCTAAAGCTTAACTGAAGCTTGCTGCTGCACTTACAGTACAAGGGCACGCATATTTCTCTTAAAAGCATAAATATTTAGATGTTATTGCTTATATTTTGTAGAAATGTCAGATCATATAGCCTATACATTCAACACAATACTTTTGAGGCTCAAAGAACCTTTCGGCAGTTACATATGTTTGTTTAGTGCCATCTTGGCTTAGCCACAAAGCTTAATTGAAAACTAAGAAGCTGCACCAGGTGTTATACTGAGTGATGTGATCAACCATATTTGATCTTCCTAAAAAATTCGAGCAAAAACAGAGTAGGGGTAAGCACAAAAGTTTTAATAAGTAATTTTTAAAAAGTGAAATGTAGGTATTTTAAGATACGATACATCTTCATCATTGGCTTTTAAATCTAATCGTAAGGATAAGGAAATTATATAATTTATACAGCACTAAAGGAACATTATGTAGAAGACCAAGCCTTTCACTACAAAAATTTAGAATGATTTTATCAGCAGATAATGCTATCTTGCCAGATCATTCAGTAAAGGAACAAAGGTGGCACACACAGTACTGTGATGATATTGGCTAGATGGCATGAAACAAGTTGCATAAATGCATTGCTCTTGTTGCTGTGAGACAGAAATTCATTTGTATAATACACAGTGCCTTTAAAAGTAAGATGTGAATAAATAAAAAAAAAACACAGTATAAGGCATAGTACATTTACTACAATCGCCAAGAGCTCTTTAAAAGTACACAGTGCATTCTATAAATTGTTAGGACCGGTCACCAGAAAACATGAGGCACATTAGAATTGGGATAAAGTATCGCATTTTAATGTTCTACAATAACCTTTAGCAGTCGAAGATAGGGCTGTTTTCAGATCAACAAAAACAATGACTAGAGAAGTTTGGAACACTATACAAGTAGACTGTACATTGAGAAACCATCATGAGTATTGATCCCTGCTTGCAATGTGGAGGCTCTTCAGTGATGCTTGAGATGGCAACGGTGAAAATATGACAATGGAATTATGTGTACAAGTAGATGTCTTGCAAGCACTGTCATGAATCAGCTTCGTCGTCGCTCTTGCTTGCTTCAAACAGGCGGATCAATTCTTGGAAGCGGCTGGTCACCTGTAACATGAAACCGTCAGGAGATTCGAACACGGGCACCATGACTTCCAACATTTTTGTACGTCTCCACTACTGCATGCAACACGTAAGCTACATAACTTAATAACTCTTCACTTTAAGGCTAAACCTCAACAAATTGAAATCTCATCAAATTCAGTGACAATTTGAACTGCATGGCTGCCCTTGGCAAATTTGTATATACAGTAGACTCCTCTTAAGTAAAACCTGAAGGGACCAGGAAAATGTGTTTCTTTTAAGAGGAGTTTCAATTATTGAGAGATAAACAGGGGTATAATATTCAAGTATGTAACCAAACATATTAGTGGCAGTTGTTCTATTTAAGCAGCTATTCCATTTAATAAGAGAGTTTCGTTTAATAGGAGTCTACTGTATTACTTGAATAAAAAAAAATGGCATGAATTCAAAGTCAAGTTCGGTGAATTGTTAATTTGAAAAAAATTTATTTCTCTTACAGGGAAAAGTCACACTGTATTGCCTTTTGTTTCAACATGCACCCACAAATTTGGAAGATTGTGGCTGTAAATGATTCATATGTGGGGTTTAATGTCCCAAAACCACCATATGATTATGAGAGATGCCATAGTGGAGGGCTCCAAAAATTTCGACCACCTGGGGTTACTTTAACGTGCACCTAAATCTGAGCACACGGGCCTACAACATTTCCGCCTCCATCGGAAATGCAGCCGGGATTCGAATCCCGCGACCTGCGGGTCAGCAGCCGAGTGCCTTAGCCACTAGACCACCGCGGTGGGGCAAATTGTGACTGTACACACTGAGTACATGGGAAGATGGCACGCACTAAGAAACCAAACACCTCGACTTGCATCCGCCCGATGTGAACTGATAGGTAGACAGAACCGGCTGCCTATTAAAAATGGTAACAATGCTGACACACAGACAAAGAAAAAGAGCTCACAGGCGCTCTGTGTGTTCTTGTTTGTTGCCTGCATTTTTGCATTTACAGTTTTAGACCTGTCCCATTACCAGCTAACTCGGACCGAGACCCTAGTTTGTCTTCCTTAGCATTCAGCCACTATGACCATTGCTGTGCGGTGCATGTATGACGACACTGATTCACGCCAACCTGCACACGTCCTCCTCCTGCCCTACGTGCGAAGGGGCAGGAATTTCAGGTTTATGTGCAATTCGTTTTGTTTGCTTTGAATTTAAATCTGGTAATACCTAGGTGTGTGAATGCCAACAAAGGCAGCAACAAAGAGAAATGCACACAGAAACACACTCATTTTTTTCACAGCCTTACGGCATTTACAACCAAGCAGGTACTACCAACTCTCTCAGGAATTCTTGTGAGGAGTGCACGATAAGCATCCCTCGCAAGAATTCAGCAATATTTTCAATGAATGACGCCTCTTATAGCAGGGAGATGAAATAGCGTGTTCTATCCCAATTTAATTAAAGGGTTCTGTAAAGGTTTTCATGCTTTTGTACAGAAGTATTGAACCGATAGGGAAAGTCGTTACGATTGTGCACTGATTCATTTGAACTCTGCGTAGTGCGAGAAAAAATTCTTGACCAAGAGGTGTTGCTGGGGCAGACATCAGATCGTTAGCTCCAGTGATGCCAATGTTCAAAAATTTTTCATCTTTTCATGCTTCCATCCTCACGTGACATTCTGCTTTTCATTTTTTTGACGCTTCATTAACAGGGCTTTAAAAACGCGAATTGCTACATATTGTGGAGGTGCTGTTTTTAGCCACTTTTGCTCATGGCACATTGCATGGGCACCTGGCTATGCAGATCTCTACCATGAGTTGGCAGCGGCTGCAGAAGGCACACAGGGGTTGCCGATGTGAATCAGGGCTGCTCGGCGAAGTTGAGGAAAAGCAGTGCCAAGAAGGAAAGTAACAGCCGTTTGCCTAGTTGCCTTAATACAAGGTGCGTTATTTAGCCTTAATGATAACAATCTAAAAAAAAAAAACTGTTTCAAGGGCCCTCTAAGATGACAAATCTGCTATACCACCAATGATGAGTTTATTGTATTTGCTCAGAAACCTTTGACGAATTATCAAAACAACGTACCTGCTCAGGAGGTCGGCCCAATGTTTGCGATGCTCGCTGCAGTCCCTTTTCAGTGCCCAACTGTTGACACGCTTGCAACAGAACCTTGTCATCTTCCCTGCGTTTGCAAAAAGATGCTTGCTTTGGGGAACAGAGGTAATCTGGCACTCAAAAGCAACTAAACTAGAGCTGGGCGAACAGCAAATAATTTTTGTGCAAAGTGCATTCGAATATTGAAATTTAAGTTAAATCGACTCGAATATTTCTTGAATATTTATTTAATACTTCAAAGCGATAATTACAAAAAAAAGTTGTAGAGGATTCACATGCTTAGGAGACAGCAACATGAAAGTGTTTCTTTTGGCTAGGTCGGTAAAGCAATGGAGAGGTGGTGTTTCATACTATCTTGTCTTTTGAAGAATGAGGCAACGTAGAGGCCAAATTGTATTTATGTACATTATTAGGTGCAATCAAAGTATTGCCGACAACACTTTACACGTGAAAGGCAAAGATTCTATTTTCTCAGCCAGTCCTCCTCTTTCAACTTCTGTGGAGGTCCAACTGATGTGGCTGAACAAGGGTGTGCTCCCTTGAAGTCTGCAGTTCTGAACCTAAATCTAAATCCGCCTTGTAGACGCCAATATATAAAAATATCTGAAATTCTAGATGCTAAAAATCTTCGGGGTCCTGATTTTTCTGACTTCCCGCCCATATTTCAGGAACAAAACATGGCATTCATTGAAACTTTACTTCCGCTGCATCTAACATCTCCATGTTAGAACCAATGTTAAACGATACATTTGCAGTCCCAGCAGAGTATGAAAGGCAGCATTGCTGTAATGTGAAAGTGTGATGGAAAAAAAAATTTAGTTTGTTTGTGCACATAAGAAGCCTAAAGTATACCAGCAGGTTCACAACTTTGCAATGCTCTCAAAGGGCCAGAAACAGGCTCTGACATTTTTTTAAAGACCTCAAACAAGCTCGCTAATTCATACAGTAGACTACGGCAATCACATTTTGTGATTATTGCAGAAATGCGCGTTGTGCCGACCCTGCATTTTGAAGAACTGTTCCCATGCTTCTTTCCGACGGCAGTTCAATCTTCCTCATATGTGCAGTGAAAAAATCTTGCCTATGGCCAACATTTTGCATCGCTGGGTTTGTCGATTGCTCCTTTGCACTACGAAACAGTGCCTTGGCCCTGCGATGATACAGTTTTGGCTGCGCACTCCCGCATCATCCACATTTTCACTTTGCTGTGCTTCCCTCTGCCGTCTTGTAACGCCCAATACTAACGGATATGCGGTATTGCCAGAATGAAAACCTCCGAGATGAACAGGTGCCTTGGTACTTTAGCACCAGGGGTAAATGTATGCCTTGCCAGTCCCCTTACTTCTCGCACGGCGCTTCCTCTCCGAGCCGCTATGGCACATGACACGTGGGTGAAGCCTTGCTTAGTTACCGGCTGCACACTAATGATGTATTCGTGACATCCTGATACGTTGACTGAGTGGGTGCAGTTGCAACAAATGTCATACCTACGCCTCTCCTTTGCTAGAAAAAGGTGGGAACGATAAGTGAGAAACTGAGTTCTAAACCTTGTAACCTTTTCACCACATCACTCATTTGCAAATTTTTTGCAGTGTCACTTTTGAATTGTAGAAGTGCTTTAGTTATTTTTCTATTTCAAGTTTTGTACCGCGAGGTTATATACTGGTTCTTTGAGGTGTGTTGAGCATCATTACACTTAGCAACAACAGGTGGCAGAACAAGCATAAGAAGTTTTGAAAAACGATATATATTCTACATGTAAAAAAAAAGAACCAGGACTAAGAAGGCAACCAACACACACACACACCCAATGCACAATAATTAAGTATTATGCTGAGGTATTCATACAGGCTACCTTGCCAATAAGAAACCTCCAAATGCTGAAATGTACATAACAGTGGGGAAATTGACAAGTGCCAAGTCAGAAAAAGTGCATTATGTTACATATAGAGAAGAATATTGAGTGTGTGTGCTACACACAAAAAGCCTTTGTCAACACCAGCAAAAGGGTTTCACGTACCTTTTCCAGGTAATGCTCTGGCCTTCTCTGTTGTTCATTTTGTCTCCATCTTTTCCAAGAGCAGACTTGGAAGCCTGAATCAGACAAGTAGTGATTATCAGATTTGAGTCTAATGCACTGTATATAGGTACACTTTATGTCCTTACTGATGTAGCGCTAGGCACGTAGACACACAGAACAATAAGCAAAGGCAGCAAGAAAGCCATTGTAAAAAAGGTGAAATTAGAATGAAACGTAAGAGCTGCACACAGGTGTATTTATTTGGTTGTTAACAGTGATGAACCTAGGCAACTGTGAACAAGTTATAGTCATGTTTTTCAGTGTATAAAATGCATCCCCGTTTTTTAACAACTATCGTGGAAAAAAAATGATAAGACTTTTAACTCCGTCAACGTGATGATACAGCATTGTGCGCATGCCAAGAATGTTCGTAGTGAAATGATGTAGTCTCGCACAGCACTTGCTATGAATGACTGGACATCGATAAGCAGCAGTATAAAACTCGTATGTAAACTTTATAAGAAATGCTGTCTCAAGGTGTATAAAATATGTTTATTAACTCCAGTTCACTCAAGGTCATTTAAAGCCACATCATCCGTAAATGTAGCATTTACGCATTATCTGACCTTTTGTGATAGGATGAAATGACGCGCTTCAATTTGCAGCATTGCTGAGTTGCAATAGTCGGCCTCTGAGTAATTCTTACTCGGCTTTGTAAGCACCTTGAAATACACAGAAACTAACGATACTGAAATAGCACTTCTATTTTTTTTTAAGAAGCAGATTGTGAACATTACAATATAGCAATGAAATTTCGCAGCCTGCATGATGATAGTGGCCTTTATTGCGGCTGTAATCTTCGCAGATGACACAGTGCGTGAACTGTAACTAGCGGACATCTGAGGCCAGGGTCGCCCCGTTGTTATGAGAAGGTTAAATTACTTTTTCTAAATGTTGCCTCGCACTGTTTATTGTACTTGAAAATAAAATATGCATGTAGTGCTTGCAGAAAAGTACACAACCTGTTGAATATATAAAATGGACCTCCGAATTCGGTACAAAAAAAAGTGCTCGTTAAACACAGTAAAATATGGCATGTACTACAGTAGACTCTAGATAATTCAATGTTTCAATTAATTCAAATAAATCTTAAATTTTTTGTCAGCCTGCTGTGCTTTCAATGTATTTTAAAGCTGCCTAATTCAAACTGGCTCACAGTACAAATTCGATTAATTCAAACTGTTTGCTTGACCATGCCAAAAAAATATTTGCCGGTTTTGTTGCTTCTAGCTGAACATTCGTGTTTTCATGTCACTAACACTCCTGAATAAAGTTGATCGCCTGCCTACAAGGGAGCCCAACAAGCCAGACCATGCACACCAATCATCGCGTGCTGGCCAAGGAAGGAAAAAAGAAAGCTTAGACACACTTAAGCTTCGCCTTCAAGACTAGAATGTGATAGCGTAATCAGGCCTCGTGCGCAGTGGCTTTAACAGAGGTGCGAGAAAAGGAACATTTGCGAGTTTCCACTGGCCGTTTCAAGCTATCTCGGAATGTATACTGGATGTACAGTTGCTAGGTGCCGCAATTATTCCTTTTGAAAATAGGCGAACTACCCACTGGTTATTCCCAAGGTGCCGCATGCACACTTGGTAATGTGTGGGCAGCTGTAAACCACCCCCTCGTGCAATTAATTTGTTTTGATGCCTGGTACGATTCTACGACTCTGCCACACAATATTACACATGTTAAGGAGACTCCACCCATCACATGACATTCTTACAGCTTTTTCTTAAATAGCAGTAGTAAGCATTGTCGTGACTCTGTAGTAAATGCCTGCCTGCCACGCAAGAGGCCCGGTTTCAGTTCTCACTTGAATTGAAGGTTTTTATTATTTATTTATTTTCACCTATCTCAAACGTTTGCCCGCTGACAACACCGATTTTTCGCTGACTACTAATGCCACCGACACTGAAATTTTCATGAAACAAACTTTTTAACATTCTCGCGTTAAAATGAAGCGGCCTTACCTTCATCTACCGCATGCTGAACGCTTCTTAAAGCCATTTTCGCCACAGTACAACAATGTCATGCGGAAAGCGTCCTAAAAATGGGACGCGGCTGTCAACTGTCACGGGATAGAGCACATTTCGTTCTTAGTTACACTCATGTGCACACTTTGTGCACTAACGAGTACCAATATGATCGCTTACAAACTTTACTGCAAAGCCGTGTGATGTGCTCTGTATTTATGAGAACTTCTGATGATACAAACTAAATCCGAAGGCCTCTCAAGTTCGGGTAATCGAGACTATACAGGAGTCCATTCTCTCAGGTTTTCAAAAGGCCTTGTTCAGGAACACAGAGGATGAATAATAATAATAGTAATAATAATAATAATAATAATAATAATAATAATAATAATAATAATAATAATGGTACGTAAAGTAGAAGACTCTGCACACCAAGCAAGAACGACAAGGAAAGCTAGATATTCACATTTAATAAAACGTTTTATTCACATAATTTCATCGCACCGAAAAAATCTGTTTTGAGGGAATCAGTGCCCTCGAACAATTCTGACGAATATAACACACAACATACGCTCATGATTCTAATCGTCAAATACAGTGTTACTCCAAAAAAAAAAAGACATTACACCCATTAAGAGATAGAATAACAATTTCTAGCTCAATTCTCCATTTTGCAATTTGAGTTCTGCAGGGGAGTATGTAGCTGTATCACACTACCATAGCATAATGTGAATATGCGAAGCGCAGTTCCTTGGTGCATGAACTGGAAGCTAGGATATGTACAGACAAACAGTCATCAAGTCACACAGTGATCAGTACATGATATTCCGGTACTACCTCCGCGTGCTTCTCCGACATCTGGCTCTCTGAAGTGTTACTGTCCATTTCGGGAGACTGGGGTCGGCCTATGGTCACCCGCGCTGGTCGGAGAACTTTTCCGGTCTGTAGGAATACACGGCCATCCAGGAACTGCGAGATTCACAATTTGCCAGTGTCGCACATTCAATAGCACTTTATCGATAATGCAATATGGTTGGCCGTTGCACTAGCACAGCTGGTGTCTCATCAATTTTTCTTTAAAAAAAAGAGAGAGAGAGAGATAAGGAAGGAATGTTGTAAGTTCGGTTCAAGAGACGACATGTTAGTGATCTTTGTGTGGCTAAAGGGTAGTGACGTGAAAACAGAAAGTGGGTCGGCATTCCCAACTTCGCTATCGAAGCCCTGAATCTTAGACCAGGGAATAGATGAGACAAATGCTCAGTCACTGTGCCACTGACACATAGATGTGACCACACATATGAGTTGAAGTTTTTATGTAACTGCAGACTGCCTTTCTCATATCTAAGACAACATAATGTAACAGAGAGGACTGACAGACCTGTGTGGTTTATTGTGTTGGGGAGTGAACATAAATTAATAAATCTTCCCAATTAAAGATGCTTGATTATAAAAATGTTTGCTCCCCATACCCCATCGTAACTATATATTCTAAAACTGGAAGGAGCACTGGTAGTTTCGGATCTTTTTCCATCAAATAATAATAATAATAATAATAATAATAATAATAATAATAATAATAATAATAATAATAATAATAAAATGGTATGTTTTAAAGGTGCACTCTACATAATATTTTTGGAAAGTATTGGTTGACACACTTGCCAACCGAAATGCCATACTGGTACTTCAATGTTGCCAAAAAATTATGAGCCTAAATTTTCACATTTTAATTAATGTGATAAGAAGTTGATGGTCAATGTACAAGTTCTAACGCCATTTCTGCTACTTGCGTCTAGGCACCATCACACGTATAACCTACTTCCACTAACTGCTTAGACATGCATTCCAGAATTCATCACTTTTTTTTTTTTTCCTCATTAATTCTTGAGCGGAATAATTTGCCTTCAGATGTATTTCATGCAGACAACTCTAAACAAGCTTCGCTCAGCACATATGAGCTTTGGCGGAGCGTGGGTTTTTATCCTTTGAGCTTGCACGCACTTGCTAAATTTACATTCTGTAGGCTGGGTTGCAAAATTACAGTTATTTGCTTCCTAATGATCAAATTTGCTTTTTTGCATGTGCCACCGTGGCAGTATGTCGCTTAAAAACTCACATGTGCCTCCAGTAAATTGACATTTTTTTTACGGTTTTATTTTGGTCACCTGTTGAGGGTTTTCCTCTTTGGTATATGGACATTTTAACTTCCACCAGTTCTTGGTATTTTTGAAAAGGTGGGGGAAACATCACAGCATTGCAAATACAATACATAAAAAACACAAGTGTCAGGTGCATTCACTTGGTCACTATGGTATATTACATTAAGAGGAGACAGTTCCAAGCAGTGAGAGTACAGTCAACTATTTTAGTAAACAACCAATTACTAATTCACTAACGGTAAGTGCAAGTGCGGTTAGTCCAGGACATGGTGATGAGAAGCGTACCTTGATGCCACAACGGGTGCAGTGTCGTGTACGGCTGAGAAAACGCGGGTCGGTGCTGCGCTGGTGGCAGGTGCAGGGGCACTGTGGTGTGCCAGGGGTGTCCCTAGGTGGCGACAGTGTCAACTCCTCGCAACTGCTGCCGGCGCCGCCTGGGCTGCCTGCTGCCCCCTCTTCCTCGTCTTCCTCCTCTTCCTCTTCGGGCAAAGTCACTTCCTCAAAATCCTCCATCAGGCTGCGACCAGGCCACAGACACGAACGTTTGAGTGTGACACAATCTAAATGCGTCACTGCAGCAGCTTTGTTCAGTGCCAACACTTAGCAACTAGCTTAGGCTGATTATTCTTTCCAAATTTCATTAATTTAGTGTTAAAATACAAGGGAGAAAAAAGAAAGAGAAAAAAAGAAAGAGGAGGAGAAGGATAAGTTTGTCACTTCTCTCATTTTCGTGTCTTTTCTGGCTTGCCAAGAATCTTCTCACAGTAATAATTGAATTTATTCAGGTATAGGAGAAGCAAAACTGACCAGTAAGAGAAATTCAGCTGCATGTCTATATCGACATACAAAGATATTTGCACTTGCTACTGGCCATTTCTGTCACAAGTGCTCGGATGCCCAGGAAGCAAAAATGAAGGTAACATCGCATACGGGCAGAAGTACAGCCTCTACATGGAACAGTTTTCATTGCTTGCAAGGGGCAGCCATCTTTTGTGGGGCACTGTGGGCCAGGTAGAATGAACGACCAAAACAACATTCAGTCTGTCCTTATTGCATGATGGCCAGCGGTGCTCGCTTGCATCTTAACCAAACCAAACCCAGGTCATTCCACGCCAAGCGTCCCAGCCATTCTGCTGACCATCTTAAACATATTTGAAAAAAAAAAAAAAAAATGCTGACTTGCTGCATTGAAAACAGTGAACTGCTACAATATTCCGGAGAGAAAAAATTTTTGGTCACAAGGATGCCTTCTGAACGAACTTCCTGGAATATTGTTGGGTGTTGTTTGTGGAAAAATTTATTTTAAAAGTACCGCTCGTTCTTTCTATACCAAACTTGGTCTACATGTTAAGTAAAGGTGCTTGTAAAGTGTTGGAAGCTCAGTAATATTAGTGCAATTTTTCTGGCTCATAGTATGCCTCCAAGAATTTAGCCAAAATGTGTTATGTTTGTGTTTTTTCTATTGCAATATTCCACTTTGTATGAATATGCGAGTAGTGAATACTTACTCCACAGAAGGCATATTTTGAGAAAAAAAAAATAATTTTAGATCTCTCAAGCTGCTAAACTTTACGAGAAAAAATAAGAAATTTCGCAAAACCGTCATTTTTTTTTCATACTGAGATGCAATTTGCCCTATATGATGGCCCAACTAAAAATCACTTTTATACCTAAATCAAAAGCAAATAAGCAGTTCTTTTATATGGCAAATCTTATCATCTCTTAAGGAAGAAAATAATTTTAAATTTGCTATATGAAAAGAACTGTTTATTTGCTTTTGGTTTAAGTATAAAGGTAATTTTTAGTTGGACCACTACGTGGTGCCAATTGCATCTTAATATGAATCAAAATGACAATTTTGTAAAATTTGAGAATTTTCTCGTGTAAAGTTTAGTAGCTTGAAAGGTCTAAAAATACTTTTCCTCAAAATATACCTTCTGTGGAGTAAGTATTCACTACTCAGATATTCATACAAAGTGCAATATTGCAATAGAAAAAATACAAACAAATCATTTTGGCTAAATTCTTGGAGGCATACTATGTGCCAGAAAAATTGCACTAACATTACTGAGCTTCAAACACCTTACAGAAGAACCTTTACTTAACATGTATACCAAATTTGGTATAGAAAGAAGGAGCGGTAGTTATAAAATAAATTTTTTTGCAAACAACACCTAAACGACATTCTGGGAAGTTCAGAAGGCAGCCATGTGACAAAAAAATTCTTTCTCTCTGTTATGCGGCAATTATGCGTACTTCGAGCATGTCCTGTTGGGCGGTGTCTTTGCCGGTCCCCTTTTGCCAACAAAAGGAAATGAACAAGCTGAGTAAGGCCCAGGACCTCACCTCTCAATTCCTTGCCGTCCAGAGGGCCCACGCGAGGGCGGTCAAGTTTAACTTGATTGTCCCCGAGTGGGCCTGACCAGGTGACGCTGAGTTAACTTGCATCTATTGTGGACCTAATAAAGTTATTTCACTCACTCTCAGAAATATTTTACCGTTTCATTGTTTTCGATGCAGTAAATCAGCACGTCTTTCAAATACGTATGAGATGGTCGCCAAACAAAATGGCTGAGTCGTTTGGCATGACCCCCCCCCCCTCCCCCGCAGCTTTCTATACTGGCCACGCTAAACAGACACTATTGGCTGTCCAGATTATGTGTGCTCACTTGAAATGTAGGTGCGAGAGCAAAAATAATCTGGCCTATAGGAGAGACTGGAGTGGTGAGGAATCGGTTTTCACTTTTTCTGGGTGCAACAGTTCCACGCATCGATGAAGTTGAGTAAGGAGACAATCTAGTATTTTTACAAAAATTCCTTCAATTATTACTAGCAATGACCTTTAGCAGTCAAGCTTATGGACTCATCTTCAAAACTGCATATAAACACAGCACCCTAGGACCAATATATATATACTGATTTCACAGTTCCAATGAATATCGCTGCTCACCTGTCAGGGACACCCTGACTTGGTAGTAGCTGCTGCAGCTCGTCTATGAGGTGGCTCTGCCCACGAAGTAGTGGTTGAAGTACAGAAAAGATGGTTTCGGCTGTCAACTCGGACTGACGCTGCAGCTGGTGCAGGGAGCGCATCAGTCGCTGCAGTTGCTGGGGTTGCTGACCCAAGTGAACCTGCCAGAAAAAGTGGAAAGATGCATAGCATACCTTTATTCCAAGGCCGCTGAAATACAACCCTAAGAAAGAGACAGTGCCAATATGTTGAGCTCTGCATTTCCAGCAATTATTCTTCATTAGCCTGTAATTAAACCCCTTTGTTCCAAGATTAGTCATGTTTAATTTCTGTATAAGAAATAATCAACTGTCGACCACAATATATCTGGGCACTTTGTTATCAGTTGTATCCATTTCGAGCCAACGAAAATTATAATTTTGGCGTGCCTTTCGGAACGCAGCATGTCCAACAACTTGTTGAACATAGCAGTGTTTTCAACCAAGTAATCTTTGACAAAAATGTGCAGCACAATGAAGTTAAATGAGCGCTAGTAGTCCCCTCAGCAAGCAAGTACACATGTACTAGTTGCGTTTCAAGCCGACTGAAGTAACAAGCGTGTGACAACCCTCTACGGTTGATGGGTTAAAGTGTACAAACCACCTCTGAGCGGGATATAATGCGTGTTCAGTACATAGCTATACAAGAGAAGCCTATGATGCACTGTGGTGGCATCATCTTAAAGACATTTTGATTTTGTTGCTGCATAACCACTTTTGCCACAAGTGATTGCTATTCTACCAGCTGTTTCTTGATTTATTTTCAAAGTATGGTATCGTGATCACTGACATACTGAAGGAAGCTGCCTTAAGATTATTTGATGTCTGTATAGGTAAGAGGAAGGCAGCATGATCCCAATCTTGCTCTGTAAATTATGGTGACCAATGCAGTCACACCTCACTAATTCAGAAAATCTGATGTACTTTCGTCTCGTACTTTGGCTCAAGCAAACATATAAATTAATTGACAGTATCAAGCTCTTATTATTCAGATTATGCTATACAAAACAAAAATACTCTATTTAAAATTTCCACCCACACTAAACTGCCTCTAATTTCGTTAGCTTTTGTATTTGGGTGCAGCAGCCCTATGTGCCTTTTTCAGTAAACCAAACCCCTCTGAAGTGGCTACTCTGCTGTTTGATATTTTCCTAGTTAGCTCATATTATGGAGCAGCTGCTGTGGGGATGTTTTGGTTTTGGGTTTGTTTAATTTATTCCTAATTGTGAACGTTTCAAAACTGTGACGTTAGCTTTCTCCAGAATTGCTAAACCTAATTATTCAGTGGCACATGATACTGATACCTGATAGGCAGGCTTCAATAAATGTTTCATAAAGTACCTCTAGTTTCCGAAGGAAGAGTTGTATCTTTCTGAAGTTGAGATACTGCAACAGCTTGCCGCACTGCAAAGCTTGCTCTGGCAGTAGAAATCCCACAAAATCGTCTACCAAGTCCTGATGGTCATGGAGAAGTTCTTCGATGTTCTTGTACAGCTGTCAAAAGAATATAGTCAGGAGAAAAGCACAGATAAGTAGAAGCGAAATGCAAAGCTGAGAACTTGCACTGAGAAGTCTACACAATATAAAAATGTACGCTAATGGTTAGTATGCACACTGACCAAACAAAATAAACGAGATAGAACTGCCACATGCATCGAACTGTGTTATGCTGGTGCCACTATCGTTGATCCTTGTGTCGCTTTACTTACAACGATCACCACAGAAAGTGAATGACAGCATCAATTGTTATTAGCATGCGCAAGAGCCGCTTTTCAATGTGAGGAAAGATGCGAAGTACTAAAATGTCTGTGTGAAATACTACATCTTTGTAACCCACAAAAACTGAAGGGAAATAAAGGGAGGTCTTTGTGGTCACATAACTTTGGTTGCAAAATAAAAGTGCACAAGTTCCAGGTTTTTTCCTTAATATGTGCCCACTGAGGCCTGTGATGTTATGGTCTGACATACTTCCATCCAACAAGGCAGTGCCATACAACTGCTATAAAAAGGCACAGAAAAAAAATGCACCTTTTTAGCTTGAATATTGCTCCAAAACATCATAAGACTGGAACTATAAGACAGCTAAAAAGATTATGACGCAATGGTACACATAACTACCAGTACCCTATTTATAAAAAGCTCCTTGTATAAAATCGGGAATCAGGACTGAATTCATGCAAAAACTAAAGTGCACAGGCTCGGGCTGTTTGCGATGCACTAATCTCATGCAACAGTGCAAAACTAGATGCAAGAGCAACACAAGGAACAGCAAGAGCGGTGCTGTGGTTTTTTGATACCACAGCTTGCACACCTTTGAAACAGACACAAGGGAACTACTAGCAAAGAAAGACGTGACTATAAGTGCCCATTTTGTACAAAAACTAAACATTCTCATCAGATAGCGCAACAAATTGCTTGCTAATGCCTCTGCAATGTTTGCCTACATTATTGGCACAGACTAAGATATTAGGTGTCCACTAAGTTGATGTTTTCATGCTTGTTTTCCCAATAGTTTTTCCCATGCTTTGTTTTGCACTACTGCTGCATACATCATTGCTGCATACGCACTGCTGTACAGTACTCAGAGCCGGATGAAGTTCAAAGTAGGCTAGTCCATCTTACCTCAACAGGATTGACCTGGTCACAGTGGGCCGTCTTCATCAGGTCAATAAATTTCTTGTGACGAGCTTCGTCATCTTTCAAAGCCTCTTGCACTCGATTCAGGTACTGCTGCGTGAATTGATTTTCCCGCTCGTCCTTCTGAGGAATGCAAAAGAGAGACAACACAACTGAAGAAAAACAGGGGGGGACTTGATTTTAGTGACAAGAAGATTTATGAAAATGCTCGATTGAGAGCATAAAATTGGTGTAATTACAAAAAATGAAAGACAATTTAAGATGGTCGCCGGAACATTAGCATTGGTGGCGACATGATTGGTTGTGAGCGAAAAATTATTGTGCGTGAGTGAAAATTCGAGAGATGCACACAAATAATTAATGAAATATTCGAAGTCAGTCGAAGCCAGGCATGCTGGGTAACAATCAGGGGTTTTCCTGAAGAACCACATGAAAGAGAGAGAGAAAGGGGGAGGGGCTATAAGAATGCTAAGTAGTAAGAGGAGTCTACTTCACACATGTAATATGGCGTAGCATAACTGTAGAATTGCACCAGGCGTCAGACCACGTGACCAGCACAGTGAGTGGGCAGCTTAAGCTACCCACACATTACGATGTGTGCAACTGGATGCACAGTGCGTGCTTTGTTAGTTTGCAAACGGAAGAATTATGCAATTGTGGGCACTTGGCAACTGTAATTGCAGTAGGAATTCCAGAAAAGTTTGAAATGGCCAGTGTTACATGCACAAATGTTTGTTTTATTGTGGCACGGTTGAAGGCCCGGGGCCAGGCTATGCTATCCTGCTCTACTCTTAACAGAGGGTGAAGCTCAAGCATGCAGGTTCACGCTTCAGAAACCTTAACAACCAGGAAACAAGTTTTGTCTTTTAAATAGAATGCTAAAGGTAGCCAGCAAGTTAGAATGCTATAAAACACAATATTAAAATTAACAAAAATGTAAGAATTTTATACCTTTTGAAGCATTACCTTGGTGTGTTCATATGGGAGGCAAACAAGTGAGGAGAGGAGACAAAGTTAGGAGGCCGATGAAATTAAAAAGATCGCAGGTATAATGTGGCAGCACAAAGCACAAAACCAGGCTAAATGGAGAATCATGGGAGAGGCCTTTGCCCTGCAGTGGGCATAGTCAGGCTGCTGCTGATGATGATGAAAGCATTATACACACATATGCATTAACAGATTAACTTTGTAAACACGTAAACGCTTTGAGCAAGCTGAGCTGATCTAACATGAGTTAAACATTATTGTACTACAGTAGTATTTAGATGCAATATATCACCAATGTGTGATCATTCTACATAATTTTTAGAACAATCTTTTCGCAATAGTACAAGAGTGCACTGGTGCTTACTGTGCAGTGCTGATTTTAGTAAAGGGGTTGTGATCCTTGAAGTGTGATGAGCCCAATAAGATGGGAACAGCAAGTGCTGAGAATCATTTTTTTAAAATATATAATGAAGCTCATGCCACCAGTTCTCGATGGCACGTTCTGAAAACTTCTGCCAGGTTCTGAAAAACTTTCACGTGCAATGTGTATGTGATGAGCACTTCACACAGCCTATCAAGCTCGAATGAGTCAATGAGAGGAACCAACAGAGGTACCCGTAATATGTGGGGTTTAACGTCCCAAAACCACCATATGACACTAAACACCAATCTACAGCACAGTCAGAAATATCTTAAAAATGTTGAAGGGCCCTTTTGAAAAAAAAAAAAAAAACCACAGTATCCATAGAGCATGCTTTCCAGTACACCCATTATTGCTGCCCACCCACCAAGGGATCAGAGTCTACAAGGCCAGGAACAAGCAGGGGCAACGTGGCCTCCGCGTCCTTCTGCTGCCGCGAACGCTTGCGACTCAGGGCCTGCTTGCGGCGGAGGATCGTGCTGCTCGCTGCCATCAAAGCGGCCAGGTCTCCTTCGTTGTCCTCGGCTTCCTCCGAGGCAGCTGCGGGCAACGTCTCTTTGCGTGGAGCTCGCGCCGATGTGTCAGCGGGCTGCGAGACTGCATCAGCTGACGATGTCCTTTCAGGCAAGGCACTGCTGTTTTGCACCTGCCAGCCGGTGGAAACAACCTTAATCTGACTGCGTTAAACCCACGCGATTCGAATGTTCTGAATGGCCCCCACATTTTTGTGAACGTTACCTATAAAGTCACGAATCTTTGACACTAGTGAGTTCTTTCAAAGGGGCCCTAGAACATTTGTTTCAGTGTGTGGCACTAAACATAAATTTGCAGCTGACCGTTATGATCACTAATGATCGTGCCAAACGCAAACGCAATAATTCATCTCAGATGGCTAACACCCTATTTGTAGAGAAAGTACACAAAATGCAGTCTCTGCTGGCTACATTTCTTCAGATGACCCAACTAATCAGTGCATCTAAGATGAGCAGGAATGTACATGGCAATGTTTCTTTCATGCGAGGTGCCCTGGATGAATGAATGATGTATGGGAAGGGGTAGCTTTACGACTTATACTGTCATTGAGAAAGGGGGTGGGGGGTGGAAAGTATAGCTAAATAAGAATGATAAGCCTTCACCAGCTCCAAAAGTGTAATGAAGAATTTCAGTTTTGCCTTTATGATCTCGAACAGTGATTGTCCACTCAATCTGTGCTCTGTGCTTTACTGGAAACAGCATCATCACTGCAGTCTTGCATCAGCATTCTTCAGTACATTTTGTGCCTGTACCAAATGCAACTGTCATGATCTGCTGTAAAATCATCTATGTATAAATAGCTTGAGGAGCCCTTTGTTATTTGTTATGATGAGAGACAGCTAAGCTTGATGTGCACATATCTCTGGGCTATGTTCTAGCGTGTGGTGAAACGAAGAAGGAGTGTTAAGAGCACACTAGGTGTAAATGCAGTGTTAACTACACCACATCAATTGCCGTCGAATGTATACTTCTATTAAGCTGAGCCAAACTTGCTGAATGCTGTTGTGACAAGTAAAGAAAGAAAAAAAAAAAAACATTTTGGTATTGGAACCACATATTGGTCCAGTTTTAATTGGAATAGGTGACCGGTAAAATGGGAAATCGCAGAGAACTGTGGGATACGACGGCTTCCGGTTCGACGCACCACGCGGGTCAGCAGCGGCACGCGCGCATTTCTGTACTGCTCTATTGAAAAAAAGCACCTGGCCGTGCAATGTCTGAGCTTTAGTAGTTTTTTTTTTTTGCCAACCGTGACTGTGACGATGACAAGCTACGAAAGCCGTGAACGGTCCGAAAACTTTTTTGTCACACTAAAATGATCTGCAATGCTTTTATGCTGCTTGGGGGTGCTGTCAGTTTGGCTAGCAGATCACGCGATACATAAAACAGTTTTTCTTGTATGATACGGTAGTGCAGATAAAAAGCTACCATTTTAAAGACCTCAGGGGATGGAAATGACTGTAGCAGTATGCTAAGAGTTCATTTCGGGATTGCTGCTTCGGCGGACATCGTCAATCGATCGGCATGAAGCGCAACACTTATTGAGCGCGTTGAGATATATGTATATATATTTTTTAGTCTTCAGCGCGCTATAACATGCATTTCTTAGGCGAAGCCAGATGCTTATTTGAACGCTGATCTTGGCCACCGAATTTTATCCCCCTTTATATCTCCCCAATACCTCAAAATAACAAACAGCGATTGTAAAATGTTACTTGCGTCTGTAAAAACAATGCCCAGCTTCGTGCCAGCCACTATCACCATCATCATCATAACGCCCTCATATTTTTATATTTTCCTGGCCTATTATGTGCGATAGCCCTATTGCCATTGTCATTGCCCGCTGCCGGTTTTTCGGGTCAGGTTTTGCCCTGTTGCCTTTGTTTTCGTCGGGCAGCTTCAACTGCACGCTTGCTACATAGCTGCATTCTAGCCTTTTGGTTGGTGGTTGAACGTTCAAGCTGAGCCCCTGAAGCAGCACGAAAGAAATGCTACGACAGTGAAAAATGCGACGCGAGTGTCCTGTGGGATGAAGTTGTCAATGATTACCCATGCATGCTCGACTAATGCTCAAACACTATACACAGTACGACGGCAAAGCATGCACGTGAGCACAGCTGAAGACCAATATGATCCCTACGATTTGTCGTGATAAGGAAACGGTGACAAGTGCGAAGACGACGTTGAAACAGTGTGCGCAAACCAACAAGAAGAATCGGTATTTATAGCCGATGCTTTGCAGTGCAAAAGAAGGACGTGCACGCTTAAGAGATAGTCTTTCAGCTGTCGAGCTGCCCCCCCCCCCCCCCCCCGCACACACATCAGAATAGATCGCACTCTTCCTGAAATAAATGTGCACTGGTTTCATAATATTGCGGGTTTGTTTTTTGTGCTTTGTTAGAGCATAACAAGACTGCGAATGCGACCAGCACAGGTAGGTGACTTACGCGTTTGCGTTCACAATTTTTGCACAAATTTAAAAAATACTTTCACTGCAACGACTTTTCAAAATAACGAATGATTTTTAGAGGTCCCTTGAAGTTCGTTGTATCAAGATTTCACTATACAGCGCAGAAGCAGGTTGGCAAGCCTGAAAAAGTACTTACCGGAGCGGTAGAAGCTGATGGTGCGGGCTCTTTTTCATAGCTCAGTCGCTTTTTCACAGGTGTCTTTAGGAGGATTTTTCGTCCATACTGGCTGTATTTTTTTAGGATGGGCGAGATCTGCTTGAGGGGCGACACCACCGTGTGCCGGGGTGTCGTTGGGGAGACGACGGTGAGTGTTGCTGGTGCAGTGGCAGTTGCTGGAGATACCACAACAGTGCTCCCGATGGCCAGGAGGCCGCTCGAAGGGCAGACCACAGTGGCTGCAGTGGGAGGGGTGCTGCTGGCTGGCCGGATCGGGGGCGGTGGTGTGGGCGTTCCCGAAAGCGGAGGCGTCACCCGCCGTGTAGGACGCAGAGACAGTTGCACTTGCTGCAACAAGACAGGCGAGAATGTTGTCATCTTCACTGCAGGAGCGATGCAGGTGCCACTCCAAATGGGACAGAAATCGAACGGCAGCCAAGAGTAACGGAGAAATATGCTACAGCCATGAGTGGATCGATTCACCTTAGGCGCACATAAATTTGCACCTAATATTACGTTGCCCTGCACTGTTCTCCTGCTTTGCGCATGTATTTTGTTTAGCCTTGCGTGAATTGTGAATTTCAGCTCAAAGAAAATTCAAAGCGAATAGCAATTTGGTTCGAATAACTTTGAATTGAACTTGGATAATATATATTACATATTATAAGGAAAAATGATTCATGTTTGTCACGGCCCAACTAACCTGCATAATATTTTTTTTTACCTAAAACAAAGCGTGTGCAAATACATTCTTTTTGGTTCAAAGGTAGTGGGAGAACTTTGAATAATAATGGGACTGGACTTTTGGCAAAATGCAAGTGACACCAGTAAAATATGTTATGTTTTAAAATTTAATATACTTAAAGCATATAAGACGATATAACAAGCTTTTAAACTTCAAGAATGATGTGAGAATAATAAGTTTCTTCATCCTTAAAGTAGGGCTTTGCGCCAGTGTGAATGTTTTTCTGGAAAAGTTTATTCACGAAATAGCCCCCCTTCGCTGCAGTGAAACATCTTTACAGAGGGTTACATGAGGATTAATGTAAATCTATTAATTCATTTCGAATGCTTTGAAAATTCCGATAATTTAAATGCTCGAATATTTGCACAAGCCTGCTTTTGTTACAACTACGGCTGATGTGCGCAACACCTGGTTTTAGAAAGACCCAGCAGTGGAGGAGACTTTACACAAGCTGCTCAAGTGTTTTCCCATTTCACTGTTTTTTCAATAAGCCTACTCCGAGGGTCCAGTATTGTGGCATCATCCTGTAGTGTTAGCAGTGGTATAATATCGTTTTGTGTTAGCAGTGGTATACTACCAGACAGTTCGCTAATGACTACAAAGAAACTGGGACTCCCTCTTTTTTGTTTTGTTTTTTATATCAGATAATCCTTGAGCCATATCTGATTCCTTTACTTCATTCTTTATACTGTGTTGTCACAGCACCGAAGATGAGAAAAAAGCATTGGATAGAACAGGGAAATGATTTGCGCGCCTAAATAGTAAAGCTGGTTTTTTGGTATTTCCATTTCCTAGAAGTATAGTTTGTTTCAGGCTACTGGTACACAGAAGACGATAAGACAGTATGAACTGCTGCCCTGTCTGTTCAATACCTTGGTGAACAAACACCTCATTGATGTACCGTTTTCCTTGGCATGTAATTTTCTCAGTACCTCTTTGACGAGCCACATTCTAAGATTTCATACATGACAAGTTTATTTTGCAGATATTTGCTGTTTTGCGGCATTTTTGTACAAAATGGTAGATTTGTAGTCACTTCCATCTCGGACTTTTAGAGGAACAATACCTCAGTCTCGAGATGCCATACGTGTCATGGAGCACTGAATGCATCCATTCAAACATGCTCATGAGTGTGAATTGACTGTACTAGAATGCATGCTATTGTTACACCTAGAAACACGTGCCATTAGCAGCCAAAGACGGCGACACTGCTGTATGTTGTACTATAACGCTTCCATAAATTATTTTAAAAATCAAGGAGTTATAGATATTAGAAATAATTTTGAAGACATCGTTTCTTTGTTTCACACAACTTAAATGCAAACAGTGGACGAAAAGACAACCTAGAGCTGACAGGGTTCGAATCCCCGATTTTTGGCATGTAATATGAGGTTGCAGGCTCGGCCCCTGCCAGCAGCAAGCGGTCTTTTTGTCCACTTTGCTTTCTTCACATCTGTACATGTAAATTACTACAATACCCTTAAAACAGTACAATTGAAGCGTCCTATACCTTGCCTGGCATCATTTAGGTTATCTTAGTACTAAGGGACATAGAAAGAAAGCAGACTAACCATCCACATAGGCAGTATCTCCAGGGGTCGCTTGCTTGGGGGCACAAGGCTTCGTAGCTCTATCGGGTGTGGCTCCCACACTAATGGTGGGGCGACCTTGTGTATGTGCCAGTACTACAGTTGGGTCGGAAAGAAACGAGAAAAAAGATCTCATTGTTACAGGTCAGATACATAGAGGATATAACTTAAAAAGACAATAATGAAGATACGGCACAAAATGGAGACCAATACACGACCGTGAAAAAACACAAAAGAACACTTGCTGGTTGCTCCCATAGAGGGGAGGGGGAAAGAAAGGAGATACCAAACAATTACTATACTATACTATATTACTATATTATACTATTACTATACTAATTACTATATTACCAATGTGACCCAAAGTCTCGCTAAGCTTTGCACAGATGAGTTTATTTGTACAATAACAACAAAATATCATTTTTCAAATTGAGGGCTTTGAGCTATCAATTTTAGTTTTGTTACTGAACTGAGACTAAGCTGTAATTGAACACTAGTACTAAGACATCAAATGGCCGCTAAAAGACACTAGATTAAAAGACAGGGTTAGTCTAACAATGGTATTGCCACGGAGTCGAGACGCTGACGAAAGCAGGGATGGCCTGTCCAAAATGAAACTGTTTATTCAGCCCAATCTGTGGTTGGCAAGCGAAAAGTCAGATTACAGCGATACTATACGCTGACCTTGATAGCGGTGAACAGAGCGCCGGCCGTCAATCAATTGAAAAACGCTGACACGCGTCGGCATTTATACATGTGTCATTGAACATTACAGCACTATCGCTAGCGGCCATGTAGGTTCTAGAATAATCTGTATTGTTTGCATTGTGTGTGTAATCTTGACAAAATCATCTATTACAGTCCTGAAGCTTCTCGAACACTGGGGGTCTGTTTTGCACTGAGACTTACTTACAATGTAACGGGGCGACAACAAAACTCGAGGAAGGAATGTGGCAATATTGTGATTGATGGCAAGCACACAGCTTTTGTAAGTGAGAAAGTAACAACAAAAATTGTAGTGGCCCCATCTATTTCAGACAATGGCAACTCTAGAGTGGTGTCAATGTTGATAAAATAACAGAAATTCACAGAGAGGGAGGTCATGTGGGAATTACACGAGATCATCTATTCGGCAGTGGGTTATTCAAATTGAAAAGCAGTAGTGACTGTTTGGCGATAAGTTTTTACACAAAAAAGTCATGTGCTGGCACACAGGGAATGCTGATGGACTTCCAGACAAGTACTCCATCAACCTAACAGGCAGCTGCCCTCAGCGTAGTACCCTTAAGGCTACAAAAAAAGCAAGCAGAAAGCATCGGCACACCTTGATGGGATTCCCAACGCCTATCTTCTTGTAAATGATGTTCTTCACATGGACCTTGATCTGGATTTCGGTTTTAACGGGAAGAAGGAACGTTCGAATGAGACGCAGATAGGCGCTGGAAAAGGAGCAAGAGCGAGGAGGCACAAACTGCTCCAGTCCCAAAGCTAGCAGGCTGCAAAAGAAGGAAAATTGAAACTAGGATCAAACCTCACCATGGGAACGAACACCTGCAATCATTCGCACTTTGCATGCATGGCGCATGGGGAAATTTTTGAGGTACGCCCGTTGGCAAGCATGGCAGATGCATTGAAAGCTATCAATTATCTCTCAGTCAAATAGTGCTGTGACAAAAGCCATGCACCACGTGCGTGGGACATTGGCCATGATGGAACACATGGAATTTTATGTGCTCAGAATCCCTGTGACTGGTCAATTTCAACACAGAAATTAAGATGGTTTTCGTCAACTAGTACCACCAACTACAAATGGTAAACACTTGACCAGGTAGCTTTGATAACTTTTTTTGTACAAAGCATGATAAGTTCTTGGTCTGTAAACTTTATAGCAGACAATAAAGACCTCTTGCTCTACTGATGGCTATCCAGATGTGTTTCCCCCATTCCAGCCCCTCTGTAGTTGTTTTGCCCTAAACCTGCAGTGAAGCAGTAATATGCATGTTTCTTAGGTAAAGCAACTTAAATATATAGCACATTCGATTTGACATTTCGCACCACTATTCAGCACTACCTGATAAGCAAATTCCTAGATGTGATCATTCAATGTCTGAACATCCCAATAAATACCTATTGCCTCTAAGCACTACGTTAGAAGAGCTGCCCATTTGCATGTGCATGTCATTGTAATATCTCTCAACAACTAACTATTGCTCAGTGAATAGAAAAAGCAGTTGAACTAACGAATGTCAACTTATTGTCTATACAGGACAGTCGTATCTTACCCACGGAAATCCCTTGCAAAAGTATAGCACAGCATGGCCCTTCTATTGAAAATGTTCATCGCCACTTGCAATGTTGTGCCGCAGCATGCCCTTTCAAGTGTGCCTTTCCTAGCACTAAGGCAATCACTTCTTCTTGTATATGTGGAAATACTCGTGCAAACAAAACACCATTTTCACGGATGCTATGACACAAAGTAATAAATTTGATAAGAATTACTTGATGCGAAGGAAAAATGAATGAGGTGCTGGGTTACAAAATATGCATGTGTAAACCAGCAAAAGTCCTATTCACTTTCCATAACAACACATTTGCTGTCGAATGCTTTAACGCAACACAATTGTGTAATGCAATGAAGCTTACTAATGTAGCAGAGAGAACTAATTATCTTCCAGTGAAGTATGCCATGTAGGTTCTAGATCTTGTAGCGAATTATCAATGCGTATAAAACTGCATTTGTGGTCCTCTGATTCAATATATTGAGGCTCCACAGTATTCAATCTCGGTGCCTTAACAAAACGCTGGCTACTGCGCACAGGATTGTATGAGCAAACTTTACGCAACTGGTCCTCTGATGGGAAGAAGATGACCTTCTTGAAAGGGTCGTGCAGTGGACTGTACATTCGACTTGTAGGCAGCAAGTCTGGATAGATGAACACGGGGCTGTCGAGTAGTATGTCGCGTGCATGGCTCGGCACTGCATGCAGAAGGAAGGACAGAAAAGAAATTACAGTTTCTTCAAGCTGTTCGCAAATCTTTTAACTTATTTTATGGATCACCAGAACACTAACAAAAATGTATGGTATTTTGCAAAAGCTATTTATAGTGACAGCTGGGTAAAAGCAAGTTCAGACGAGCAAAACATTCAGGACAAAGCTGATGCGCAACAGAATAGTTGGATGTGCCTTTATATTTACTTTAGGTGGGCAAGCAGATTACAATTATATCTAGTATGATATTATTAAAATGTATCTTTCACAGCAAAGCTTGGTTAGCAGATAAAACACCAGCAATTCCTTATTGACCATTGTTGTCCACTTACTTCGTCAAAAAAAAAAAAAGTTTTTTCCACTTTGAAATATATAGTAAAATAAATAGCTAATTGCCACAAAGATGAGCACTGTGTAACACAGACCCATTTCAAAACAAACACAGCATTATTCTTATCAAGTTTACAGCTTGATCACTAAGGTCAAAATTTGGTAAAGAATAAACACACAATGACAGGAGCCGCATTTACAAGTTGCAAAAGTCAAATTCCTAAGGACAAATGCATAGCTGAAAGAATGACTAAATCAGTAAACGTAAGTATGTGCTACATCAAAACTGACCTTGTCCTCTCATTTTTTTTTTACGAGCTGAGTTTGACGTCCCTTTGACAGGTGTCGCTACCGGGGGACGTTGGGGCAAGCTCTCCAACATCCGGATAGCTTGCGGAAGATTGCACGTGTTAAACAAAGATTGCTTCTTTGGTGGCGGCAATGGCCGTGAAGCAAAGATTCCCAGCTCTTTCTGCAATTGAAACAAATCCAGATCACAAGGTATTCTCGATTGTAAAATCTTGTGAGCGGTGCTAGCTATAACTGAATCACACCCCTGCATTTGGTGGCGGCATAGCATTCTGTTTCCTAGGCCACCTCCTCATTAGCCAGGTTATTTATGTAAAAGTGCATGATGTAGAAGTACATGATCCTCAATGCAGACCGTGTCTACAAAAGAAGTCTGCACAGGTTTGAAACAGCTTGATTGCAGTGATTGCATTCTGATCAGGGTAGCATGCAAATCCATCATGTACACAATTAGGGGGCCACATCAACAAACCACGCATGGTTAAAATAATTCTGGAACCCTATGGTACAGCATCTCATATTGTCTGTGTGTGCTGTGTTGATATTGGGTATTATTAAACATAATTTTCTATATCTCCACAACTTGCATGGGCTTTTCTTTGAAGCATCACATTACAGTTGGGTGAATGTCATCTTTACTTTTAAAGGGTGGCACTCTTGGGGAGAGTGGCTGACAATTCCAAGCCAGGGAAATCCAGGGAAAGCACATTCTGTCAACACTATCGGATCACCAGCTCCATACCTAGCACTTCACTTTTGCCAAAGAAGCCTAACAGAGCACACGAGGAAAAAATTTCAGTCTGATTATGAATGCACATTGAAAAAATGTGTAATTTTTTACTCATAAGGCTAGTGGCAACGATCAGCACACCATTGCATCGTAATTTCAAGCATTGTAGGGCTATCTTGAGCAGTGGTCAGTCCATGAGTTTGCTGACATCCCATCTGCGACTGTTCGGGAGTTCTATAAATGCAGGACACTGAGCACACATTTGATTGCATGAATGAAGACATGCTCTTTTAGAGCTACCTAAAAATGATAAAGGACTCACGGTAAATAATGTTTCATTCTGTAAAGATAAAGCTTGCTGGCTCCGTCTTTCCCTTATTGCCACAATTGAAGACATGTTAGGTGTGTTTACTTACTTATTATTATTTTTTTTGCCAGAAGAACAGGATGCTCATCCGATTTCAATGTCATTTATAGGCACTCCAGTCAGTTTTTGCTCAAACAAGCATGGCAGAAAGTACTTTTATTCTGCACCATGTAACACTCACCAAAAGTGTCTTGGCCATATCGAAATTCTTGGAAAGGTGTTCATTGTTGCTGCACAGCAAGCACATTTGGGCCAAAAGCTGGACATGCTGCAATGTAAAGTGTGCCAGAAATGTTCAATCAGATCCCATGCAAGCATTATTGAAAGTATTACAGCACAATACCTGCACTGTACAGTCTGCACAGTCTGCACTAAGACGAGAACCTAGCCACAAGATTGTCACCAACAGTTTTGCTTATAAGCTTGTGAAAGATTTTCAACAGCCGAAATTTCTGTGCTGCCACACTGCAATGACCCACAAGACAGCAATGTACCATGCATGCATATATTACCATTCTCATCTGCTCCTCTAACTGCTGTATCTGCCGAGGTGTGGGTTGGGCGAAAATCTCGTCTTGCACACTCTCAGTCGCCTCCTGAAATATGTCAGCTTCTGACTGTTCCACAAGGCTAGCTGCACTGGCAGTGGCAGATTTGGCCGGGGATGGCCTGCATTTGTAGAGAAGAAACAGCAGAGAAGAAGGTAATTGAAGTACAAAACTGAAAAACATACAATGCAAAGAAAAAAATAGCTGCAACCATGCTTCAATCATGCTATAACTCTGAATTATCCAAGATTGATTCCTTGAATGCTTACTGCAGAGGGTACTACCAGTTGGTCTGACTGGTGATTGAAAAATTAACCAGCTCTCGCTAAAGGGAACCATGTGTGATGGGAAGCAGCGGGGAGATGGTTTGCCTGAGCGGAGATGGTGTACTTTAGTGACAGCTTGTAGTGGCACTAACGCTGACACTGGCAGAGGAATTGATGCTGGCACTTATTGCGGCGTTGCGCAGGAGAGAATGAGGCACGTGCTTCGTCATTTTATACTGCGTAACTACTGTGGCACCTCCAGCAGAGTATGCAGCTGTCTAACCACCTGCCGTGCGTGTTGCTGCGTGAAGTACAGGATTCCTAGAGGAGTGAGAGGGAGAACATAAGACGCGCATGCGCTGTGGGTGCCACGAGAGGGGGAAAGTGCAGGAAAAGAGAGAGGGGGCGCGCATGCGCTGTGTGGGATGGACACCGTGTGAAGGACGAGGGAGTGACAGACACAGCCTCCGCCAGAAGCTGGTTCGTGTCTAAAAAGCAGCTAGGAAGGAAATTTGTCGTCTCTGCGACAGGTCACAGGGCAGAAAAATGCACTACTGGTGCATGATATAGGAAGGCCAGACACCCTCCCTGCCCCGTTTTTGTCGCTGTGCACAAGTTATAAATCCTTTTAAGCAACATATTTTTAGGAAGGCCAAGACTGATCACGTCTTTCCTGCAAACACATCGAACGAGGCAAACATAAAACATGATTCAAATATGAGGAATTGTAGAGTTCATTAGTCTGCTATACTACTGCTTCACGTGTGTCCCAAGCTATGCAGGGGTGACCAAAGGTGTTTTCAACACAGATTTTTCAGGTGTTGCAAATGAATAACTGGCAGAAAATACTGCAAGTAACCAACTGAAACTGAACTTGTATGCGCCCGTTTGTTCCTATCTGTACAAGCAATGATTGGCAAGAGTACAACCACTCACTTTACTGCAACCAACAGGGCATCTTCTTCTTCCTCATTGTCTAAGAGCTCCCGCGTGGCTGCTTGCATGAGCTCAGTCATCAAGTCACTCACTTCTTGCTCTGAAAACAAAATAATGGCCATAGACAATGCTTGACGGGGCTCTAAGTTCAAACAAATAGATTTTTTGATGTTATTGACACAAGCTTTTTCTATACTGCCAAATCATTCAAACATTTTTGGCAGACCCTCACCTGCAAAAAATAAATTGAGTGCGCCGTGCATGAAAGGTCGAACTTAAATGCAACAATGTCTCAAATAACAAAGCCATGTCGGTGCTTTGAGCGTGTTCCCCTCAGAAAAAAAGAAAAGCATTCCTGGCGTAAACAGTCTAAGCCACCTTGAGAGTAGCCCAACAACAGAGTAAGAGAGGTGACAAACTATAGTCCTCGCCGTGTGCCAGTCGGGGTATCGTGAGCGCCCCGCGAATGTTCTCTGACGCCGACAATACTTGCTTGACCTCTGCAACGTCTACGTGACACCCTAGAATATGTCAATTGCACCCGACTGCTCGGATGAGCACGCACCCTTACTTTAACAGCAAATGAAAATCATCATCTAGGCAATGCTCGCCACTAATAATCGGTGGCCCCGCATGCAGGACTATCGAACAACACAAGCACCTAGAGTTTCTAAATTTGTTGTCAGGCTTCCTTTAAGAGGTGAGAATGCGAGAGGAGCAGTGATGCTCTTTATATTACTGCACAATACCACTGCAGCTCTTTAAATTTGGCACGTTGCATCTTCCCATCAACTGATGCTCAGCTGAAGCTTTGTGCAGGGCCTATGCCTCAAGCTTGGCAAAACGTCAATTTATTAACCAACTAAGGCCTTAATTTTGCACTAGTTAACCTCCTGAGAGAAGCCAGAGTTCTACTGAAGGACAGATTTAAATAAGTGAACACTAAAAACAAACACTTTAAACAAGTGAACACTAAATAAAAGTGAAACTGGCTCCGAAATTCCATGCTGCTAACTGATCAATTGCAGTTACGGTCCATTTTCAGAAAATGTTGTATTACTAGTACAGTCCCAGTAGTGTAGGAAGACTAACCAGAAAAAAAAAAAAGTGTTACGCATTAAAATGGAGTTTCGTCTTAAGAGCCCTTTGAGCAAATGTGCAGACAGATTCTACAAGCAAATGCAGAGTGTCGCAAAGAAAATTAATTTTACCAACTACATGCAAAATAAAGTTCCGGCTGAAAGAAATGCCAATTGTTACAATGTCTTCCTACATCTGGAGACGGAGAATAGAAAGGGGAGCTCACGAGGTATCCTGACGGCCTGGTCATTGCGAACATCCCAAGAGTCGAAGTTCTCTTCTTCCTCATCCTGAACCGTGTATTCAGGATCCTCCACGTCGTCTTCATGGTTATCTTCTTGTTCTACAAGGAGAATGCACACAAATCACTGACTCGATTTATATCACATCCGGGAAGCGAACTGTGGCATTCCTTTTCGCTCTTTCTGTCTGTATTAGTTAAGCGCAGAGCTTTGATCATCCTTGTAGGACAGCAGCTACATAGTATAGCTGTGTTACGAATCTCAAGGCAGTGCCAGGCATAACCGAAATAGTCTGCACTGATTAGCAAGCCAGGTGTCCTCACCGAAAGGCTTTACAAGCGAGACGAGAAATTCTTTCCACTCCTCATCATCACACTCGGTGTCGTACATGTCGGTGGTGATGTCGGGAGCGATGAACTGGGCTTCGATGCACTCGAGGGGCGTGTCGTGAAGCGGCAGCTTTGAGCGGGTACGCTCGGCGATACCGCTCTCCTGCACAGCAGCCAACAACATGAAAACACTGAATAGAATGATCATTCGTTATTTTTTTTTTACTGACTTCCCAAATTCAATTGTGCTAATATGGAATAAAACTGTAATGCAGGGCAGCAGCGCTTAAGACAGTCATACAAGAAGGCACACAAACAACCAAACACAATGCTGATTGTCTACTAGGCCGATAGTCAGTTGATTGCCAGTTCACAGTCAGTGCTACAAGTGGTCCGTTTGTGCACCTTTTTCTGTCTCAGTCTTTCACACTGCTGGCCCACGATATGTTCAAACAGTTAGTCGACAAGTTCACATTTTTCAGAACAAAACTGACTTTTCAAGCAGGGCTGTAGAAACAGTGACATTTCAGACTGAATCAAATACAAATAAGATAGAGTCAGACATAACGCCTTTCAATTACAGCTAAACCTGCTTATAACGAACCTCCATATAACGAATTCCTCAATATAACGAAGGTTCACTAGTCCCCGTCGTTGCTCCATTGAAGCACACGTATTTGCGACCTGTATGTAACAAAGTGACAGTGGGAGACAACCTTAATATAACGAATTTTCCCCACGGACAATCTAGGGATTCGCTCTGAATTTGGGCATTTTGGTACGAGCATGCATGTTCTGTGAGTGTCCCGCCGCCGCCACTTCCGCCGCGCATGGCGCACCAGGCGGGTCTGCACCCCACGAGCTGGCGTTGCCGCCGTTCTCGCCACCGCGAGTGCATTCACGAGAGTGCTCCCCCCCCCCCCATTCCAAAAAAAAAAAAGATAGAAAAAAAATGACTTTTGCGCATTGACAGTGCCAAGCTTTTAGTTAGCATCACATATATGGGGCCGCGCTGCATATAGAGGGCGCTTTACCAAATAGTTTTCTGCCGTATCGGTGTCTGTTTTCGGGTCGATCGCTTTTAGTTTTCGACGCCGTGCGCGCGTGCGTAATTTCACTGCGAGCGCATAGTGTAGCCCCCGGCGAAGTTTAGCTTTGCTTTTTTTATTACGATAGCAACTATATAAACAGTCTTGGCTGCCTGGTTTTTTGCCGTCGCCACTGTTATTCATCGTATATGTATACATATCTATATATATGAAAACTAAAAAAAAGAAAGCCGTCTGCGCTCGGCGCTTAGCTCATCACAATGCGCCGACCAAGGAGGTTCTTTGGCGCTGACACGCGCTTATCTCCCACGCGCACTTTGCCCCGCGAATGGGGGGAGAGGGGGTGTAGACGCTTGTGCGCGCACGCTTATCCTTCGGTGGGGAGAATCGCATGCCTTCGACTTTGACCGATACGACTGCATGTAGTTTCCGGGCGCACAAAGATCGTTTCGCTCGCTGGACAGGTGCCGTTTGCGAAAAGAGTGTGCTTTTCAAAGGCAGCGAAGTAACAACTGGGACACTTGTTAGTTCACACCCATATCTGTGCCTGTGATTATGTTCCGTGCCTTGTTTTTGTTTAAACAGCGCGTTAAAAGTCAAGCTAGAAACGAATGGGCTGATTCACTTGATCTCTGCTTCAACAGTGCTCGCGCCGCGCTATTACCCGCTTGTGAAAGTTATGATGCGCGGGGGCATGTTATCTATTTGGCCTTGTTACGGAACATGGCAGCGACGGCAAAAACCCCCCAAGAGTGCCCATATAATTTCTATCGCAGTAATAACGCAGTTTTTTTACTGTAAAATAAGTGTTCTGGGTTAGCTCCGCCTTCAGTCCCTCTTTTGTTTAATTTGCACGTTTAGTTTCTGAACTTTCGTACTGAACCTGCGTATAACGAAATACTTTTTATAACGCATTTTTTCAGGAATTTATCAATTTCGTTACATCCAGGTTTAACTGTAGTGTGAACAATTGTTGTGTAGACAGCAAAGTCTGTTTCTGCCGGTGAATGGAGCCTGCAGGATTATGCAGACTCAAATTTTTTTAAGCCTACGCTACACTTGTGAGGATAAAATTCATGGCACACTTGTACCAACCTCCATGAAAAACATGCCTTCGAATCCACGAAAACACTATTGTCGTCTTTGCTATCTGCTATCAGAAGTTACGAGGCTTGCACGCTAATACTATGTACTTACAGCTCCCGCATCACTGGGATCCTGCTTTTCTGGACTCTCCTGCACTGCATCTGAAGCAGGCGGTGAGAATGGAACAGACGATGCCACTGACGAAGGTGGCTCTGTGATGTCGTCTTCACTCTAGATGAAAGAACAGACACCGTTCTTGTGAAGCAGCATGGAAACTGTCGCGTGCCTTTACATGACATAATTTTGTAACAGTGTGTATGGCGAGATGAAGAATAAACGGATCCCTAGCTAGATCCAACATACTCAATAACACCATATTAAATAAAACTGAACATTGTACCAAAGTTGTACCAAAGAGTGATGGTTTAACACGGAACGGTATAAAATACAACCATGGCACATGGCAACCTGGACCACTTTTGACCCACCTCAGGAAGCTGTTGCCTTGGGAAGCGGTGTTGTTGCACAAAAAAGCTAACCAAGGAAATACAATAAACCAATGAATCTAGTTACTACATGAAATGCCTGAGCTGCAATCCTCACATATATTTATCAAAAAAGAAACATAATTTCTTCAGATATTTTTTCAAGCAGTGACAGACAATCACCATCAGTTTTTGTTTTCCTGTTAAGTAAGAAAAAAAATTTTTAAAGTAAGATAGTCAGTTAACGAAACCCTCACTCTCAGTTTCATATTTGGTTACACTGCAAGTCATTGAATGACAAGGAGCAGAAGAGCAATGAACTTTCGGGCTAATTCATTCTTTCTACAATAAATTTCAAAATTAAATTTCAAAATCAATATTGCTCATAGATGTATTAGGATGTTTGTTTACTTAAAACATTCTAAATACTTTTCAAGTTGCTCATCTATTTTCGGGGTAACTTGTCTAGGCTCGCTGCCAGCTGTCGTTGTACAAATAATCAACTGCCATGCAAAAAGATGGCACAATGCAGAGAATGCAGTAAAATGAATATTTTCAACTGGCACTGAAAAACAGCAAAGAAATTCGTACAGGCATTTCGTCGCCGGTGTAGTGCATGCATTACAATGCTAGTACAGAGAAATAACATAGCGCCCATCATTACAAACAGCGTACAACTTGTTTGCTTAGCTGAAATGCTCAGGTACTCTCTCCAATAAAAAGAGTAAAGCCAGCCTAAGCTCTCCAGTTACCATCAGGGGGAGAATATGAATTTAAACATAAGGTGCTTTATTATTTAAGCTATGATGATGATAGCTTGTACATGCACTCCTATAAAATATACCAAGCTTTTATGAGCACTGTACCATATTTTTGAATTATTTATTCATAAAAATTTTAATTGACCACATTTTTTATGAATCAGCATTAGATCCTGCCGACGGAAATGTTGTTGGATTCTACAGATATCAAAGAGTGCAACAAAGCTAATTTCATGGCTTTTTTTAGATTTCCCACAACAACTGTTTTAAAGCTTCAAAGGTTTTGTCTGAACGACTGAGAAAAAGCACTTTTTTTAGTTCACGCTTTCTATAAATTTATTATTTCTGAAAGTAACTCAGCCCCTTATTGCACTCACTAAACATATAGCTTTTTGGCAGGACATAAACAATGAAAATTGTGTGAGCCAAAGTAGAAGGACACCGTTTAGAAGGTTGCAAGTCTACAAAAAAGCAAAAATAGTAAAGAACAAAGCACCATTGGTCACTGACTTAATAGATAAAGCTGTCATGGCTAAAACAATGATCTAGGGTGCACAAAAATTGGTATTGGCAAAATCAAAAAATAATATTTCCCCCCCAAAATGATTTTTTGGAAATCTTTTTGTCCTAAAAAGTGGCTTCTCCACCTTTATGCCCATCCATGCACACACACAGACACAACCCAAATGCTTCTAGCATTAAATCCAAAGCCACCTGTTACAGTGCAAGGACATACCTCTTCTGATGCAGGGTGGTACTCTTCGTCGGAGCTGCTCTCATCAGGAAACTCGTGCTGAAGCAGCTGCTGTGAGCCACTAGGCGCGGACAGTTTCATCGGTGAGACTTGCCACAGGAGCTGCGCATGTGCATGTTTCCAGAATGCATGGTTAACAGTTGTGAACTGTTTATGCTAAAAGCCTCGTCTGGCATCAACTGTTTGTCAATTATTAAAATAGTCAAGCAAGATCTTTTGTTAAGCCATCGGGTCACACATACTGGTACTATAGTTATTGTGATGTGAAAAGAATAAGGATGAAGAAGTGTATTGAGAGCCTGGAGCCGATGCTATCGATGTGTTTGTCACTGTTTTATTTTTTAAAACCATATTTACACTAGCATTCAAGACCCTTTGTAGCTTTGTCCCAGTTTGCATGAAATACATAAATTAAAAACTAAATATCCTGGTTACTGTACCAATCACCCCAGTTAGTACAACTTAATGGAGCTGTGGAGTGAAGAGCTTAGACACATAGGTAACATTTTGTGAAAATGAACAAGAGATACTGGTGTATGAGGATATCACATACACAGAATGCACTAACTTTAATCTTCAGAACTGTTGGTGCATCCAAATGGCCCATAATATACAACAAACAGCTTAGTGCCAAGTGCCACCAGAGATTGCACATAGTTTAAGCCCCATCCCTACAGTTAACTTTTCAATTCTCGCTGTCTGAATAGTCTTGGGCGATCCTATTTGTTTCTCACTGGAATTTCTTGGTTTGGCTGGTTTTTTATGACCTCTGGACTGTGCGATGCTTTTATTTCTTATTTGTACAAGAGTAATGTTTGAAAACAAAAGCTTAACATGCAAGTTGAAGGTTCAAAAAGCAACATTTGCTTGCAGAGCCTGATGGACCTAAAGGATAATTGAGCTCACGATTTACTCAATAAGACATGAATAAAAGTTGCTGTCCAGCAAGAACTGCCTATTTTAATTTTTGTAGTCAAATGTTGATCCCATATTTTGTCAACTCATACCTAGGTCATTTTTAATGTAATAATAAAGAGCCAGTTTTAATAAAACCGAATGTTTCATAGAATATAGGAAGTTTTTATATGTGAGAGTGACTTCAGTAAGTAAACCATAAGGACGCTCCCGAGCACAAGCACAACTAAACATTACAGAGGGACTGTAAAAAAGTGCCTTTTAGCTTTCTTCAATGGTTAGATTGTATTCTGTCTGGCCCTGTAAATACCATATAGGGCTTTCCTTACACACGTTCTACTTCATTTTTTACATGTTAGCATGCTTATTCTTGAGATATTTTCCATGTCAACATATATTATTTGCACATGTGTATGCACAACGTTAAGAAAAATTTTCTTTTCTGTAGGTAGTCTTCAATGCTCAAAAATAAGTGCCATTTGGTTTTCGTTTTCAGTCAAGTAGTGTGGTTCCTCATGTGGAACTATGTTTGTAAATCCAGAACTAGCAGTCTTGTTAAAAGCCCTATGAGCTTGTTAAATGCAGCTCTGTTTGAAGCTTTAGATTGCAGCGGTAAATGCAGTCACAATATATGGAGAATAATGATGCTGGCTCTAAAACTAACTTGAGGTGCGGAAATTGTGAGACAATACAAACTGTCAGCAATAGTGGGCAAGGCACCAATAATAACTTGCTCACTTCAAGCACAACACTGTATGCAATACATTGCCTACTTACATGAGGCTGTTTCTCCATGATCTCCCTTGCCTTGGCCCTCGTGAACTTTGGCTCGTAAGGCAATGAGCTGAGGTCTGTTCCCATTTCTTCAGCGGCCACATGGGAAATCATTGTGTTCTGCAGCATGGCTAAGACACGGCTGTTTGACACAACCCTCTGGAAGAAAACACAGCGCCAACATAAGTCGCTACTAGGAACACCTAGCAGGAGTGCCTTTTACATTGATTTAAACTAGTCAAAAGCCTTTTCTAATATCACAACAAAAGACCGTGAAAAGCTCTTTCGAGAAGCAGTGACACAAAAATTTTGTACCTAGCTTTTTTTTTGTTGTTATTGCAATGGGTAGCTTACGAACCTCCTCTCATGGCTGGAAACCTAGTTTGTACGACGGTTATATTTTAGAGATGTTTGTGCAGCGCCCAGTCGCAGTTTTGATTCCAAAGAGCACCAAGCTGGCCCTGTAAAACTGTGACTGACCATGAGCAAGAGCATGTGCCGCACTGACAGCCAGCACATGCAAAGCCACAGATACGGAGCAAGAAACTGCACATAGCACAAGCACGAGGCGCTTGCCAAGCAAACAGCCGACACGAACTTGTGGTGTAGGTTTGTTCACATTCCCGTTGCATTGATGTCGGCATCGCGCAAGGCTCTGCATCTCGCTGAGTAGCCCGGTATCATTTTGAAACTGATTTTAATTATGTTCTAGTCTACATTTGCCTTTGATATTTCGTAGATGTTATGTATGTCTCTAGATAAATCTATCTCAATATCTCGCCTTTGAAATTCTGTGTCAGTGATCATTAAAAAATGTGGGTGAAAGCTAAAACGTACAGTTCCGGTAAGTTTAGAGTGGATCAAGAGCCAGATTTATTCCCGACCCTCTCCGCCTTATTATCCTGACTAGAGGTGTCGAAGTAGTCGATAACACAACCAGCAGAGAAGCTGTTTTGGGCAACCACACATTATGAATACAATCATCAATGTGCCCTGTAAACAGCTGTGCTGTCACAGAGAATGCTGCTGTAGAACCAGAGCTGCTGCCAAAATACACATGCTTTGATAATTATAAAATGAGAGCTCTCTCTTCTGCGCAGACCGATTTTACAAGTAATTACGACTTGACCGCTGGCTCCATAGAATTTCCTCAAACTAACTAGAGGGGACACTGGCGCTGCGATAGTTAAGCAAACATGAGAATTATTACATAAGTTTACCTGGCCTTTGTGCTTCCGGGCGACAAACGCACTTGTGACTTAGTTTATTGCTGTTTCTGTTTTGTTTCCAAAGAAAGAACGGACCCTTTTGACCCGATTTGAAGTGGTAAGCCTAAAAGATTAAGGTGGTGAATCATAACTGCCGAACATATGCGATTGTTATTTCATGACAAAGCAGCTTCAAGCCACATGAAGCCAGAACGAATGTATAGTACGAAGACTAGGCAAATCCATGTCATACTCATAATTTCTATGCTCGCTGAAGCGCTATGCGTTGCAGCTCCCATAGACACTAGTGCCAGAGTCCCCTCTAGTGTATTTTTAGGACTCTATACGGCTCGCTCTAAGGTCATGTGATCGAATCTCAGCCACATTTTCGATAGAGAGAAAATACTGTGTCTGTGTGCTTATATTTATAGCACTTTAAAAGAACCCCAGGTAGTCAAAATTTCCGGAGCTCGAGTACTCCACTACAGAATTCTTCATAACCCTATAATTTTTGGGGGATGTCTAGCCCCAACAGTTATTATCATTATCAAATATTTTGATTGTATTATCTTCCCTAAAATAAAAAAAAAAAAAAGTGCCAGACCCGTATGATGTTCTTGACATTCGTGACGGTGAGATTGTTCTTCTCGGCGGTGTCTTCCAGAAATTTGTCCAGATCCGTTTCGCACGGCTCCTGCACAGGGGCCGTCCTCGGCTTCTTTGGTTTCTTTTTGCCCTTACGTTCTTCTCTCGGACGCTTGCCTCGCTGACCCGTCGACGTCGTGGCTTCGCCGGTGGCGTCAGCAGGACCGCTTTCCAGCGCAGTATCCGCGGGCGCTGCCGCCAAACCACCATCAGCATCCTGTTGCGGACTCGAAGCCTCCAAGGTGATCTCTTGCAGGCGGTACTCGCCGTCGGAAGACGGTATACAAACGTACTCGGCATCAGGGGGTGCATCCGAAACAGTCGAAGCATTTTGCTCACAAATCACAAGCTGCGCACTGTCCAGGGCAGGGGTCCTGCGGTAGGCATCCGGCGTTAGCGGACGTTCCGGTGTCTCTGGGAGCAGGCTCTCGACCTGTGAATCCCCTGAAAACAAGCGATCATTTTTTTTACGATGTGTGCTAGAACTCGCGCGATGCGTACAGCGGCTATGCTTGTAAACTGTGTCGGTTGCAGAATAGGCAATAAAACAATACGCGCCACAGTTGCATTCTGGTATCATTGCACAACCACTGGAGCCGCTGGGGCATGATCTACAATTTATAAAATAAGGGAAACGGGTCATCAAACACTCGCGCCAATTCTGGGCCGCCGAGCAGCTGACAACATTCTGTGAAGCAGCGATTGGAAACACGCAGGCAGTTCGCACAGATCGTGTAACGTTCGAATACGTGCGCTGAGATGTCCGTATCATAATTACCGGGTGTTGACGGTCCGCCCGTGGTCGATCTTCGCGGCCTGTCGTCGGAATTGGGCATTCTGATTTGGACCGGCGCGTCCGACGCCGGGCGCCCGATCGTAGTTTCACCGCGATAATTCCGATGTCCGACTTTGATCGGCGAAAGCTCAGAGATGCATATGCGTCCGGTGGAAATCCTGGGCCGAAGGCAAGGCTCACACACATGTTAAACGCGAATAATTGTGTTTCGCGCGAATCGAACACATATCCGCGTCACTTGGAGAACATTTCCCTCCTATGTTGTGTTGGGAACGGTCACGCCATCTATAAAGCTAGAAAAAAAGCAAGGGATCACTAGTAAAAACTAGAGTTTCAATGATAATAAAAAACATTATGGTGAAAGTAGTTGCATTGTTTACATTTCTGTAACAAAGTTCTATTAGTATTAATTGTAGTACGTCACAGGGATGTCGCTAGCGTCCCTAAGGTGCGTTGGTGTGTTGCTGCAGCAGTTGCGTTGACATCATGATTGGCATATTCATTAGATCTCAGCAAATTTAGCGCTTTATATTCGTTTGAAAAGTGCATTTTACGGGTGTTTGTGAAACAGAGGACAACCATCTCACCAAGTAAGCTTAGACGGTGTCAGGGTGGCAATGGAAGTTCTGCTTCTTCACTTTACGTTTTGAGCAGACCGTAATTTGTGTGCAGTATCGCGTTGTATCCGTGCTTGGTTTGTGTAACGAGTGTATGATATTACACAGCACGTGCGCTGTAAGGACGAGCCGCGTATCGTGTCTTCCTCCTCGTTTTACTTTGTTTCGTAATGGTCTCTAAACGTCCTCATTCTGCCTCTTCGCAGCGAGCCCTCTACAATGCCGAAAAAATTTGGCACCAACACGAAGTCCGCCGAAGCGCGCGCTAAAAAGGAAGCAGTCAAGATAGCTGAAAAGGAGAAGAAGGAAAAAGCAGCCGAGGAAGCCCTCTGGGCGGATGATGACAAGCACATAGCCAGGAAACAACAGAGGAAGGTAAGGAATTCTGTGGGAATTCGGGACTGTCTGCGCATCGGTGGTTCATCCGTCTTAATCGTTCTTGGAGCGCCAATTGGCTGATGCTGGTCATCGTTATTACGACTCGCTAACTTCATAAAGCGTGATTCACGCCTTACACAAGGCTAGATTTGTAAAAGCGGACATGTGATAACCGCGCCTGAACACTGCCATTATTGCGCCTGATATGTGCTCTGCTGAAAGATACCGTTATTGGTGCTTTCGTATTTTTAATTTTTTTTTCGCTGGCACCGTTGTGAGAGATCACCAAAAGCTCTTCTCTTCACTGGTGTCAGGACGTGTAGACTTTCATTCAAAAGCTGTTCAATAGCAGAGGCTAATCGGAATTGCGGTATATCATAATGAGCAGCGTACATATCTTGCTTGTGTCACTACGAGCTTCTGCATGCTGCTAGATATTGGCGTAAGCTACTTCACAGATTCAGTGCTACATGTGGTCATATGCTGCTGGTGTGAACACAAAACATGACGTACTCTGTGTTCAGTTGAAGCATCTTTATTGTAACTACAACAAACACTTGTAACAACCAAGACCTCCACCTGATGATGCCGGTTTCAATGATACAACGCGTGAAAAGCAAAAGTATAGCTGCAACGATGAATGACGTGAATTTGTTCTCAACATTGCTGCTGCACAGTTGACTTGCACCCTGCATGTTGGACTGCATATTGACTGACCCTTCGCAACTCGGCTGATTCGCACACTGTCACATGGTCGTGCGATTCTTTCAAAGGAAACCAGGAACATAGTGGTGGCAGCAAAAGTTTGGGAAGATTGCACTCTCTGTGGTGGCGGGGTCTAAATCCAGCCTGTCCCTCTCAGTTGCATGCCTCAACCTTCGGGTTCATGTTCCTCTGATTTCCGTGTGTTCGTATGTAACCTTCATTGCTGAAGAATGTTATAGTGACACGTTGTTTGTTTTCTAGGAGGAGAGAGACAAGAAGAAAACTGAGCAGCTTGAGAAAAAGGCGGCATTAAAGCAGATGTACGATGAAGAGATGAACAGCATAAAGTCCGTGAAAACAAGGGTTGAAAAAGTCACAAGAGCAGACATTGCAGCCTTGGCCGAAAGGCAACAGAGTGAGTTTGCCGCATTTGGTGGGAATGGTCGTTTGTATGTGTGTGTCTGTTGTTCAGAGAATTCAACAACCAATTTGTTTGTACAGATTAATGAGCAACTGCTGTTCTTGGTGTTGTGCAATTGCCAGCATCTGGCAACTTATTTTAGCTGTATTTTTAAATCCTCTCCAGCCATCTAACGTATGTAAAAAGCTTATCGAATGACTAGAGTTGTAATGCGGGCTTGTTGATATGTGATTTCTGAATTCATCCTGTTCATTGGCTCCACCATGTAATTCAGAGAAGGACTAGCAGAATTAGTCACGATGGAATTTCATGGCGACATCTCGCTAATACCTGTAGCATTTGGACGCAAGAGATGTGCGAGCATTGCAATGAATATCTTGTCCCTGCAAACGCTTGCTTTCAGTCCTAACAGCAGGACCTCCTTGTGCATATGAATCTTGTGTAATCCTTACCTTATTGCAAATATAAATAAGTTGGTTATTATCTTCTGAATGATGCACTAGATTCCATACATCCTGTTTGCAGCATGAACCAATGAAATATTTTACAATGCCGTTGCAGTGCAGCTCAGCTATAATGAAACTACTGCTGCTGTCATTTTTTTATGCCTTTTTTCTTTGCTTGAGCTCCATCTACGTTCATTTCTGGCTGAAGTTACACATTCGTTTAGCACCAGAACTGACATAATTATAGCTATACTTTGGACATGTACTTGTTAATTCGCATATGATTCGATGGCCTCGTCTAGTGATGCTTCTAGTGTGGTAGCAGCCAACCCTGAACACCTATCTACTGCAACAAGTGTAAGAGGAGAAAAAGCTCAACGGTTGTGTAAGGATACATTCAGAATTTATAAAACAATTTCTTGTAGAGGGCACCTTTTTCATTGACAAGATTTCCTCTGTGTCCCCTAAAAAATGCAATCGTACCCAAAACACTTTTGTACATGTCATTTTCAAATTGAGACTGTATCTGTGGGTCTGTTAGAGGCCACAAAAGTTAATTGTATCACCATATTTAGTGCTGCAGTTTCTGTGCCTATTTCAGTAGCAAGTAAGTCTGCAAGCAGGAAGATTTTAGTATTAGAATGGTATGTCTAAGACCTAATGAAAACCTATGTTATGGTGTTTTTGGAGAAAAATTTGTCAGAACACATTGCTTTCATGGAGGACAAAGAAATATATTGCATTTCTTGTCAAGCGATTTACCGCCGCCGAGATGTATGCTGCTGTTAAGAGGATAGCCGAGATTATATATTGGGAAAGAGGGGAGAAAGTGTGACTCTCCTAAATGAATGTGTGTTTGTATGCACTTGTGTGCATACAGGTACGTGAACTGAAAAAGTTTTGATTGAATTATAACTCCTCCAACCTACCCCCTGGCTACAGCTGTGGCTGCTGTCACATGTATTATGTCATACACAAAATGTCAACACCGTGTTTAACTAGTTTTAAATAATGTATCACTAGAACGAGAAGTGCTCAGGGCATAGTGCTTGTCTATCCTCTATCTAGTAGTCCTAGGACACTTAGGGATCACTGTATTCTGCACTGTATTCACTGTACTCTGCAATACGCACTGACTATACAAACTTTCTTTTGTATAAAAGAAACCCGACACCAAATGTATTGGGTGGGTTTGATTGTCCGAATCTGCCATCTAAGAAGATTCGGCTTTTTGCTCATTTGTTTTGTCAGACAAGGAATCAGCGAATGTGCGTGTCACGAAACTGACAGCTGTAGTGTTTCCTGCTGCATTTATATTGTTAGTGAGAGTAAGGTCACACTTGTTCCTTGCAGAAGCACAAAAAGACCCACAGGAGGTGCTGCTGCATGAGAAGCCCTTAGAAGAAAATGTCAACAGAGTCTTTGTAGAGAATGAAGCACGGACGGTAGAAGAAGCGATTGCTGTGCTAAGGCAAGCTTTATTACTCTCACTTCATTTCGCCTGTACCTTGTATACCTTTAGATTTCCCCAGTGTCTATGTGTGGCTGCATAATGAGGTGGCGTTGGTTTTGCATGTGTAGTGCTTGAAACTATTGTTTTATAATTATCTTTTGGAGTCACACAGCTAACTGTTGACAGAAATAGAACACAATGCTCTACTACAACTGCATAATGAACTCTAGATTGGTGCAAGAGATGTGACATTTCCTTTTGTCATTGTGAGAAGCTTTGGCTTCAACAAAAGTGCCACAGTTCTCGGCATTCACTGTAACAGTTTGTATTGAGTGCATTCGAATTATGTTCTCCTTCGGCTCCCGTGTACAGTGGTGCTGCCGCTGGTCTAATAGTGTGCCATGCACGACAGAAAATTTTTTTGCGTGTTAAAGCTACTTTGTTGCAGAGGAAATACTCTTGAAAGATCTGCTAGATTGGATCTCTTTTTTTATTTTCTTTGGAGGGCTATGTAACCCTTAGTTCTAAACAAGTTATTGACTAGCCGCGAGTAGATGCTGTCTCAATGGCATGTCACGTGCAGCTTACAGGGAGTGTCTAGGCTGTCTTTCGTACTTGGGTATATTGTGGCTTACCACACTTGACCTTCAGCAAGACTGAAATTCCTAACAGGGCTGAAGTGCTGTTTACTAATTGAGACTTGCATCTCAAAGTGTGCACGCACTTGTGAGCATCTCATAACTTGTTACATCACTCACCAAATATCCTTCCTCCACAGGCATCTGCTGAATGAAACAAAAAAAAGTAGAATTAGTCGCAAAGGAAGGCTATGACAACATTAGGCCGATGACACTGATAACTACAGTCGTCGACCGATTTCTCTGATGCGCGAAATTCTGGACATGCCTGATTTTACGGACTCATCCCCGGCACCGTCATGTTTTCCAGAGAGTCAATGTATTAAAATGTTTAAAATTCCGACTATTATAGCCTTCGTCATCCGATTTTCTGGACTTTTTGCTGTTAACTGCGGACTTAATGTCGCCACCAACACTGCCATTTTGATTGCTTTGGCCTCGAACCCAACTCGCATTGCAGGTGTGGTCAGCAGCAGTGTCGCACCGCGGCAGCCGTGCTCTCAAATTGTCACAATCTAGCGCACAATTGTCACAATCTAGTGCACGCAAATTCAACTATCGGAAAGTAGTACATGGCTGACCGTTCTCACTGGAGCTTGCCGAGTCAAGAATTAGACATGCCTGACACAGAAGGTGATTTATTGTTTGAATTATTGCTTCCTGTTTAAAGTTTTGCGTGCGGTAACCTCATCTTTGGCCAAGTTTTTTTCGATGTGGTCGCATTCGGCTGACCCGCGTGCTGCTACGAACAATACTCTTGTGCACGTATCATGACACACATGGCAAAGAATGATTCCGAGGAACTTCATCTGGCTAAATACCAAGACAAATTAAATAATAATTCACTGTTACATTATGCTCCCTACCCTGTACTTACCATATCTGCAGAAGAAAATAGCCTGTCGTGGCGATTATCCGGCCGATTCGCGTCGTTTATCTCTTGCATTCAGCAGATTAAACACGAAGTGCGAAGCTGCAAGTGTATTGTAGATTCACAGTATGAGCCGTAATGAGGCTGCAAAAGGTACGCAGGCGCTTGGAAGCGAGTATCTCAGCACATTTGCTCGTAATCAGCACAAAATTTTCGCTTTTCCAGCTCATCTATCAGATGGCAGCTGCGGTGCTGCCTGACGCGTCCGAAATCAGGCTCGCCTCCCTTTCGCTAGCGCCCGTTGCACATGCGCTAGCCGCCATAGTGTGCCCAACATTGCGAGAAGGAGTCCTCTACTCTTCCCTACTTTTGGCTTCACAAAATGTGACATAACTGCCTCTTTTCAGTGTAGTCCTTCCTCCATGCACGAAAACTGTGTTCGTTGACCTGTTCGTCTGTCAACTCTGCGGTAGATGCAGTGCAGCCAGTGGCCAGCAACCTGAGATGACTACAACTTGTCATTCGTGAGCAGGTCTTGGTAGTAATTAGAAGCCCAAGGCATCATTGAGCGCGTTGGCTCACCAGAGCAGGTGTTACCTATTGTGGTGGCTAGAAAAAAAGATGGCTCGATTCGCATGTGTGTCGACTTACAGGAGCCAAACAAAGCTGTGCTTGTAGGACAGTTTTCCTCTGCCACAAAATGAAGAACTACTGAACAGCTTGGCTGGGGCGCAGCGATTCTTGAAGCTTGATTCAACATCTGCATAGCTCCAATTACTGGCAGTCTCAGAGAGCTGTGACTGTACCACCTTCATAACTCACGATGGACTCTTTCGTTTCAAGAGGGTTTGCTTCAGACTGGCTTCGGCACCCTCAGCATTTCACAAAATGATGCATATGATCCTAAAAGAGTGCAAGTGCGTTTTATTTCACATTGACAATATAATTATGCACTGTTTTGAAATGGCTCCCTGATGCGGGCCTCAGGCTCAATCACAAGTGTCCTTGTCATTGCAGAGCTAACTTTCCTTGGTCATGTTGTCAGAGCTAGAGGATTATTTCCAATAATGTCATCCATTGAGGCCATAACCAAGGCACAATCACCTAAAACATTGGCAAACTCCGTTCAGTGCTGGGACTTGCAGGTTTTTACTCCAAGTTCATTCCGCATTCTTCTGATGTGGAGCCAATGCGTGCCTTTGCTTCGAGGAAATGTGCTTCGAGGTTTGTTTGGACTGCGGTAGCTTAAAGCAGCTCGGAGCACCTGAAGACCCTGCTAACATCTTGCGAAGTTCTTCATCTCTTCGATCCTTACCTACCTGTGTATGTTACGATGGATGCCTCAGGATATGGATTAAGTGCGCTGATTTAGCAGGATGAGGAACCTCACTGCAAACTGTCGCATTCCGCCTCGCGTACCCTGTAATCACATGAATGGCAGTGCTCAGTTGGCAAATGTGAGGCTCTTGCCTGTGTCTGGGTTTGTGAACATTGACACGTTTACCTGTGGGTGAGGCTATTCATCCTACCGGACTGCTCATGCTGCTTTGGTTACGCTCCTCTCAACGAAAAGTACAGGTCACCATTCATTAAGGATAGCACGTGCACTGGTCCTCACGATTGCTTTGCTACAACTACGCCGTGGAATACAAAAAGGGCAGCGAAAACGGTGTGGCTGACGCTCCCTCCCAGCTGCTTGTACAGAGTTTCGCTCCACGATGTACATGAGGAAGAATTCATATGCCTTTTGTTTCCAGTTGTGACCATGGAGGAGCTTCAAGAAGTGTCAAATGACCCCGCTCTCTCTCTCCAGTTTAACATTTCACAATTGCCTCGTGGCCTGATAAAAAATCTCAGTCAAAAGAGCTGCTTGCTTACTTTCATGTGCGAGCTGAATTCTCAGTTGTAAATGATGTTTTGTGCTGGGGTGAAAGAATTGTCATACCAGTGGCTATGACACGTCGTTTTATGGATCTGGCTTGATGAGTCACACACAGGCATCGTTCCTGAAAGAGTTATTGGTGGCCATGCATGTCTAGTCAGGTTGAAGAGCTTGTGCACACATGTGCCATTTGCCAGTCCTGTGACAAGTCTGCCCGTACTTCTACTGCGCCAGTGCAACCTGTTCCTGACAAAGCCTGGGATAAAGTTGCATTCAACATTGTAGGGCCTTTCACGCAAGCGTCAGCAGACTGCCGTTTTGCTATTGCGGTTATTGAATATTACAGCAAGTGTCCTGAAGTGACTTTCGTAAGGGATGTGACCACACCTACAATAATGAAATTTTTACTGGAATTTTTTGCATGAAAAGGATACCCAAGTGGCTCTGGTATACGATCATGGGCCCCAGTTTTCATCAGCAAATTTTGAAGAATTTCTCACGGAACGTGGAATCACACATTATAACTCTTCTGCGTACTACCGGCAAGCTAAGGGCTTGGGGGAAATATTTAACAAGGTATTGAAGTCCTATATCCAACTGGCTCGGTTTGAATGCTGTTACATAAAAATTGCCATGCTTGATTATAGGCAAATATATCGCTGTACACCTGACGCAACTACTGGTGCTGCACCCGCCTGTTCTTCTTCGTGGACAGCAACCTCGCACAAGAATCGACGTAGTTGGCATGCCCGACAAATGCTTCAGCACAGACCCATCAGGAGCAATCGAGTAGTTGCACAGTGTGTCAAAAACCGGCAAGTAAGGTCGAAGAGCTATACAGATAAAAAATGCGGCCCTATGTACCTAAACTTCGTCGTTGGTAATTATGTGCGGGTGAAATTATCTGTCGTTCCTGGGAAGCTTTCTTCACAGTTTTCTGCACCCAAGAAAATCGTTGAAAAGCGTGGACCGACCTCATACCTTCTGGAAGATGGATGCGTGTGGAACGCGTCCAACTAGCCGCTGTTCACTCTGCACCTGTCACCATAATGAGATCCGGCATCTCTGCTGTCATGAACTGGTCACAGGCATCTACAGAAGCTTCTGCTACAGCTATGAGTGACCTTTCCCATCGTAGAAAATCAAGAGTGGATGAACGTCGACGTGTGAACTTTCCTGAACCCTCCGCATCAGATAGTACTGTGCAAGTTTCACCCAACCTGTTGGGATGTCAATCACGCATTAGAAAGAGCACGCGAAAGAGAAAGACACCCCGGAAGTTCAAGGGCTATATTAGATAGTAATTTTCTTCCCCCCCTTCCCCACAAAAGGGGATATGTGGTGTAAGACGTCACTGCCGACTACAGCACCAGAAATGGCATGTGCTCAATGGCCGTCTCAGCGAAGGCTACGAAGATTGAATTAACAATCTGGAATGCATGTTTCCACAGATGTGTCTTAGCATGCATTACGCAACAATTGTGTGCTGCAGCGTGTTATCTACAGCGTTCACGTTTCCCGAGTGTCTGCATTCACCGAGCTTTTAGCTGTTTGGTGATGTCTTTTCGTCAAGCAAATTCGCTGTTGACAGCGATAGCGCCAAGTGCACCTTCATCTTCGAAGCGCACAAATCCCCCTCGTAGGCTTACAATGGAAAAGAAAGCCGTCCTCAGGCAGAGATGAAGAGGGTGTTCAGAATTCCTAAGTAAACTATTTCGGACTTCATGAAAAACAATGCGAAGACCTTGAAAGTGGCTGCCAAATAAGCCAAGGCTGTAAAGAAGAATGCGAGCCAGGGTGTTTAACCGAAGCTCGAGGAAGCGCTCCTCGTGTGGCTCAATGCCATGATCACTAAGAAAATCCTGCTGTCAGGCGACATCCTGAAGCAGAAGGTGGAGGTTTTTGCGCTTTGTATGAATGAACGTGAAGGATTTCAAGTTCAGTGATGGATGGCTTTGAAATTTTCAGTGCCGCAATGCCTTGAAATTCAAGAAAATGTGCGAGAAAAGTGGCGCCGTCGAGGATTCCGCTGTCGCTGAGCGAGTATCGGAATGGAAGGCTGCAGTCCTTGCTTCAGCGGTTTCTGCTAGACGATATTTTCGACTGCGAGGAAACCAGACTGTTTTACAAGCTGCTGCTAGAGAAAAAGCTTGCATTTGCTGGTGACTCCTGCCACGGTGGCAAGCATAGCAAAGAGCGGTTCACTGTCCTCGTTGATAGCAGCATGTCAGGCAGAGAGAAGCTTGCATTGCTTGTGATAGGGAAGTCGAAGCATCCAAGATGTTTCAAAGGGGCAGCGACTCTGCCTGTTCTTTACGAAGCAAACAAGAAAGCGTGGGTGATGGAGCAGCTAGTCAAAGTGTACGTTTGCAAGCTGGACAGAAGATTCAAGCAGCAACATCAAAAAGTGATGCCGTTTGTGGATAACTGCGCTGCGCATGGCCGCATCAAGGACCTAAAGGCTGTACAGATTTAATTCATGCCACCAAACACTACAGCAGTCCTGCAGCCGATGGACCAAGGCGTGCTTTGCAACTTGAAGCATCTCAGCACCATGCGTGCTCAGCCGCAGGGTGCTGTGCTCCGGCAGCAGGAAAAGCTAGGCTGTTGACCTCAGCTCTGCCGTTGACGTGCTTACTGACTCATGGAAGGCGGTTACCCAAGAAACTCTTCGGAACTGTTTTTGCCAAGTGGGCTTAACCTTTGACACTGAGATGGCTGTCTCGCTCGGAGAGGACAGCGTGTGTGACAAACTTTTGTCTGTGGACGTTGCCTTTGACGATCTGCGTGCTGCCGGCATTTCCATTCCAGCCGGAATAAGCTTTGAGGTCTACGCTGACGCTGACAAAGACCTTGACCTGTATGCGCAATTGGACGGATGACGAAATCATTCGTCAAGTTACGGAGGGTTCCGATGACTCCGACATCGAGGTCGAAGAGGCAGCATCTACACAGCCAATGAGCTCGGAGTTGACCTGAGGAGTGATGACACTGTTATCGGTGTACAGCGACAGCATGACATTATCCAAAATTGAGGCATACATGATCTCGGGCAAGTGAAATGCTTCGCAGAAGAAAATCAGCAACTTCTTTGGGCCAAGTTATGGTTTTTGGACCTATGAGGTAGTGCCAGCCATATCGGACTTCTTTCTTTTTCTTTAAGCAAATGGCTATTTTCAAAGCCACCTAAACGATGCATTCGCTAGATTGCAACGAGAATCTTGTACTCCTGCCGTGACTCTATCAGGGAAAAATGCCTCTAGAAAAGATGCGTTTTTGCGTGCATTCATTTTTCTGGACTGCCCGATTTTTCGCATGTTTTCGCGGTCTTTGAGGGTCCGGGAGATCAGTGAGCTGTAATGCATTGAGAACAAATTGCAACCGGACTTTCTAGCTACTTACTAACAAGTGCGCATGGACCTGCTGTTTTGGCTTAAAACGGCTGCCCTGTCAGTAGGAACTGACATGGGGCTTAAACAACATTTATTTTTAAGACGGGGAAAGGCGTGTCTAGACATCTGTATGCATGTGTTTGTAAGGCATGTGAAGAAAATTTTAGTTGGAGAGAGTTGAACTCTCTTTCTGGCTATGCTATTGGATGTTCCAGAACATTTTTACATGTCGTGGCAGAAATTTAGTTCTGAAATTTGAGGCACAGTAGACGATTTCTCCGTGGAATGCCACACAGTTTTGCCTTATGAAATGTACAGGGAGTGTATATGCAGTGTTATCTCTAGAGTGGGACTGGAAGGTTTGTTGTCTATCCAGTGATGTAGCGCATCTGATCCTTTCATTGCAACCTTTTTAGCTATTATGTTCTTTCACAAAATTTTTCTTAGGCCACATACTTCTCCTTATACTTGCATCCAAGTGAATCATAATACTATTGCTACAGTGAAGACGTTGCTCCTCCACGCAGTGTGAACGATGCACCAGTCGACAGGCATCCCGAGAGGAGGGCCAAGGCAGCCTATGACGCCTTCGAAAAGGCAAGGCTTCCCGAACTGAAGGCCGAGAACCCGAACCTGCGACTCTCCCAGCTGAAACAAATGATCCGCAAGGACTGGATGAAGTCTCCCGAGAACCCCCTCAACCAGATACAAGCTGCCAGAAAGTTCTGACTGCAGTATGAGCCACATCACTCAGTTGCACTTAGCTTGTCGGGATGAAGGTGCATGCTTCTTTTCTTCTCTTCAAGTAGGTGCAAGTGGCTCAGCAGTGAAACCGGTTTTGCTGAGATGACATCATAAGTGTTGTGGTTCAGTCATTGACCTCTGGTGTTTCTTGAGCACGTCCTCGGAACAGCTGTGTCAAACCCAAGCACAGTTGCTTTATCAAAGTCTGGAAAGTTTCATTTCTTTTCACTGGTGAATTTGCCTTCTGTTGTGGCTGCTGCAGAGACAATTTAGTGAGTGAAGATAGTGCCCACGCACACTTGGAGAATTCTCATGGTGAAACTTGCGAAGCCGAACATTATGCTATGCTCGGATTGGTGAAAACAAACTCTGCTCTAGAGAAGCAAAAACCATTGTGACTGGATCCAAGTTGAGTTTATAGTGCCACAAACTCTAGGATTTCATCCATCAACAGGATACTTTAGAGAAAGCAATTTACTGCAGAGCATATTTAAATTAATAAGTAGGAAATGTGAACCCATCTTGAATTTACCTCTGAAATGATAGTTATTTATCTCATAGGGAACACCCAATTACGAATTTTATTTCTTACTGACCTGTAGAACATATTATCAACAGCAGAAATATAAGGTTTTCAGCCACTCCTTGAAAATTCTGGCACCTAACTTATGCGCACTTTTATTCTTGTTATGTAATTTTTATTATACTGTGATGACCTTGTCTTGCTTAGTTATGTACAGTAACGATGGTGGAATCACTTGTGCAATGTGTTCACTGTTTAGAGACTATAAAGAGATGGAATGATGTGTCCAGGAAAGAGCAGCAGCAGATTTTCCATCTGTTGCATCATTTAGCCCTTCGTGAAATGGATGTGATGGAGATAAATAAAGGCATGAGCACTGTGTGCTTTCCTTGCAAAACATGACCATCTGGCACTCAATTCTCTTTCACAAACTCGCTGTTCCTTTTAAAGGTTAGCTCTTTCAAGCTGGGACGTGAAGTACACTCAGACCTCATGACAAAAAGTTTCATATTACATGAAAATGAGTTCCTGATAACTGTAAATTTGTTGGAAAGCTTTTTTCTAACATTTTTTATTGCAAGACTATTTTTCATTTACTTTGATATAACCGATATTTCGTTATGTCAAGGTCTGTGTGTTACAGCAATGTAAAAGAATAGACTGTTTGTTGTACAAGTTAATGCCGTACTTACTTGCGTAATGAACCCACCTTTTTTCAGAAAGGTTGATGGTAATTTAGGGGCAGGGTTCATTACTCGGGAGAAGAAAGTCTCTGGAGGTATTACAGCGAAAATTTCGGGCGACGACCTTGCTTGTTTGGACCCATGAAATGCGTGACAAATTTCTTTTGTAGTCCGAAGCTCTTTTTGTTTTGTCCCGTAATGAAAGTGCATGGATTGACCCTGAAGCGTCGTCCAGCCGCTCGGTTCCAATGCTCCAGTGCATGCTGTCAGTAACCAGCCGTGTAGCTAGCATAATGGCCGAATGCACCCTGCGCAGCAGGTGTCTGAACTAAGTTCACAGCGACAAACCTAACAACGAAAACGCAGCGTTTGATGACGGATCCACGAACATTGTATTTGATGTTGCGGGTGCACAATGCACCGTCGGCGCGGTGGGTGCGGTTGCACTTTGCAAAGGTCAGAGATTGCAAGCACGCGGCGTGTTCCGTTACTGAGCGCGAGTGTCATTTTGGACGCCACACACTTCGTTTTTGTGCCGCTGTGTTTGCGTGGCGCTATCAGCAAAGAGGTTTCTCCTGCATTCGACAGATGGCGCTTTACCGTTCAAGGCACCAATATTCGAGCCACACGGGGTCCGTGAGAGAAGAAATCGATGTAAGCACAAGGGCCGAGCTAAGTCAGACATTGGCTATATTAACATGCACGGTGGCAGGAATAGGTTAAAGTGGGAAGATATGGAAGAGCAGTTTAGGCAGGAGGAGCTGATGATGTGTGGGGTTATGAAGAAACATCCTCGTGACATGGAGCAACCACCTTGCAATCCGGACTACGTATGGGAATTTTGCAATAGAATAGAAGGCAGCAAAAAGGGGGGTGGAATTGGCGCATTTATACACAAAAGCATGGGTTGGCAAAGAGTCAAGCAGGGATGCATGGAACATTTATGGTTAAAAGGAAAAGTAGCTGGGCAGATGACGCTCCTTGGTTTGGTGTACTTGTGGACGGGAGCAAAGGCCAGAGTGGAAAATTAGGCAATGGTAGAGTGTGTAACAAAGGACATCGAGGAATTGGGAGGAGAGTGCGAGATAATTATACTAGGAGATTTGAATGCACACATAGAAGATATAGATGGGTATACTGACCCAACAGGCAAATTGATCATTGCTATGTGTGAAAGGCATGATTTTACCATTTGCTACAGTACCGAGAAGTGTGAAGGGCAAATAACATGGGGTGGAATTGGCGCATTTATACACAAAAGCATGGGTTGGCAAAGTGTCAAGCAGGGATGCATGGAACATTTATGGTTAAAAGGAAAAGTAGCTGGGCAGATGACGCTCCTTGGTTTGGTGTACTTGTGGACGGGAGCAAAGGCCAGAGTGGAAAATTAGGCAATGGTAGAGTGTGTAACAAAGGACATCGAGGAATTGGGAGGAGAGTGCGAGATAATTATACTAGGAGATTTGAATGCACACATAGAAGATATAGATGGGTATACTGACCCAACAGGCAAATTGATCATGGCTATGTGTGAAAGGCATGATTTTACCATTTGCAACAGTACCGAGAAGTGTGAAGGGCAAATAACATGGGAGGTAGGAAGGCTGCAGTCAATGATGGGTTATGCACTGATGTCACATAGGATGTATGATAGGCTCAGGGTAATGCACATAGACGAATGGGGCTCCAGAAGTCTGGGTAGTGATCACAAATGCATCAAGCGAAGTTTTGAAAGAGCAATGAAAGTGGGAAGGAGACAAGATGAGCAACTACAGGGGAATTTATATTCAGAAAAGCAAATAGAAATAGCTACTAAATAAATTGGGAAAGTAATCACTGAGGATAATAAAACAGTGTGGGCGTACACAAATCTAATTAGACTGTTTGAGCTAGAGCTTGCTAAGGCATGTGACAAGCCACCCCGGAAAAGGAGACACAAACCCAAGAGTTGGAAGGATGAGAAAGTTAACAGAGCCATAGCAAAGCGTCAGGAAGCCTCTAGGAAACACAGACATGCTAAGCAGAGGGGTGAACCGACAGATGATGTTGAAAGAAAATGGGATATCTTTCTAAGCTGTGAAAAGGGAGCATTCCATCTGATCAGTGAAAAGATTAGAAGAAAGGGGGCTCAGTGGCTGGCAGAAGTACATAAAAAGGATAGAAAGGAGAAAGGCAGCCACAAAATTTTGGAACCATCTAAACTCCTTAAGAAATAAGACAAGCCTAGAGCAGAGGTTTATAACTACAGCTCAAGGTGTTAGGCTAGAAGAATATATAAGAGCAAGGATGACAGAAAAATTTCAACAAAGAAGTGCCTTATGCAACACAATAGACAAGGATGGATCAAGTGGTGCAATGGCTCCATTTTCACAAGGAGAGTGGGAAAGGGCCGAGAAGAGGGTTCCTAGTACATAGTACATCAACAGGTCATGACAGCATCCCAATTACCCTGATAAAAGAATTAGGTCCCAAGTCTAAGCAGACTTGGAGAGAGGCAGCGAGCAAAACAATAATCGATGGTGAAGTCCCTGATGGATGGAAACTTAGCAGAATGAGCATGATCTATAAAGATAAGGGGGACAAAGCTGACATAAACAACTATTGTCCTATAACAGTGACATCAGTGGTTTACAACTTGGTTATGCAGATTATAAAGCAAAGACTGCAAGCATGGATAGAGGATGAGGAGGTGCTAGGGGAACTGCAGAATGGGTTGTGAAAACAAAGGAGGTTGGAAGATGATCTATTCTCACTGACGCAGTGCATTGAAATAGCAGAAAAGGAACACAGGCCCCTTAGACTAGCATTTTTGGATATCAAGGGAGCTTACGATAGCGTGGTTCAAGAGGTTTTGTGGGAAATACTGGACACACTAGGTGTGGAGGATGGAGTCACTAAGCTCTTGTAGGATATCTATAAAAGTAACAGGTAGGTATAAAAGTACCGTATAATGCGGAATATAGGTCGACCCCTTACCTTGACCAGCAAAAAAAGAAAAAAGAAGAAAAATGCGGAATTGTTCACGGCTCCACTTTATTTAGTCCACCGAGCTGTCGGAGCTCTCCTCCGACGACTGCTTATCACTAGCCGCCTCCCATAGCATGCCGTCCTCAGTGCCGTCGAGAGCGTTGCTGAGGCAGCACTTTTTGAATGCGCGCACCACCATCCCTTCAGGCAGAGACTTCCGTGCCTCGGAGACCCAACCAGAAACTGTCGCGAGAGGTGGCCTGCGCAGCCACCCTGTCGGGGTCCGCAGGTTGTCGCCAGCCATCCATTCGGTGTATAGCACACGCGCACAATCTTTGAAAGGTTTATTAAAGATGACGTCCAGCGGTTGCAGTGTTGACGTCATCCCTCCCAGAATGACGACAAGATCTGTCTTTCCGTCGCAAAGGCTCTTCTTCACTGATGCTGTCAAGTGCTTGCGAAACGCATCCAACACAAGCATGTTCCGGTGCTGCAGGAGTGCTCCGGGCCGCCGGTTCCACACTGTGCGGATCCACTCACGCATTAGGGCTTCGTCCATATAGCCCTTCTCGTTGACGCAGATGACGACATCCCGCGGGAAGGCCTCCTTTGGCATCGTCTTCCGCTTGAAGATGATGAGGGGGGGGGGGCAAATTTCTGCTATCGGCCATGCAGGAAAGCATAATGGTGAAGCGCGAATGCTCGCTTCCGGTCGACGAAAGCTTCACCTTTTTTTTCCCCACGTTCACAAACAGTCGTGGACGACGGCATGTCGAACCACATCGGCGTTTCGTCGGCGTTGCCGATCTGGCCGAGCATGTAGCCATGCTGCCGCTGGAGGCTGTTCACGTAGAGTTGGAACTCTATCAATTTGTCCTCGTACATCTCCGGCAGCTTCTCGCATATCGACGTGCGCCATCGAAGGGCAAATCCCTTGTGTCGCATGAAGCGATGGGCCCAATAAATGGATCCCTTGAAGTCTTTCTTTGACAGACCGGCTTCACAGGGCGAGCTTGACGACTTTTGATCGAATGAGCTTCGCATTCACTAACAGGGATCTTGCACGGTACTCGCGGACGAAATCCGCCACTTTGTCCTCGAGTTCTGGGTGCACAGCTCGGCCACAGCGAAACGACATCTTCCTCACGTTACACACCGACAGTTTAGATTTTTGGTTGCGCCAATACATGACGCTTTTCTCGGACACTCCAAACTGCCGCTGCGCCACCATGTTGCCATTCGCCTCCACGAATTCAATAACTTTTCTTTTAAATGCGGCGGTGAACTGTCGCCGCGTCCCGGTATTCATGACTAGTCGCAGAGTAACGTTGACTTTTGCTACGAACACTAAATGAACAAGAAAAAAGAAATGGCGTCGGCAGAGAACGCGTCGTCCCAAAGAGGCGATGTCGATGCTGATGCCCAAAAAGCATGTGACACTCCCCGTTGCCAGACGATCACTTGGTTTTATGCCAAGGGCCGGTATATAGGTCGAGGCGGGACTTTTTATTGACATTTTTTGGAAAAAACCTCGATCGATATTCCGCACTGTACGGTAAGTCCGAGCCCACAGAGATAAATGGGGGCTTAGGCAGGGGTGTCCCTCTGTCACTCTTATTATTCATGATGTACCTGCAAGGATTAGAGGCGAAATTAGAGGGGAGTGGACTTGGCTTCAACCTCTTTCGTCAAACAAGGAAAACTCATTGAACAGGCACTACCAGCATTGATGTACGCAGATGATATAGTGCTAATGGCTGACAAGAAAGATTTGCAGAGATTAATGGACATCTGCGATAATGAGGGAGATAAGTTAGATATGAGGTTCAGTAGGAAAAATCAGCAGTAATGATTTTTAATGATAATAAAGGTAGTGAGCTTACGATACAGGAGGTCACGCTAGAGATAATGAATAAATACAAATATCTGGGCTTATAGATAAGCAATGAAACCGAGTATCTAAGAGAACATGAAATATACGTAACAACTAAAGGAAACAGGAATGCAGCCGTGATGAAAAATAGGGCACTGTGGAATTACAATAGGTATGATGTGGTGAGAACTTAGAAAGGTGTCATGATTTCTGGTCCGACTTTCGGCAATGCGGTCTTGTGCATCAGATCAGAGGTTCAAGCAACATTAGAAATTAAGCAACGAGGAATAGGTAGGCTTGCTTTTGGAGCTCACAGGAATACACCAAATCAGGGAGTACAAGGTGATATGGGATGGACATTATTCAAAGGCAGGGAAGCTAGCAGCAAGATAAAATTAGAGAAGTGATTGAGAGAAATGGGGGAGGAGCATTGGGCTAGGAAGGTTTTCAGCTACTTGTACATGAGGAATGTTGATAGATACAAAATGGAGGAAGCGAACCAGAAAATTGACGGGTAAATACCTTGAAAAGAGCAGGGGGCCAAACCAAAAAGAACTATCGGTTAAGAAGAAAGTGAAGGAAACGGAGACTGACATGTGGAGAATGTGCATGATTAAGAAGTGCGCACTAGAGATCTATCGAACTTTTAAGCAGGAAATTGCCAAGGAAAGGATCTATGGTAATACTCGGGGTAGTTTTCTACTGTTTGAGGCAAGGACGGGAGTACTGCGAACCAAGACATATCGGGCCAAATAGGAAGGGGTAGACACAGTATGCAGTGCGTGTGGAGAGGAAGAAGAAACTGCCGAACACTTGATAATGTTCTGTAAAAGGCTTCATCCTATATTTCAGGATGATGGCGCAGAGTTTTTCAAAGCACTGGGGTTTAGGGACAGGAGGGCAAAATAGACTTTAAGTGGGTAGAATTAACTAGAAAGAGGTTAACTGATTGGTTACTAAAATTGAGGCACGAGTGAAAATTAAACCCTTTACTGCAAAGTACCAGTCCTCAACTTCACTATTTAAAGGAAAATAAAAAAAAGATAAGTCTAGTTTTTGGTTCACTAAGTATTACGGCTAGGTGGCGTTAGCCGCTGCCCGATCTAAAGGGTACAGCCATATAAATCCATCCATCCAACCATCGCGACTTTCAAACTTTAATTGACGTCGTCCGTGCTCATGCTACTCGCAACTGTTTAGCGTGATTGCATAACTATCTTTTGCTTTCATTGCGTTGTTATTTTGTCATATAATGGCTTGACTTGACGTTGTTTCGATCATTAACGACACTGGCTCTCATACCGAAAAAAAAATGATCAGACACATCAAAAAAATTTTTCCTTTTTTTCAAGGATGAATGTGGAGGGTGGCTTTATTATGTGAGTAAATACGATAATTCATAGTAAAAGAAATTGGCCAGAAAGAATGCAAGTCATGACACAGATAGTCTTTTCAGCCTCATGTTCTTACGTGTTAAATTCCTTCGTAACCAACAGCTGTACATACAAGTGAGGTGTTTGCTTGTTCATTGTAGTACATACATGTGGCCACAACAGTCTGTAGAAATGGGTTTCACAAAAATGAGAATTTTCGTTCTGCTAATATGTGGTGCTTTTAATTTAACCAGTCCTTACTTAGGCCACAAAACTCATTATGGGCTGAAGCTGTGAAATTAGGGGTGATGCTGGTCGAAAAACGTAAATTTTCTAAAAACATACTGATTTTTTGTTTTCACCTGTTTTGATAAAATTAGTACCTCTGCTGTTCCGAAAAAAAAAAAAAAAAGAAATGTCGAGACTAAACTGTAAATGCTTTAAAATTGTGTCTAAAGAGCACAAGGTGCCTGTTAAAAGGCCGAAAGTTTGCAGTCTTCGAGCACCTTGCCAGTGATAATGTGCTGCCGCTCGCCATTGTCGATCATACGAGTCAAAGAGCCGAGCTTCACTCTTCAAATAACGACGGTCTCCCGCGCTGTTGCAGCGCAAGAAATAATGAAGAGTAGCACCGCTTTTGCCGCGTTTTTCGAGTGCCACGACTGGCTTTTAAATCATGTGGTATGGATCAGGGGACCACCATTGGCCGCTGCATGTCTGTATGTGCTGTGAAGTCTATTTGGAGGGTCTGTCTCTCGTCGAGCAGCGCATCTGAATGACGCTTTTCTCGTGTGTTTGTCTCCATTATGGATGAAGAAAGCCGTAGCTAGAGCAATAGCTACTCTGTCAACATGAAAACGTTGTGGCGGCGCACTCTGTAGGAATGAGCTACTGAGCACTTGGTCTGACTTTGCGGTGATTCTTGGTTTTCAAGAGCCAGTGCATCAAAGTCATTCACAGCCATCAGCCGAGACAGTCCGTGATGCAGCAATGGATGCCATCTGTGCCAATCATGTGAAGTCGAGGGAGCTCACAGTGGGGGAAGTTAGAGGGGATGACATTGCCGTAATGTACGACGGTATGTGGCACAAACATGGCCACAATGGCATCGGCATGATTGTCATCGGCCATTTAATGGCCCTGTCTGTGAGGAGTCGACTCGAAAGAGCCGTGAGGGACCAACTTATGGTAATGGCGCATTTTAGTGGCAGTGGATATACTAAATGAAGGATCATTCTTTTTGGCGTGCAAATTTTATCGCATTTAATGCCAAATTTTATTAATAAAAATATGAGTTTAACATTAAAACTAGTTGTTTTTTTTTTTTTTCAAAACACAGATTTTGTCATTTTTTTCGATGTGCTCCACCTTTTTCAAGTACTTCTGGTGCTCGGATCTGCATGAAATATTGCCCAAACCTTTTCCAAAGTACGACAAATGCACTCATCTACATTAAATTTTAATATTTTATTATATTATAAAAAGCTCTATGTCAACCTTTACTAGGGTAGGACAATAATAGACTTTTTAACCTTCTATTACATAATTTGTATGCACTTCCTAATTAGGTATTTGCATTCTACATTTTATTTGAAACAATATGAAGTATGAAAGATGAAAAATTGTGGTAGTTTAGTGATCAAAAGAGGGGGGGGGGGGCAGAAGGCTTAAGGTTTTCACTTTGTCATATTGCAGAGATGAAAGCATGCAACTTCAAGGAAAACTAATTATATACTTGAAATCAGCATGAAAATTTCTGCAAAGAGCTCAAGTGTCATTGCTCTAGGGTGAATATTTATAAACAAAGTGTCTGAGTCTCACCTCCCCTAAAAGAAATGTGCAAAGGCTTTGAGTAAATTCAGCTTGTACACAAGTCCTCTGTCACACAAACACCCATTGCTGACTACACACACATAGAGAAAAAGAGATGGGACATTTCACAAGCATACGAGTTTCATTTATTGCTCCAAGTATAAAGATTGGTCCCAATGAATCGTGGACTGTGCCCAAGGAAGTGTAAAGATGTTCCTTAGTCGCAATGCGTATCTCTCTGTTCTGAGCACAAAGTCATGGGTGTAAAAATCCCTGAGATATGCTGCTCGTGTAGACACTGCCTGAGGACTGTAAAAATAAGAGAAGTGCTAAATGCGCTCACCAACACACTTGACACTTAGATAAAAGCAGTTAACTAGGTGGATGTATACATATGCACTCACCAACACACATGACATTTAGATGAAAAACAACTAACTTGATCGGTGTATACACAGCAAGCGATAGTGTAGAATAAAACAGAAACCCGTATCTTAAGGCAGAAGATGCAAGCCCTCCAGCTCAGAGTTAAAATCACTCTAATGGGCATTTGGAGGATGAGGTTACATCAGTGTATGCTCGTTATATAGAACAGATCACAAGAAAAAAAAAATGGCATAATCACTTTTACCTAGTGTTCACATTTTTCTGTCTTCTAGACACAACACAATTTGTTTTCAGGAGTAATGCACATGTGTGAACACATAGATGTAGATGTCTTAAAGTTCAAATTATGCAGGTAACAATGAGTTCTATTGCAAGGTGGATACTCTCTTTTCCTGCTGCCAACACTACCACAATCATTTCTACTCAGTTTATTGTTTTAAGGAAAGGCAAACTGAGATTGAGGGGTCTGCGTGATTCACAAACTGAGTCAGATTCAGTGGATGAAATGTGGCATCAATTTGTGCACCAAAAGGAGAGTGATATGCTGATTAAATATTGCGGCATATACGAAGTACCCTGGGTGGTCAGAACTGTTGCAGAGCTGTGAACTACAGCACCGCTGATAACCTGCCGAGCAGCCGTGCCATGCTAAATGCCACGGTTTAGTTCAAGCGCTACACTGAAACGACACTGAAAATTTGTTTCAAGAACTGGTTGCAGCAGCCGAACACGAGCCACTTCCCTGATTCACAAAAAATAAGGCAACGCTAGTGGTGACAAAGCAAGTAAAAGTTCCTTGCAGGGAGCATCATATGTGGGTCTCTCTAGATTGATACTTGCACTGGGTAATAGTCTGGAAACACATATAAAATTAATGACAGTGCCATCGTGAACATAAACTTACTTCAAAACTAGAAAAAAAAAACATATTATTACACCGGAACTAGCTGAATAGTTCAAGCTATGACAGCTAGAACAGTTGTAGCTAGCTAAGAAGTCCAAACACGTTATTGCACAGAAACAACAGGCCGTGAGAAGTACGAAATATTGCTGAACTCTAAGGTCCTTGTTGCATGCCTATAATAAACTGGAAAACCAGCAACCCTAAGTCGGATTTTCAATGCATACTTAAATACATGAATGTGGGAAGAGATTATGTAGACCAATGGTAGAGCATTGCTAATGTAACGCACAAATTGTGAGTTTTGGTTCTGCAAGTCGGCTCTTCGACATCGATTTTCCCAATGCTTTCTTCAGCTTTGAACTAACACCAACAGGGTAAAATATTAAAGTGCTGGCTCTCCTCCCGCAATTTATCCAGACACCGAACTTGCCATGAGCACTTACTGTAGCCTACATAGGCACAGGACAAGAAATTCAGTGTCTAATGTCAGAGTTTCTGCAGGTTATGCTGAACAATGGCTACTGCTTTGCGCAAGATGTGTTCGATATCCGAGATTGTGTTGTCGCCAAACACTGGGACGTCATTGAGGCTTCTGCCAGCATCCATAGACGCACTCGCTGTCAGAAGCACGCCCCGGGATTCCAAAAGATGCTCAAGGGGGTCTTCCTTCTTCTTGCCGCTCTGAGGAGAAATAATTCAAATAAGAGCATGAGCATGACTATAGTTACTATACTTCAAATTTAAGTAATCAGTAGAGCTGTTTCTTGTTACACTTTTTATTGAATTTTATCATAACTGAGAACAAGCGTAAGTATATGAATAGTACTATGAGTAGCATGTTGCTGTATGCTAGGGAAAGCATCTAGTGTTCCGCAGATTCCATGGCAACTTCATCTTGAGCAAGTAGAGTGACATTTTCATACTGATCGACATAAAATCAGAAGTGTCTGTATCTTGTTGGCTGGCATGCAGGGACCAAGAACTGAATTTACAATGTGGAACAATTTACGACATGAAAGAAACCAGCACCCTGCATTCTAAGACACTATCAATTTTTATTAAAATTTCGCCCAATATTGACATCGTGTGAACCCTTGCTGCACCTTCAACTTTAAGCATAATAAAACAGCCAATTTATGCATGTGTCTATGAAGGCAATAGCATGGCATTCATAACAGTTGGGACACAAGCACAGTGATACTGTTTGTGTTAACTTGCTGAACTTACCATTTCTTTGTTAAACATGACGACCACTCCCCATGGTGGTAGGTAAAGGGCACTGGACAGTGAAACCATGTCGCCGCCGGCTACAAGTACCACGTCCAGGTCTTGTGTCTGCATCACCTGCATGATTTTGTAATTACAACACTGCTGCACTAATAATGTGAAATATATGCGTCATAAAAAACCCGTATGCCCATTGACCACTTCAAGAAAGATATTGGTAATGACTTAAAACTTGCAATTATGGTGTTTTATTTACTCCAATGATTATATAATTGCATAGTATTGTTGTGCAACTGTCGACCAGTGGCGACACTCAGTGTACAAACCCTAGTGACTTGGTTTTCTCTTATCTTCCAGTTTTGGCAATGTGGAAGCATAACTAACTTCTTGAGGCACTTTCTAATGAAGCACTAACAAAGTAGGGCGTTCTCCAGGATATGTACATGCCAGGTAATTAGAAACAAAATGCACACCTGTTCTTTTAGTGACAAGCGACTGTAGTCAATTTCCACGGCTTTTGCGAAACTGGAGATCTTCTTGGCAATTGTACGTCTGTAGTCTGGTAGCACATGATTTGTTGTACTGTTGTCAAAAGTGAAAAAAAAAAAAAAAATAAGAAAGAACAAGAGATGTTACCTACTGAATGTAATCGATTGCACAATAATATCAAGGGAACCGTCTCTACGTACAAGTGCAAAAGCGGTAGAGCCAGTCCAATTCTTGGCTGACGCTTGGGATCTGGCCTTAGCATGTGTATGGCCAGTGTTTCCTTGATTCGCTCTACAAATCCCAACAATGCATTGGCCGCTTCTTGGTCACCAAGCTCTGGCACCTGCGAAATGCCCCATACTCACCTCTTCAAGGAAATCTCACAAAAGCTTGTGTATAGTAGTCTAGGAAGTGCAGGTTATTGATCATGCTGTAGCATCAGCTTTGAAAGCTTACCCCAAAGTAGGCTTTACGAAAGCACAGTGTCTTGTTAACAGCCGAGAGACGCTTGTCAAGAGGCAACACATTGCATCCTCTTGCTACTGCCTGCAATTGAGGTGAAAAAAAAAAAAAAAAGTTAGCTCAAGGTAGTACTGACCAATATCGGAATGCTAAAGCTATTTTTTTTTTTCTATAGGTGAGTAGAACTTGCCTGTATCAGCTGGTTTTTAATGAGGGAGGATTCGAGAAAAAAGTTTGTGTCCCAATCAATCACCTAGAAAAAAGGAAAGTTTTGTGTTAAGTAAACACGGCCTTGCGGGGTCATTGTTCCCGCGTTTCGCCCACAGATCAACTTGGAGAAAGAAGAACAAACAAGCTTGCTACTTGTTCAGAGTTTCCGGAAGACTACAAGCAACACTACATCGTGTGCCGATAATACGTTGAAGCACATATTATTCTGGGGTCTTATTAGCAGACAATTTCCCAGTGGACTGCAAAGTAATCACCATTCATTCTTTTTTTTTTTTTCATTGGTCAACAAGTGTCCGAGGCAATGTTTGTCTATCGCAAAATGACGCTTGACAGAACCATACGTACCCCTCTGTCTGCATGTTCAATTGCCGGCAGCACCACCCCTTGATCGTCTGCGGCTTTCGATGATGCGTGCATGTCCAGCGCTGTGAAAAGCGGTATCACCACGTCTCGAAGGAACATTCCTGGTGGCTGGTGCACTTGGAACTTCAAGAAGTAACCGAATTTCGAAAACTTGATCGCATAAGAGGGCGTCCATTTTCGCTTCGGGAGTTCCGTCCCGCTATGCTCCACGCGGGCTTCAGCTCTGTACATGTGTTTGTGCTTGCTACAGCGCCGTGAACACTCAAGCTATGGCTACCGACGTCGAACTCCAGATCGGTCACCTTCGCACAATCCATTAATCGATGAACTACGGTGAGTCGGCAAATTTTCGGCGTGAGCGACATTGGTGATCGTGAATACCGTAAGTAGTGCATACACTACTGGTAACATGTTTCGGGCAGTTAGTCGCATTCTTTCGAAAGCTGCCAGAATTGAATGAAAGAAAAGCGATCCCTTGCTTGTATCGGAGATTCGTCAATCAGCTCGCACGGGTTTGCGTCGCAGTCAGTTTTCACTTTCACTGTCTCATTTACCACCCGTGACAGCCTCTTTGGTTTCAGTTTACCGCTCACCATACTGTAACTTCGAATAACTTACTTTGACGTTTGCCAAAAACCTATATGATCGAAACATAAACAAGCGCGCGGACGGCTTGCGGCAAAAGTTCGAAGACGCCTTCCCAGAGGGCGGGGCGAGCGCTTGGTGTCGATGTTCATTTAGCAGCAAAACGAACTCGCAAGTGGAAATTGTGATGAATTTGCACGTGACTGGCAGTTACACAAAACAGGGTTCTTTCAACACCAAGCTAATTAATCATGTTTTAATAATACTAGCACTGTAATTAACTCTTCATTGTTTTTAACAATCTGAGTGACAGAACGATGAAGACAAGGGCAAGGAGAACGAAAGATCCGGCAAACTCGCCCTGTAGTGTCGTGTCATACTTCGAACTTTTTAAAAACGCAACAGGTTTCATTCCAAAATGAGTGGAGAAAAACATATGCCAGAGAGCGCTGTACCATTTCCCGTGCTCTCAAAAACACGCGAATTACTTGCCACTTACTCAAGCCAGGTGGTCAAGTATTGAAGTTTCGAAGCTCCCGCCACGCCCCTTCAACGTGCGTTTCTAATGTATTTTTCTTTCTTCTAAGTAGCGCATGCAGGCTTTCGCGACAACGGAGCGTTGTTCCTGCAGCTTTCACAGCTGCTCGTCACTTTGCCACAAGCGAGCTGTGAGTTTTCAGTAGTAGTTTCGCGGCTGCACGCACGCACGCACACACACCAACTTTCGATCAGCCAATCAAAAAGCTCCACGGAAGGCCTGCTTCCTGTAGTTTCTTTCGTTTTGTGTTTTCACGCGCGGCATCGGTACTCCGCGATTAGTCGTATGAAAGAAGTTGCCAGCAGGTCAGTCGCCGTCTTCGTCAGCAACCCCGAGTGTCACAAGGGCTACTCCTGGCAAAAGAGGCTGCTTGCTCGTTTCGCCGTAACAAACGCTTCTAGGTGCCTCAAGATGAAGCTCATCATCGGAACGTTGGGCCTCCTGGCCCTCATCACGCTGGTGTGGTCGGCCGAAGAGAAAGTCAAAGGTCCCTAAAGTTACCGACAAGGTAAGCGTCATGCCTGAGCACGCTGCCGACGTGTAAGCGCACACTTCATGCACGACATTACACTCCTGCCGTAGCGCCAAGGTTTTGTTCGCCGATAACTCTAATGCACGCCGCGTTTAATTTTTAGGTGTACTTTGACATCGAGATCGGAGGCGAACCCGCCGGTCGGATAGAGATCGGTCTGTTCGGCAAGACTGTGCCGAAAACTGTGAAGAACTTCAAGGAACTGTGCCAAAAGCACCAGACCGAGGTGAGCTGCGAAGGCTTTCCCGTTTGTAGTGGACATTCCTCGACACGTGTTTTCATTCTTGCTTGCAGAAATCCAAGGATGGTAGCCTTGTTGGCTACAAAGGCAGCAAGTTCCATCGTGTCATCGCTGACTTCATGATCCAAGGTGGTGACTTTACAAAAGGAGATGGCACTGGAGGTGAGATGAGTTGCTGGTCTTGCAGTGGGTGCTTTTCGTGCCTTTTTTGTGAGATACTGCTCATGTTTAGCATGCAGCTACAAAGCGCAGCATTTTTCTTTAAATAAGCTATGATATTGGTTTAGCTGTGCGGTTTACTGGGCCAGTTTGTGCATGATGTCTAGTTGAAGGGTTCCAGCACTTTGTAAAAATGAGCACGAGAAGACACACAGACAACTAAAGTTTATTAAAGGGACTGTACTCCTCGGAACACCAGCAGCCATGCATAAAGAACCAAGAGCAGTAATCATGCTAACGTAAAATCTAACATGCTTCACACCCGCTCCCGCACATTTTTTTTATCATTAATTGAACCTCAACACATGCACTACATGGTGAAATGGTAGTTCCATCAGATATTGAAATTCTTAATCAGTGATATGCACCGAAGGTTCACTGATACATAATTCAGCACCCAACTTCAAGATGTGAAAAGCTTCACATATTTCCCTTTCTACTCAATTACATTCCCTCCCCACAAATGAAACACTGCCAACAACTTGTCTGCATCCGCACCTCTTGCAATGCAAGGGCAAGTGCCGTCCTGTGCCAGTTGGTCGCAGATTGCAATGTTCACGCATGTGCTCACTGAAGCAGTGGCCCATCTGGCTTACATAGGACCAACCGCATACTCTAGAGATGGTGCACAAGTTGTGAAAACAGTGGAACATTTTTTTCCCCAGAACTACTGCTTGCACTTTCCTAATATTGGTATTCATTGCATATGCAATGGCTTCAACAGTAATTGTGTACTTATAGAGATTTAATCAGTACTTTACTGTAATTTACAGTGTACTTACTATGAACAATCATCTGCAAAAGTAGGATGAAGAGAAGAATTGTGAGAGCAAGTATTTATTCAGCACATCGGTTCAGTTTAGCTGCTAAAGGAATAAGTAATGTTTCTGTATCTAAAATTTTGGTGCCCAATATCGGCACACAGTGGTCGTGAATTTTGTGTGCCACTTATTGTTATATAAAAAGTGCATTACGCATATTTGCATTGGAGAGTGGGCATATTATGCAAGCAAACTAAAACTGTCATTCTTGCGTTATCTATAGGACGGAGCATCTATGGAGAGCGATTTGAGGACGAGAACTTCAAGCTCAAGCATTATGGTGCTGGCTGGCTCTCAATGGCCAATGCTGGAAAGGACACTAATGGGTCACAATTCTTTATCACGTGCAAAAAGACCACTTGGTTGGATGGCAAGCACGTGGTGTTCGGCAAAGTTCTTGCTGGAATGGTGAGTTTGAGAGCACGTAGCAACTGACGATTGCCTTGGTTGTGTGAGTGACAGTTTTCCTTAAGTTTATAGCTCCTTTTGTTGTCCCATTTTTTTAACAGTGCACACAATTGAAGCATACTTTTTCTATGATAACACCAGGTTATTTTTTCTTAAACAGTCGTGCATCTAAGAAACAAGGCTTCAAGTGTGCATCTAATAAATTTTGTTTGCTCATTGGCATATTTAGAAGCAATAGTATGAGTGCACATGTAGCAGGTGATTTCTATTACGAAGGATGATCTTTGCTCAGTACTCGGCTTTTTTGTGTTAGGTTGTTGCACTGCCCTGTCAGGTGTTACTCTTCTTTTTGTTTTTTCGTGCAGTGCTGAAGCAACCCTTGAATGACTATTGCGTGTTCTCTTACTTTGCTCTGTCAACAGGATGTTGTGCGCAAGGTGGAGAAGCTTTCCACGGATAGCAGGGACAGACCGACGAAAGACGTTGTTATCGTAGACTCTGGCGTGCTAACCGTGGAGGTTCCTTTCCCCACCGCTCGTGCCGACGCAACGGACTAGGTGAAAGAAAGACTGCAAGGGAGGGAGTGCTCGATCATCCCATACTCATTTACTGCATTCTTTTCTTTTCACTGCCAAAGGGTACTTTAAGAATTGGCAATCTTCATTTCTGGATCATTCCACATATGCAGGCTTGTTAGGTGAAAACTGTGCTCAGGCGTTTTTGGGCTTTTTTTTCCTTAAAACACAGTGTAAATAAATTTGTTACCTTGTTTACGAGTCTGTTTATTTCTGTGCAAGTGGCTGTGCGAGTGTGGGCCTCTGTTTTCACATTTGTCGACAAGCACTTAGAGGCAATCTAGCTGCGACGATGGGAGCAATGCCGTGCTGTACAATTGCACCGGGAGTGATATTTATGCTCTGTACAAGACTAAGCTGTAGGAGTAGTATGACTCCCCATCACGTGGTGGTGGGGAGTTCATGCTGTAAACACAGCCATGGCTCACCTTTGAACATTTGGTTGACGCTGTGTTTCAAGTAAACTGTTGGTTACCATGATGCCCAGCCAGGAAGTTGTTAATTGCATTAGAAAACATTTGCTGTGCCTTTATTTCATTCTGTCGAATGAAAGTTGAGACATGCTCTATGAACACATCAGTTTTATTTATTTTTTTTGTGATGTTTTTTTTTCATTTATTAAAGGGGCCTTGAGACTGTTTTTCGAAGTTTATTGGTGTTTAGGCTAGAGCATCATAGGACAATTTGCACCACAAATTTTATCGCAGACTGTGCACAAGTCTGCTACAGACAATTGTATCATACTTTCCTCCTATCCCTGAACTCTTGAGACATTCTGGCAATCGCAGAGCTTTCATGAGTGCACCTGACGATTTGAGCTTTGCCCTGTTTAGACCTCGGAGATAGCGCGCGATAGCGGAGTGGTTGTTAGCTGCTCCGACAGGTGCCGCCACCCTACCAACCCTTCTTACTTCCGCGCATTCCACAGCCAATGAGATCACTTTACCAGAGCATTGCATTCTCTAAATGGGCAGTTGAAAACGAGTTTGGCTGAGTAGCAGCTATCTGCAGAGATTCGCAGCTTTAAAGCGTAATAAATTAACAGTTTAGGCAGAGAGCTGAAATCGGTCTGAAAACGGCCCTTGAAACTTGGTTTACCGGCCCAATGTGTTTCTGCAAAATCATCAAAACTTTATCAGGGTCCCTTGAATTGCTTTATGCCTTTTAAGTGACTAATTACTGGGAGGCTGGGCCTGAGACTGACAAGTATAGAAAAAGCTGTTGTTACATCTCAGTTCATGCATGAAGTGTTATTGCTCTGTATTGATATGCAGTGTCGTGGTTGTGTGGCGTCCCACTTAGAATAACAGGACTGGTTAATGTGGAAGTTGAAATAGTGTTGTGTTTACCAGCGGCATGGATAACCGCAGCAGCGCAAGTGATGTTAAATTTCTGTAACTTTTGTGTGGTATTTTTTGCAAAGAGTCCTATAACCTGCCAGCTTTTCCTTGTCGTCCATTCACTTGGTGAAGTTGGAGGTCGTTCTAAAAAAATGAAGTTTTGGGCCCAAACTTCATTTTTCGTTTCATTCTCCAAACCTCATGGTGCAAGTCCTCTGATGGTGAAGTAAAGTTGGGGAGGGTTGTTGCTTTGAATAAATTTACTTTGGGCGTCTTTCATAATCATATAGTGGTTTTGGGACGTTAAACCCCACATATCAATCAATAGATTTACTTTGCCCTAGAAGTGGGTGAAATCGGCAACAGCAGAGTCACCACAATTTAAAACATCAGTTGCTGTCACCGAGCTTCATGTAAGGGCTTACAATCTATGATGAGGTGGGTATGTATGCCGCAAATCGTGTGTACTTCAACTTAGCCTCTATTGGTTTCTTTTTCATTGATGTTGTGTCTGCAAGATTTTTCCTGATCACGATGTTTACAATTAAGGACGTTCTTTATGACATGTAGCCATAATTGCGAATCTGCTTAGACTCTTTTCAGCACCGTTACAGAAAAGTAGAAAGTTTTTGATGAAGTGATGGAATTAAGAAGGTTGCTATTATGAAGTAAAATTGGTTTGTAAAAGATGTAGGCTTGTGTAAATAGTGAATTTCAGATTCGAAGCTAATAGAGATTTTGGTAGAATAATTTAGAATAGAATTTGAATAGTATATATATATATATATTGCATATCATAAAAAAAGGTGGGCATACTTGTAACCGAACTAACCTGCACAATATTTTATAGGGGCGAAGCTCCTCTTAGTCTAACCTTGTCACGTGTGACGCATCACGCGTAACTGAGAGAAGAGACGAGAAAAAAAAGAATGGATGAGCATTTTTGGTCTCGTTTCCTAGATGGTGTTACTCTGCCGCTGCTCTATGATTGGCTGCTGCACGCACTTCGCCTGAGTGTAAGGAGAACGAGTTCCTCTCTTAGTCGCAAAAAGAGTTTGGGATAGTTGCCGCATGTGGCGGATCGTTGGTGGGGCATAGATTAAGCAGAGCGGCGGGCCCGTTGATGACTCTTGCGCTCGACATCCTTGGCTGGTCTGACCACGTCTGACCATGCAAATGCCATCTTTTAGCTTCAAAGCAAATTGAAACAATGTTGAGTAGTAGCAGGATCTGACTTTCGATAGAATGCTAGTGATAGCCTTTAAAAAATGTTGCGTTTTAAAACTTTCTATACACGGAGCATATAAGTCGATATAGCAAGCTTTTAAACTTCAAAAATGAATCGTTGTGGGAGTGATATCTTCATTTAATTTTAAGCGTGGCTTCGTGGCAGTGCGAATATTTCCTGGATATGTGTTTCAACGGCTTAGCATCCCTTTACCGCAGTGAAACCACATTACAAGATTACATGTAGACTGATATATACATTTAGGTGTTTTCATGACTTAACACCCCTCCACTGCATGAAATCGCTTTTACGGGGAAGGTTATAAGTGCATTAATATACATTGATTTGCTCATTTCGAATGCTTCAATACTTTTAATAATTTAAATTTGATTCAAAGGAAATTCGAATACTGTATCATTGGTTCAAATATTCGCACAAGGCTTACAAGATGGGAGCCCCGCCGCGGTGGTCTAGTGGCTAAGGTACTCGGCTGCTGACCCGCAGGTCGCGGGATCGAATCCCGGCTGCGGCGGCTGCATTTCCAATGAAGGTGGAAATGTTGTAGGCCCGTGTGCTCAGATTTCGGTGCACGTTAAAGAACCCCAGGTGGTTAAAATTTCTGGAGCCCTTCACTACAGCGTCTCTCATAATCATACGGTGGTTTTGGGACGTGAAACCCCACATATCAATCAACAAGATGGGATGAATTGGAGATTGTTGGGAGAGGCCTTCGTCCTGCAGTGGACAGAATATTGACTGAAAACGATATGCAAAGGTATGAAAATGCATAAAGGGAAAATTGGATTACCTCCCCCTTCAAAACATGCTCCTGCCACATAAATATGAAGGATTTTAAACATGATAAGCAATAGTACCTTTGCGGATTTTATAGAAGTTTAATACTAACTTAACCTTTGCAGCAGGCAAACAGTACTTAATGAGAGCTTGATGCCTTCTCTATGTGCTCGTCTATTTCAAGGCAGGCAGTACACAGGCTGGCATAACATGACTTCTGATGCAGCCGCTATAGCTAAACAGCACCCTACGTTCGTTGGGAGAAATACAAGAAGAAAAGTTAGGTGATGCTTTTGGTAACAATGTAAAGGGGAGGCGTCATCTCTCCCTTTGACTCCTATTCTCTGAGGGGTGCAAATAAAGCACTTTCTCTACAACTAAGTAATCACTTAGCTGCTGACCAATTTCATGGGGTCTTTCAAAGGTATACCAAACAAACAAGCTCAGTTAGCAGTCTTTTGTGCAGGTGGTTCTAGTAAAGGACACAAAGAGAGCTATCTGAGTAACCACTTTATTTTTTCCACTTTGACGATCTGTGCCCAAGCTTTTTACATTCTGTGTACACGATTGCTACGTACAAGAAGGACGGCATGGCCGTGTCAATGCATGGCTCAAGTGGTCTTGACGGCACAACTACTCATACTAGGGCTTCGCGATGAAAGCACTGATTCTTGTCCTGTCTTATTACATCTCTCCCTAGCTCGAACATTCATGAAGTTCATGGCAGCTTTGATGCTAAAGAGCAAAACTAAGGGTATAAATAAATATTGCAGTTTCTCTAATTGAAGATTTTCTGAATTGGAAAATTGGGATGTTATGCATCTACATCCACAAGGCCTCGTATAAAAATGTCCTTAGAATTGCTTTATACAATTTTCTAAGCCGTAAAAAATTCCAAAGAGTAGCAGCTGATGAACTTCTGCAATTTAACAATTTTGCCTGTTAATAAGCTGCTTGAGAAGGTACGATCTAGCCACAAAGCAGTGCTAGAGAATATGCCTCTGCAATGTCTCCATGCATGGTGATAGTGCGTTGTGCCAGCTATACAGAAGCAATCAACTATAAGCACCTGTTTATAAATTATTAATGTTTAATTATTGTCTGTTCACGCTGCCAGATTGATGCACAAGCAAGTTGTACATGTGTTTTTCCTGTATTCAAGAGGGAACGACACTGATGGATTGCGAACATCACGATTGAAGCAATGCAGAATCTATAAAAATTGGCCATTTCTCTGTACTGAGTATGCACAGAGACCAACGGGAAAGAAGTCTCTTGGGGGAGAAAACGAAGTTGAACCTTTCTAGCATAGATTTAGTGACGACTACTCGTCGACATCTCCCAGTCCTTGCCGATGTCGAACTGGATAGCGGACACCCGAAGCTCCCCTTATTGGCGCACGATATCCAGATGTGTATGTCCCTCCTACTCCGGAACCTGCAGTAGAAAACAACAGATTCACAACTGCTAGACTACACGGAAGTACATTGAGACAAAATGGGCATTCAGAAAACCATTCTTTCATAACTTCAGCGTTCAAGGTAGATCTTGAGAGGCGTATTGTGGTTATGGTGGTCGTTACAGCTTCAACCTTTCCTGTGTGCCGAGACTGAAAATAAATTCTCCTTTCCACACTCTGAAGCTTTCGTGGGTCTCACTGTGCACCAGTATACCAGCTAACAGGCATAGGACAGCATCTATTCTAGCATAAGGGAGACACTAGAGGAAAATTAATTTGGAACCTGGTAAGCCAGCAAAGATGTGAAAATGAAACCGATAGCGACAGCCATCTTGAGTTTAATGCATGAGCATGTCCTGACGTAAACGATTTGGACAACGTCTGCTCAAGACTAATCAGCTTTTTATTCGCAAAGTTAGGGCTACATTGCATCCCATCTTGCCAATAGTATGTTTCAATAGTATACGGTAAAACCTCGTTAATTTGTAGTCATTGGGATTGCGAAGAACCTTGGAATTAAGTGGGTTTTTGAATTAATTGAACATACAAAAAGTGGGATACAAGGAACCTTGAATTATTGAAACTTTTGCCACAAACGCTAGTGAACACCAGAAACCGCTGCTGCCAGCGAAAGAGAGAGAGAGAAAAAAAAAGTCGTGATCAGTTAAAATGTGCGCCTGCGGAAAATACGTGCTTCCCTGCAACACAGTGGTGACACGCGGGCAGCATGTCACCTGCTCCTCACTGGCGCACATTTATGTCGACCACGAGACTGCCATATATTTTTTTTTTTTTGCTGGCAGAAGCATGGCTGTGTTGCACCAAAAGTCACTCATTAGTATGGTACCTCTGCATTGCATTGTGGCTCTTAAGGGTCGCCGTTCTCGCGGATTTGCGGCAAAATCGGAAGCGGGAATCAGTGCACGGCACCCAAATTTTAGGGGCGAAGCACCTTATGGTTCAGGGCAGTCCATTTCTCCAACGAAGCCAGTACAGCATATCCACAGGCGAATGGAAGGACGCTTTGCCCCACTCATCGTCATTCAATCTGTGGATATGATGTGATTTTTTTTTTAATTAACTGGACTAGTGCCGACTACTGCTTAGAATTATCCACTCAAACTATTGTGAAATACGGGATTGCAGAAATCCTTCAAATTAGGCGGGACTTTGAAATAACATAGTTCAAATTAATGAGGCTTTACTGTAGGTGGGTGTCTCGCTTTCTGTATTTCGAGCCGGCGATGCTCAGACAAATTTTGGGAGCCAAGGTGTGGTAGATTCATGTGGACACACGCACATCTACGAAATTAATGTAGTGTGTAAACATACTTAAAACCATCTTAACACAGCACTGCTCGCTTAATGGAGCACTTCACGACATCAACTTGGCTTAAGTGTAAACAACTGTATGCATGAAAAGTTTGCGTACGTTGCCATGCTCTTTGCATGCGTGCTCTTCTCCTGCAGTTGTCAATGTGGGGAACGTGTGTGTGATGCTGCATAAGTGGCAACTGCATCACCTGTTTTGTGTGCTCACATGGCCAGCTGTGTTTATGAGAAATCCACGCTGGATCCCACCTCTCACAAAACTACAATACCGAAACATGCGGCGGGTGCTGTAAAAAATGTCTCCAAATAATCAACTGTAGCCTGCTGAACCAAACGAGGTTCCCAGATGTGATATGATGGTGGTAAGTGACTCATCGTAACAGAAAAAAAAAAAAAAAACGAGATGTAAAATTTTCATTTGACGGTGATGATAGCTTGAAAGAGGAGTTCATTTCCGCACTGTCATATTAGAAAATGTGTGTAGAGGTAAGTGCTGCAAGCTTCAAAAGATTTTACTAGGTCTACAATAACCTAAATGCACCTTCAAAAACCACAACAAAAAAAGGATAAAGAAGAAAAAAATCTGTGATGTCACGTAGGCAAGTTCGTTTGGGGTTTCAGCACAAAAAAATTTTGAAGCACATTGAATTACTTTTTATTTCAATAACTAACATTTGCTAACTCAATGAGTGCATTATTAACGAAAGAAAAGTTTTGAAGGAACACTCTATCATCCTTTATTGATAGCTAACCTTTAACTCTTTTACTTGCTAACGTTTGGTAGTGACATTAAAGCAAAAAAAAATGGCAGGGCTGCACCTAACTGTTAATGGTGAGCTGACTACAAGACCTCACCCGAGTTCAAGACACCGACAGTATCTGGGGTTTTGCACGCCAGAAACCCAATATGATTATGAGGCATGCCTAGTGAAGGGCTATGAAAATTTTGACCATATTGTGTTAACATGCACTGACATCGTACCACGTGTTGGTCGTGAGCATTTTGCCTCGATTAAAATGCAACTGCCGCAGCAAACCACAAAGAAAGAAACTATACAAAAATGCAATTAAAAATACTGATTGTCGGCATTGCTTCCAAAGCACCCTAGAAGCAATGATAGCAGTAGGTTATTTCACCGCTTTCTTATTACTTTTCACTTTCAGACCACTAGTGCATCTTACTTGGTAATTTCGAATGACAAGTTACTCTCAACCACCAAAATGAACGTCAAATAGCCATTTTTTAGTTTGTTGATGATCAAGTAGAGCAAGAGACGAAGAAAAGTGGCGAGACGAATCTTATGGGCACTTTTTCGATATATACACTAACGAACGTAATCGCTCAAGCTATCTCTTAGAACATTGTGTGATCTCACAGCATACCTGCAGTGCGATCCACATCCCGGTCCTTTGGCGTTGGCCGCGTGAGCAATGGCTGGCAGAGGAGGTCATCAAGTGACTGCGGACAAAGGTGGTTGTTTTCGCGTAGCGCCCGCTTCATCTGCTCAAAGATGTGTGTCTTTTCCTTGTCACCTAACCGAAGCAAGCACTCGTCGACTTTGTCCACCTGAAATGGAATTCAGCTCCCTGATACGCCTCTAGTAATGCGCGACAAAAAAAAAAAAAAAAGCACCATGTACCACGCATGCCATGAAGGCACGTTTATAATGATGACGGAGCAGCCAAAGTGGGCAGGTGGGTGCGCAAAAAGCCGTGAAAGACTCATTACCGAGTAGGAGTAGCAGTCGGAAAAATGGGGTGTGAGCATCCATATTGCTGGAGCTTCTCACTTAACCATAGCAAAACACGAAGTAAGAAGAGCAGCTGTCTAGAAGTTGCAGTGATCAGCTGTAACTCCACGAGCATTTTTTTGCATGTCACCCAAATTGAAATGCAGTTGCCAGGCCTAAGCATTGAGCTCGTGCTTAGCAGTTGTGGGACCTCGCGATGAGAGTCGCTCTCGGAACATACGAACATGGCAGACGCGGTCAAACCAAACCAAACATCGTGTACATTTATTCAACTAGTTTTACAAATGACGGTATAGCCGCCAAATCAAATACTTCACTAGTGCATAGCGACACCTTAAAACAACATTATAAAATATTTCAATACACTCAATCAACATAACAAGTACGAGGTAATGCAAAGGCGTTGCCGCCGATGTTCGACTCGCCGCGAGGGGCCCACGGGACGCTGCCTGCGGTTCCTGCATTACTACTCTGATCCCTGTCGGGAGACGACCATCCACGCCAGTCGCCGAATGCCAAAGAGAGTCCCGAATCTTCTCTGTGCGAACAACTGGTGCTACCGCACTAACCATAATAATGATGATGGTGGTAAATACACGCGAGTAGTGCGCCGCCTACCGCTCAGCAGCTGTTAAACCTAAACGTGGCCTATCCACGAGACACGTGTGCACCACAGTGTGCAAACGTTTTTAAAGGGGGTGATGGCACCCCCACACAGTGCAATGGTATTGTTACTCAGCCACCAGGGCAAATGCACTTGGAATACTCTGAACAACGTGTACTTTGTCTCATTCATGCAGAATAGTTATTGCTCATGCCATTATGACTAAAACACCCTGTTCATGTATATCATTGCTTTCATTTTAGATTTCCTTAAAAAAAGAGTCTGTTTCAAGCGAAACTGGTTGACTACTAGGCCTAGCACAGAAGTGTTACTTGCCTGTGTAGAGATAAAGAATTCATGAAACACAAGGTTTCACTGGAGCCATCATTTCGACAAGTGGTCTTGGGCAAAGCAAGTTGCAGCCCTGAAGAAGACAGAATCGCTTGTCGGAAGCATGGACTCCAAGGACACCCTGCTGTTCAACTTCAAGCTTCTATTTATGCCTGAACTTCTCTGCCTTATTTGGATTGCTTATGCAGGGTGAAATATATCTGCCTGCACGGGCATATTATGTGATGCCCTAGCAGACACCTTGCACTTCAATCTGCTGCGGCACATCATGCACTTTACACTTCAAGCAAAGGAACTAAACTTAACTTACAGTAAAGGGGCCACGAGAATGACGTGATGTGCACACAAGTTTGAATATTTTTTTAGAGATGTGCGCTACAGTAAACTTGAGGTTTTAAGTAAATTCTTTCCTTCATATCGAGGGTATTGCTCTGGTAGACTTCATGCTTTGCGGTAGTACGCGTTCGATTACTGGTCAGCTGGCAGCCAGTAATAATATCACGTGCTATGTGACGTCAAACAGGCAAAAAAAAAAAATTGGCCTGAATCTACATGTTGCACTGTAAATGTCGTCGAAAGACGATAGTCTTGCGTCTGGAGAGAGTGAACAAAACGTTCATTTGATGCTCTGCGCAAGCAAATCAGTGAATGGTATTCTGAAGGCGCTGCGTTAGAGTGCCTCGAGCATGTAACGGAGGCGAACAAGCGTATCTAGGCACGTTAGGCACGAGCGCCATCTGGCAGTTATCTTCGAAAACGAAGGAGTGCGCGACCGCGGAGAAAGATGCGCGCCAGTCACGGAGGTGATAAGGTGTAGAATGCAAAGCGACGGGCAGGTGCCACCACCATGCCGTCGTAGCAAAGCATTGGAGCCACCTTCTTGAGCACCGCGTTGCACTGTCAGCGCAGCCCGTTAAACGCTACAGTCCTTAGAGTTATTTGTGTGTGCTTCTTCTAGTATAAAGGCAGACATACAAAACATAGACATGTTATGGCGCCTCAGATATTCGCAATATTTGCTTTTTTAATTGACAATGGCACAACTATAAATGCTAAACCTTGAGCAATATTGGTAGGGCGCTGTGGATAGGGTTGGCCGCTTGATGCCGTTTGAGGTATCGTTAAGGCGGACAAACAGACAAATGTACAGACAGACAGACCAAAATTTTTTCTTTGAAGGTCCCCGAGAAAAACTATCGTTTTTAAAAAGTGTTTCACACTTGCCTTGGTAGGAATTGGTGGTGCTGACACACGCTCCAACGTTTAGGTGCACATATATACCCTATAGAGGATGGAGGGATGACTGCCACCGTAGCTCAGTGGTAGAACACTCGATGCATTATTCGAAGGTCGCATGTTCAGATCCTGCCGGTAGCGAGTTATCTTTTCATCCACTTTTATTCCTTTAGATTTGCATTAATTTATTATTATTAACAGCTCCTACACTTTCCTTGGCAGTGTAGTTGGTTAGTTCTCATAAGATTGTGTCTAACAAAAAAAAAACTAGCCTTTAAAATCATTGTTTCTTTCCTTCATTCAAAGTGAACGATGATTTGGTCTAATATAGTTGAAATCACATGTATATAGAGAAAAAGGAGCATTTTGGGCGTGACCCAACTTACTGGCCCAGTATTTTTAAGAATTCAACCAAGGCTTGAGCAAATGTCACTCTTTGGTTCAAAGCAAAGTGGAAACAACTTTGAATATAATAGCAAGATTTGAATAGCAGTAAGGCGCAAGTTATGAGAGGTAAACTATGTTACGTTTTAAAATTCGTTATGCTTAGTGCATATAAAACCATACAGATGCTTTGAACTTCAAAAAAAAAAAAGTAATAATCGAAGTGCAGGCAATATGCACTCTCAACCTTGAAGTGCAGCTTCTGGGCAGCATGGATTTCCCCCAGATAAATTGCTTCACGGCATGGAAGCCTCACGCTGCACTGAAACCACTTTTTCAGGGGGGTGACATGGGGTAAAGAAAGCGTCTACTATTTGTTCATTTTGAATACAGTAGACTATTATTAAACTGAACCTGAAGGGACCAAGAAAAATATGCTCCATTTAACACGATTTTTGTTTACTGAGAGGTGAACAGGGCCACGAAATTAATTTACGAGACCAATAATGTTCAAAGAAGTCGTTCTACTTAAAAGATTATTGAGAGTACTCTACTTTTAAATTTCTAATATTTTAAATTTGTGCCTATGCGAATTCGAATAGTGAAATATTTGTTTGAATATTTGAAACACTCAAATATTCTCCCTTATCCTCCCTAGCATCGTCACATGGTGCATTCAATGACAGTTGTGACCTACCGTTTGTTGGCAAACTTGCTGCTCCATCCGTGACTGAACAGGCACATCTTGGTGGATGATAGACCGTAAAGTAAGAAAGACGTCGTCCACTCTGTCTAGGTCTGCTAGAGCCATCATCTGTGAGCGCAGAAGGAAACGTCAAAAGAGGGCTTCATTATCAGGCCAGTACAAAGGGCTAGCAGCAATATTAAGAAAAGCTGATGATTTTAGCTTATTAACAAGAAGTAGTCAGTATAGACCAGTGTGCCCCGACTTGACCTGCCATTCAGCAGGGGGAGGGGAGGGGGAGATGAAAGAGAAAAAGAGGAGTGGGTGGACACAATGAATGACTGACTGAGTTAAATGTCCCACAGTCAAACTTTGACTTCGAGGAATATCGTAGCAGCCAGTTCTGTGTTATAGGGCACTACATAGATCTGGGTTGGGGAAGATGTGAACCTTAGCAGGGTCCGCTTGACACTCAAATCAGGCTGATCACCAGAGAGGGTGTGGCAGAAAATACGAGGCAGTGTAAAAACAAACAGCAGAAGTTTAAAATACACACGAACCTGTGATAAAATGGTCTTCGCACACACTGGCTTCAACGTTCGATACCTAAAAGCTACCTGTGGCTGTGGCTCTCTTCACAGCCGCGGCCCACCTCATTTATCTTTCTTGCTCACCAAAGACATTGCTTTGGTGAGCAGAACACTGAATAGGACATTATAAGAACATAGGGTGTGCTTCTACCAGCAAGCTGTGGAAAATGAGCTCCCCTTACCCGATGGATTTCTGTACAATCACTGCAGTGACACAGAGGGCAGAAATTGAGAGGATAACAAAAAAGCTCAAGGATTTAAGAACACAAAGCAGGCAATGGTACAAAAAATTATAGCAGCAACGTAGAAGATTGGAAAACAGTACAAAGGATTGGAGAGCCAGCACGAGTGGCCTAATCTTAGTTAACCTTAACAAAAAAATTTGTGTGTGTAGGGTGGGGGAGAGAGAGGATGGGCATGACACATAATGCATACGACATAAAAATGGTAGTAATGAGTGACAGAATGGGCACCAAGACGTGAGAATCACTGTCGAGAAGATCAGCAGAAGGTTAGGTGGTGAGACGAGGAACATCGAGAGAGTAAGTGGACACGAAAATAGCAACGAGGGACTTACTCGAATGTTACGGACTGTGATGTAAGAGAGTTGTGCTGTCAGAGCCAGCAGCTCCATGGCAACCTTAGGTTCATTCTGCAGACATACAAAGCAAGCCAAGCATTGCATTTTCAGACATGTTCAACCATAATTGAATCAACAGTTACACTGTATGTGCAACTGTCAATTAAATTATTTTTGGCAATTTGCACAGGGGAAAAGTTGTGACAGCCACTACTTTCATTGATGACAACCTGAGGTATGCATGTACACTATTTCCGAGTTTGCATTTGCGTTCATCTTTAAATTACTCGATATAATGAAGCAAGGAACACACTGCATCTTCGTGAAAAGCTGTGGTGCAACTGTTGCGAGGACACACTGTCACAAGACAATGAAAGATTAATACACTATTGTAGAACAGAGATGTCTTCAAACGAAGTCTTCACAAGCACTACACTCATGCAGTCCTATTCTGGTATTATGGGAAGGAGAGTTTAAGTACTGTGCATGTATGCGAATGCTTAGACTAATGCTTTCTCTTGCCTTTGCAATTGACGATTGCAGTGACGTCGAATTGTAAAACTCTTGTAATGCGAAGCCTCAGGATGTGAATATAATACAACTCACATGGTTGACAGCCAGCATAGCAGCAAAGGCCAGACCCTTGCGTAGCACCAGAGCTCCTACAGACCGGGCGTCATGAATAAGCTTGAGCGCATACTCGTACGACTCACGGGTGTTCTGTCGGAAAGAGGAACCACTGATACTTTTGCACAAGCGGTCATTATATGGTGCGCGAGTTTTTGTCTTCTTGTTGCATGTTATTATGGCAATAGGTCTTTCAGTGCGTGACAGAGGTGGCATGTCAATTTTTCAGCAGCCTATCTTTGCACATTATTATTTTACAGTAAGCACCAACAAGGGTAAGTGGACAAGTACTGGAATCCATGAGTCATTTACGAAAATCATAGGAAAGATCAAACCCGCTTGAAAAAAATAACAATATTAATATGGCTGCAAGAGCATGAAAACGAGATGCCATTGCGTTCAGTGCATTTTGCACTGCTGGGCACCTAGTCAGGTAACCTATTAATGTCGCATTTCATTTCCTGAATAGTGACAAGTCGTGTACTGATAAAGCAATAAAGTTCAGTCAGTTCATTAAATGTGCTACAAGAATTCTAAGGTAATGACTATAATAGTGAAACACTGATTATAAGACAAGAAATCGCAGAGCAAATTTATGTTTTTGCAATCATGAACTGTAACTTCAATGCCACTGCATCAATGTGATACTGAATATTTATAAATATGCATCTTTTTTTACCTTGGCTCTTTTGGTAGTACTTGAACCTTTCTGAATTCATTCTCTGTCTTTTTTAGATTAATATGTCGATATTCATGAGTTAAATATTAGCTAGCACCTTTTCTTAATTATCAAATATTCACAAAAAAGAGTTGATTTTTCGGTGTTGTGTGAAATTGATTTACTAATAGTTGAGACAGAGCTGAAACAATTTTTCTCCCTAGTGCCTTTTGTAATAAGTTCCGAGAATGTCCTGCCATAGATTTAAAAAGATGTTGGCACTCACCAACTTGTAGCAGGCTCCTAAGGCAAGGACGACACATTCGCGTGGGTACTTGGTTCCATACAGCTGCTTCTGTTGCATGCTATTGAAGATGTCCACAACATCCTGATAGCGTTGCTCTTTAAACAGGAGGTCCATGGCGATCTGGTAAGATGAGAACTGGTCGAAGAAGCCATCCAGCTCCTGTGGACAGAGAGAGGAATCATACAAGGACACTGGCAACATCAATTCCTCGCAAACAAAGGCAAAAGCTTTTTCTTTCTTCTTTCAGCATATACTTCTGCAGCTAGAAAAGGCACGTTGTGCTAAAATCACAATATAACTATGAGGCACACTGACCTAAATACTTTTGATCACTCAGAATTCTTCAGCATGCACCTTTAGCATGCAAGGTTCTGGCACGATATTGTCACATGATTGAGTGCGAACTCAATGAAGCCTTCCATATCAAGAAGAAAGGGAACATGTGCGTCAATGAGCCTTTACTCGCCATCCTCGAAAAAGAGGTTATGGTTTTGAGCTATTAACTTGGGACACTCCTTCTTGAGGCAGATTCATCTTGAATTTCATCTTTAAGCACACATGATGGCTATAGCCTTGTTTAATTTTTAAGCTATATATTTTCCGGTGTAATAAAATCACACGCATTTGCTCATCATCACTTGTTCTGTGTGGTCATTCTTTCTTCGTCCCGTTTTTGCGCTGTCTCCCTCTCATTATCATGTACCAATTGGCCCTTGAAGGTACTCTTCATGCACCTAAGTCTACGTAGATGGGCGTTTTTGCATCTGGGCCTCACTGGTATCTAATGTTATTCAGTTTTATCTGGGTATCAACTATGATACTTGTGTAATAGTTGTAAAATTTATGAGTGACCTTAACAAGCCTAAATGTACACTGAATGAAGAATTGTGCACTAACCTGGTCTTTGAACAGTTGTAAAACTGCATCTGGTTTCTTCAAGTGGTAAAACAGACGGAGAACCACAGGTCCAAAGACGAATGTCCCAAAACGCAGTTCCTTATTCTGCTGGTTGAACCTAAGGGGTGAAATAGAATGAACACTCAATAAGAAGCAAAGACTCCATACAACGGTGTACAATGGCATGAGAGGAGGGAAAAGGGAGAGGCTTGAATGTCCATTCTCTGGAAATTTTTTGCTGCTATTTTATATTTATAGATATGCATTATGCATATGAGATTGCAACCTCCTCCCTAAAATGCTGAAAATGCCACTTCCCTGGGACGTGACAACACCTATGTGGAAAATGACCTTTCTTGATCTGGTACTAGTTCTGTGTGGCACATTATAAGACCACAGGCCAATAATGCTTACTGCCCATTATATGCTGTTCCAGTTGGCAAAATGACACTAATATTTCAGACTAATATATCTTAGAGCAAAATGATGATTCTTCAGGTGAGACACATACACCAAAAATGACAGACCTCTTTTCAGGCCACAATACATTTCTGCGTTTACAGTGTGCTAGTGTTTCAGTCATCTGGACACTCCTTTGCACATTTCGAAAATGCGAATGCTCTAAGTTCTGCAAGGTTGCCATATGGGCCTGTTGGTTTGTCATTAGAGGGTATAACGCTGTGCATAAAGCCCCCTGTGTGTTATATAGTCTCTTCTTGTGTACGTGCCCTTTATGTGCAAGGTTATACCATCTAATTTCTGGTTGTCCAGTAATTACAATGTAGGTTTCAGGTACGAATGCTCGCAGCTGCTTTAGCAAAAATGAAGTGAATCAACAGCTGTTGTTACACTCAATCACAAGACAAAAATCAGAGATATCTTGGCTTATAATTGCTCATTTGAGGTACCTTCAAGATCAAATTACATGTGAAACAAAAGCGAAAGCACGATACATTTTAACACTTATCAAAACGGCAATGTTACGTATATACGCATCGGCACATGCTCTCTGTCTCAAGAATATGAACGAGAATACAATGATAACAGTCAAATCCTTCAATGTGAAGTAGCCTACAACAAATGGATAATTATGCTGTGCTTATGCAGAAAAGGACAAGTAGAAAATGTTGTAACTGGGAATGGTACGCAGTCAATCTGTCTCTTTCAAGTTTCTGTGGATTATGAGGTGGGTTGCTAAATCTTCTGACTATATCCAGCGCCCACATTATGATCAAGGGCATGGCACCTAAAAAAATTCCTGGTTGCCCCACTTGCTCTCAAAGGAGCACTCTTGGAGATTATTACACTTATCCTGCATTATCGTAGCCAGCCAGGTGAGTGACGTTATTGACGAAAAGCTGTCATTGTTCCATATTCTGTGTGCTGCATTGAAATTATATTTTGTTAAATCAGAGATTTGATCAGTAGTTTGATGAAACTGCAATGAACTGTAATACTAGTCTATATTATTTAGCAGTAAACTATATAATCTGGCGATGAAAAAAAAAAAAAAATGGCTGACAGTAGTGCACTGATATTAAGCACAGGGCCTGACTGCTGCGGTTTGCAAAATCACACTGACAAAGTCTTGACGAATGAACATGCGTGAAGCTTGCTCCAGGGAAGGCACTTTCGTCTCACCTTTTCATCATCTTGACCACCAATTCAATGTCAGAGTCCTTGTCTTCGCATAAGTAGGCAACATGCTTGAGATCTTCCGTAAACACCATCCCAGGAGTGTCGGTGTTGAAGTACTGGCTTATTCGCTGGAAAAACTTCTCTGAAACATGAAAGCTAAAGTGAATAACACTGTTGTCTTCACGAGGTAGGTACATTAGGCCGCTAAATAATTAGGTTGGACAACAATGCAAATGTCGATCCGTCAGGAAAGGGATAACAGGATAGTTTAAGCACGATTGCGTTAAACCACCTCGGCATAGCATGTTCCTTTCACCTAGTCTTGTACTCTTTTCGATGAATGGAAGTTCACATTCGTAAGCAGGCAAGATAGCGACCGGATCAGATAAAGTAATTAAGCCAGCGGTCGCCTAAATAAAATGACATTATTGCGTCCATGGAGGAGGAGAAAAATTGAGTTCACGAGAAGCCTCGTGTCCCAGAAACAGGCCCAATTACACTTTACCTTTAGCATCGCCAAACTGATGCTTCATTTTCTCCCGCTGTTCCAAGTACTTGTCCAAACCCAGCACTGCCGAGCCGTACAAATGTCGCACGTCTGCAAACAAGCAGAAAAGAAACAATCGTTGACACCATTATACGGAACATACACAACCCTCAGCAACCGGGTCACCGAAATATATCGATTTTCAAAACACAAGTGTCGTTTTGTCGCATCTTTAGCAGGTACCGGCAGACGAAATCAAGAGTTTGGAGTGACTCCTATGAGAGAAAAAGTACAAAAACGCGATCGGCATAAAAGGCGTGCAGTTACTACCTACTGCGCGGTGAACTATCCACAAGGCTGAGCAAAATTCTTACTTTGAGCTTTGAAAGATAGGATACATGACTTTGAAATTGAATTTAGTATCGCGCTAGCAGACACATGTCTCGCAAAAGCAGCCGCCATTTTTAACTGTTAAGCCGCCGATATTGAGCACGATTCTGCGACTTTCACGTAGGAAAGAATAGTTTTTTAAATACTCAATACCCTTCTACACCTACACAAAATAGTAATTTTACAATTTTTGTAAAAGTACTTATGTTTTTAATAAATTATAAAATAATCTAAAAGATGTCTTTTTATACGTTGACTGCGGCTGCTGCCGATTGAATCAGCATTACAGACGATCCCAGAAGCCTTTTCGGCGATTTTCATCAAACAGATCAGGTGAGTGTGTATTGTGGTACCGAATAAAATCTGTAACGATCGCGCTTATTTAATTGACATCGTTGCAAAGAATATAAAATGTAGTTTCTTTGAACTCTTTATCTGTGTAGCAACGTACAATTTCAGTGATGGGGGCTATCGCTTACTGTGTTGGTGTATTCGAACTTGTGTTTACCAGCCGTCGTTGCATGTTGCTGAGATTTTTCATTCGTGCCTTTCTTTTCAGCGATGGGATTACACTATAAATTGGCCGTAGGCCTCGAGAAGGGCCACAGGGTCACGAAAAATGAATCCAAGCCGAGGCCATCGCGGCGAAAGGGAGTGAGTATTACCGTTTTTGCCTAGTGCCGGGTCTCTTTCGGACATGTTGCACTAAGTGCCCCCTTCCCATTTGACTAGGCTCTGTCAAAGCACACGAAGTTCGTTCGCGATCTCGTACGGGAGGTCTGCGGATTTGCACCTTTCGAGCGGAGAGCCATGGAGTTGCTGAAGGTGTCTAAGGATAAGCGTGCCCTCAAGTTCATCAAGAAAAGGGTAAGCACTGTCACTATCCACTGCGAGTGTAGGAGACATGCTGGATGTTCGCATTGCTCTTGTTCGTAGTGCGTTGCTTTGCGGTTTTTCTTTTCTAGCATAAATACAGCATCGGTATTTAACAAAGGATGTGATGAAACATAAGCCTCAGGTTTTTCTTTGGATGGGCTTGCTCTGTAGACTGTGTTAATGCCTGTGTAGGTGTGGGAAGCCGTCGACCTGCGGCTATACACCATGTAGTCAAAATGGCTGTGGCATTATGCCGTGGTGCATTTGGTCAGTTTTGACTCCTGGCTGCCTTTTAAATGGAGGTGGTTAATGCTTGTCGTGAACATAATTGCTTGCTTTCCAATGCAACATTTGCAATAAGTTTAGCTGTGTGATATAGCATTATGTAGCTGTTGTGGAGCTACTGACACAAAGGTGGAACACACATACACAAATCTCCTACAAGCTAGTAACACTGTACCAGGAGCTTAGAAACAAAACTGTCAAGCGAAGTTCTATTGGGAAAACAGCATTGGATCATCCTGTGCTTCACAGATTACATATTATGCTGCCTCCTGCTGAGAGTACAATTGCTGTCCATAAAAGTACTTTTCACAGATTTATATAACATAGAGGTATGTAAACCTATTGTGGCTGTGTACAACGGTGAGCAACTTTAGAATGAACACGTGAGTGTGTAGCCGCGCTCGGCGCAGTGCCAGTGTGCAGACACTGGCCTGTATCAAGCGTATCGACTCATGCGCACACAGGAGCTGCTTTACGTCGTCAGCTACATCGCTTAAGCGCGTCATTTCATAGTAGCAAAGCGCCGGTTTCCCTTGTCTGTAGTACAGCAAAAGCGGCGCGCTCGTGTGCGCCTGCACTACTTCGATTCGATGCGCAGCCATGCCGGCTGCCCTAGCACTCCGCAGAGCCGTGTTCACCCTAACAGTGCTCACCGACGGTTGTACGCAAGTGTGAGTTGTTATGCCACAACTGCTGACGTGCCTTCCACATGCATGTGTTCTGTCCTCCGTTCCCCCTTCCCCAAAACTCTGATACTTTGCACCAGCTGGGAGCATTTTTCACTGTTGGTGCTGTATGCGGTGGTTCTGTGAACTGTACTGGGAGGTTAGCGGGTCGAGAGACACTGCTGCGAAAAATACAGTGGCGTAATGGCAGCCAGTGCCTCCTTCCTTTGTATTCCCGGTGATCTTTTTTGTTGAGGCTGCGTCTGTTCAGGGTTCGATGAAACACCACAGAAAAAAAAATTAAACAGATTACTAACCGCAGTTTTCATCCTACACCACAATCACTTTTGATGTTACATTTATCCAACGATATGGCGGCATTGATACGGCAGCAACCTTCTGGTGTCATTTCCGCCCGCAAAGTTCTGGCAAGTGCCACTACGTGTTAATGCGGTCGGCAGCGATGTAGTGACTTTATTGCGTGATTAAAATACTAAATCATTTTATATCGGTGCTTGGACTTGTGCTAAAATTATCTCTAGCTGTCGATCTACGCAAATCGCAGATAAACGATAGGTGCTTCAATAGTGTTAGAGGGTCCCTTTAAAAGTAAGCAGCGTTTCCTTCTTCAAAGGTGAACACAAGGCTATATCAATGGATGCACACTCTATAATGAATCGGATGGCCGGTGACGCCGCCGTTGGAGAGTACCGCCGAGTGCACGGTGCGAAACTATTTCGTTACATACGGAAGTGATCAGCTGTCGCTTTCAGTCATCTGGGCGGGATTTCTCCATACTTCTTAAATTGTATCCCTCTATTTAGTTCACGATGTGGCTGCTAAATGTGGCAGTTTCCGATAAGCGATTAAATTTGTTATTTTCGTCATGTGTCTGTCCTGAAATGAATGTTAAATCTATTGATTTAATTTCCAAATTTTCAGTTTAACTATGAATTTCATGGCTAAAAGTTAGTTTTCTGTTCCTTTAAAAGGTCAGTAACAACTCTGAGGTCCAAAAATAGCTATGAAGAGAATATGCACAATTTTACTATGAGAACATACTGCCACAAAAAGTTTGTGGATGCGTGCTATAATAAGGAACGTACAGGGGTTAGAACATCTGCTTCAGCAGTTGTCAAATTGTCGCGCGACCTCGCCACCTGTCTCTGCCTTGGGGAGGGGAAAGGCGTAGCTTGTCACTGTGACTCCGCCCACTTCGGCAGTATGACATGACGCCAGTGATACATCTCGAGCACGTAGCCAACGAGCGAGCAGGGCATCCCAGGCATGAGCACGTGCCATAATGGCACAGGGAGAAAACGCAGTTCGAGGAGCATTCCTCCCCTAACAGTAAAGTAGTGAGACACCTCTTTATCTCGGAGGCTCTTGTTCTGGCACTGCCGCGTCTCCCGGTAGTTTCTGGCTGTACAAAATGACAGAAGGCAGCACAGGAAAATTAAAATGTGGACTATGCGGCCGACACTACATCACCGCATGGCCAAGGCACTGTTTTTTGGGGCAAAGGACCATTCGGCGAGCTCAGTGGTACGTAAAGTTGCTCGTGGGCAAGCTTTCATCACTGTGCGCATGCGAGGAGGATTGGGGGAGCGAAGGAAACAGGCACGGGATTGTTCTTCGGAATTGAGTCTGCGCAGTGTGCAGTGTTGTAACATTCAGAAAATGTGATCACCGTGGTCTACTGTACAAGTCGGCGAGCTTGTTTGTGGGGTGTAATACCAAAAAGACTGAGCCTGTTTACAGGCTCAGACTTTACCTTAGCTGATCTGGAAATAGTCCTCAAAGATAACTTTCTGAAATGCTTGGGATGTCGCTTGGCATGTTTTAGTTACCTCCATATGTCCGTTATACGAAAAAGCAACTATCAAGACTAACTTTCTGGGATAGTTTAATGGCATACTAGAGAAAGCTGCATCAGGGTGTACAGGTGGAAATGGGGTTGGTGTGTAATTGTCGCCCGAAGCAGTGGTTTCCAGGCGTACTTTATGCATTGAAGAATTGTTCGATGTATTCAGGAATATCCGAAAGAATATGGTAAGGTCTATGTGCTCTGGTAAGCTCCATGGAGACTAGGAGTAGTCATTAAAGGGCCATTCAACAGGCTCCAACCTTTTTTTTCTTTTTATACACCCTCCAAAGAAGCTCGGCAATTGTAGGGGAGACCATGGCGATCACATTTGCCTAATATTGTAGCGCTTCGCGTCACACAGAATGTCCATTTCGAAAAACAATTCGTGCACTCCTTTCCTACGCCTTACCAATTCTTTCACGCACAGCGATGCAACGGCGCAGATTTGTCTAAACCAGTCACGACGGGCTACGCCTTGCCCTTACTGCGTGGCAGGAGGATGGCCCGGCCATGCGAAAATTTGAAACTGGCTGAAGTCTATGTTCTAACCTTTGTGTAACTTCCTTAAATAGCACGTATTCAAGCACAAAGAAGACCTGCACTTATTTCTCTTATAACAATTTTTACACCTCGGGGTTGTTTACTGGCCCTTCCCCAAAGACGTTCAGGCTAAGGCATCTTCATAAATGGAAAAGCTCCAATGCTGTCTTTCACTAGAGACGTTCTCCTGAGAGACCTTGGTATTAAAAATGGCAATGAACATAGTGCTGTCACTGTAGTGCAAGACCGACGCAAACATTCACTTATACCTGCCATGTTTGTTATGGGGCTGGACTGCTGACCCAAAGATGTCAAATCTGTGGCTGCATTTTTCATGTTAGTGAAAATGCTTGAGGCCCATGCACTTGAATTTAGGTGCACATTACAGAACTCCAGGTTGTCAAACTTTCCGAAGTTCTTTACTACGGTGTCTCTCATAATCATATGATTTTAAGACAATAAACCCAAATAATTATAACATTAATATTGCAATTAGGATGAATAGCAGTATGTAGGACAAAGTAAACAAAATTTATTTTTAATCTGCGGGGGATGTGGAGTGATGCAATGTGTATACAGATTTTTAAGTGTGTTGTATGTCTCTAATGGCCTGCTATTTGCAGCTGCGTTAAGTTATTGTTATATTGCCTTCTTTGCAGTTGGGCACCCACCTGCGTGGCAAGAGGAAGCGTGATGAACTGAGCAACGTCCTCTTGGCCCAGAGGAAGGCACAGGCTCACAAGGAAAAAACTGAGCACAAGTGAACACTTTATCATGCCATGTAATAAAACTTGTAAAGAGAATGTGCAATTTGTTTTGTTCTGCGTGGGCCCGTCACATCTGCTGCAATCTGGACAGATTTTGTGGGTGTAATCTCAAAAGAATGCGCTGGCAGGTACGTAAGGGCGTGTGCAGAGAAGTTGTTTGGTGTGATTGCAAAAAAAATATCACCAGAATGGCACAGCAAGTAAGTGCGATAACATACTAAAATACTACGCGGAGATGGGCAGCTTTTGGATCGTGTTTCCGCATAGTGTTCCCCGTCATTTGACCTTGTTCACAAGCCTCCAGCATTGAGCTGCCGCATTATCTAAGACGCCTGCGCATTGTTTCTGCCTGCAGGCACTTGCATAAGTGCACCCTTTTTTTGTTCGACAAGGCGTTGCAATGCTATGCCGTGTGCACCTTCATGGCCTTACTGCGTGCTCACGTGAATGGCGCGATGACTACAAAGTTGGCATTGTTTTGTAACATTTTATCACTCGCGTGATGTTGCAAAGACGAGGTGGACATAGCACAAGCACTGATGTGATTTTGGCTGGGCTCGGAAAGGCACTGGGTTCAAACACCAGTGCTGCTGGTCACCTTATCTTGACCAGCTGCTCTTTGTGTTTTGCTAGTTGTCACTTCTGTTTGGTCTGCATGGGTTACATAAATAATTAATCTTATCACAGTTCCAGATGCTTCACATATTGAATGAACACTGCTAAATTTTTTTGTTTGCTTTCAGTGTGGGCGGCTTTCATGCAGCATGAGTGCACAAAAGGTTCATAAAACTAATGCTGCGTCATCAGCATTGTATTTGCTAGAAGTAGCATCAGTGTTGTGCCATTCTCTACAACACAGTTGTTGCGAACTCTTAAGCATATATTGTTGTTCAATGCTGCTTGTTATTTTTCAGATTGATGTTTTAGCTTACGTTGGTCTCGTATGCACATCTAAATATACTCTGAAATCTACAATTTACAGAATATATGCAATGTGTGCAGTCAAAGCAAATTGTTGCTTGCTGGCATGCCTGGCTGAACTCGCATAATACAAATGCATCTGCTACACTGCGTGGTCACCTCTGCCGACCTGGAAACTGAACCTTAAGGCGACATTCATCTTCTGATTGCCGTTTGGAGTAAGCTGACTGTATCATCGCGATAAACGAACTCGTTTATGGAACACTAGGTGATGCTTCACTACTGTATGGTTAGCCAACATGAGCTGTTGCTCAAGTGCATGAAATTGGTTTCGAAATGATGGTGTGCATATGAGGCACGACAAACGCTAGTCTAACGAGACAAATTATGACATTGTCCAAAACGGTGTGCTGGCAGCTATAATGGTTACTATTATGCTTACTCCTGAGTGCAGTTGATGCGTTGGAGCATGTTGGGAACCACAGAGAAAGGAAAGGTAAGCAGTGGCGGTGTGCGCGTTTTCATCGGCCTCGCACCTAACCGCGGCGTACTGCTGGTGTTCGACAGCATCCATTCTTTGTGCCGCATTGTTAGCTACGCGATTTTTTTCCGGTGGTGGTTGTAACCAGGTGTCTGAACTAGAAACCACGGAACGAGCGCGCGTATACGTACTCCGAATTTGCAGCGTCCGTCAAAATTATGCTGAAAAGCCATCATAGAAAATAACGACTGTGCTCAAGAATTCCTTCAATGAATGGCTTGCAGGTTAGTGACAGTTGTGCGGTGTTGCTTCTTATGACAACAGACAATACATTTGCGGTCCACAGGCCCTTATTAAGACTAATCTAATCTTGCTTTTCATGTTCCTGTACAATTACCACATTAAAGTTCCTGTTGTGCTTCGCTTAAGATGCTCCCTCTTCGCAATAGTTTGCACTGTAGCAAAACTCGTTAAAATGTCTACACGCACCTGCACAAGGTAACTAGGTGCACCTCACCAGATGCGCGTGCTTGTGCAATCAGAAGCTGACAAAGCCGTTTCGAACGATGTTGACCAAGTGATGTTGACCTTTTCTCACGCATTTCTTCGGCTAACTTTCCCACCTTTCGCCCTAACGCGATCCTGGTCTCCGTTCTCCGTAGCTACTGGTGCGCGTGAAGCACACTGGAGACGTGTTCCCACGCACTTTCGGGTGGTCTTCGCTGCTTTCGTCCTAATGAAATCATAGCCTTTGGGATATCCGTAGGAACCAGTGCGCGTCGGACTAAAGAGGGGCGAAAACAAAGAGGCCGTCGCAAACTCAACGGGCTGCCACGCACACAAGCTCTACTAACGCCGACTTTACTGACATAATTACGGACCTCCAAGTTTATTGCAGGGAAGACATTTTTTCTTTTTTTATCGTTGTGTCTAGCCCACAGCCTGACCGAAAATTTTATAAAGCCTAAAGAGAAGCGCAAAAGGGGGAAAAAGTGATCTGAAAGAAGCTGTACAAATTTTGGTGCCTGGTTCGTCGCGCGGCAATGTCCGAAATATCTTCATTTTCACAAAGAACACATAAAATAAAAAAAAGAGCTTAACGTGCAACTTGCCGTGTTTATCGTAAACGCCGGCAGTGCAAGAGTACAACAGCCATAGGCAGAGATTTCGTCAACCGTATCGCGGCAAGACAGCGTGTTGAAATCCGTTCCGTTGGTTTCGGATAGCATGCGGCGCGCAGGCCACGTGCTTTTTGAGACAAAGAGGGAGTCGCGCCTTCTGCTTCGCATTCATATGTAAACAAGGAGAATTTGCCCAGTCAATATGGCCGACTTCCGGCTTCATCGCGGCTTCACAACGAGTTACGTCAGGGCCTCTCCTTACCTTTCCTTCCTCCGTGTTGGGAACTCTTCGGTTTCATTTGACTGCAAGTAGTGTTCGTGCGCATGGGTACATATCAATGGTAGAAGTTAATGCGTGCCTTATCTACGGCGAGAGGTAGCACTTCTGTATAAGGTCGCTGCTGTGTAGGACCTCAGTGGTCAGGTAGCACCATACGCGGTAAAAGGCAGTGGCATAATGAGGGGGTGGCACGCTGGGCCCGTGTTTCCCTCCCCTTCGAATTAAAAATTCTGCATACACCCCTATGAAGCGTCGTCTTTTAATAGCTAAAAATGAAAGGCGGATGCAAGTAGAAGCACTTAATAACCAGGCCAACTTGCGAGGGCACAGTTTGACCACACAGAGAGGTGGAACGTCCAGAATTGCCGATGACCTCCTATGATACAATGACGTAATCCGTCCAACCAGCTTGTTGGCGACTCGCAGTTGTGTGTGCTTCCACGGGTCACGAAAACAGGCGCCTCAGGGATTTCAGTGAGAGTGAGGACTTCACGGCGAATGTGCCTTTCGGAACCGTGTCCGTGTCGGGCAGAGGCGTGCTGTACCGTGACTGCGAGAGCAACGAGTAAAAGCCAAGTGTGCAGTTATTTTAGTGCACAACACGCACAAATATGAATGGCATATTTGCTCAAGCCTGGTTAGCACTACATCATTCGAACGAATTCCAACAGAACTTGATGGAATCGAACAGCGCGTTTAAATGCAAAAGCACTTGGAATGGTGACGAATGAAGCGGCCTGTCTTTGGCATGAACTTAAAAACGAGCCAGTACGACAAATGAGAATTTTAGGCAGTAATTAGTACAAAGTATTGCTGATAAGTTGCTGGCTTTGCCACCTTTTGTTCAGAATGCAGCTATAAACTTGAAACTATATCAGTGCTTGATAACTCGATAAGTGATTGGGCAAGTTGAGATGGGTTGGATTTTCAAAACTATAGTTTCGATTTCAGGTGAAGCCGGAAATAGAAGAGGCGTGAACAGATTTCTCGTAGGTGGAGTTACCGGGCGCCACGAAGTTCTTGTTTTTCTAGGTAAAGTCTACAAAGGACATCTTCACAGAAATGTCAGAAAAATTGAAGGAGAAGTGTTCTCTGTGCAGCACACTCGCAAGCGGTCTCCCTCATTTGAAGGCATGTAATTTTAGCAATGAAGCTGTAGTAGCGGCCCAACAACTTTAAGGGATCAGGCATGCTGCACTACAATGCGACTTTTATAACCACAGAAACAAATATTGCTTATTCTAACAGAATAGGTGAATATTGCGATAAATCGTGCTAACAATTGCCGCCTATTGCGAAACTACGCCAGTGTGAGGTGGGAGAGCTCGGACAGTCGTAGCCGATCGAGTGCAATGTGGTAAAATTAGGGAGGGGTGAATAGTAAATATGCAATTTAGGGTTCGAAGCGAATGGCTATTTGGTTGAATAATGTCGAACTGAATTATTCAAATAGTATAAATCAGATAATACAAATTGAAATGGATGTTTTTATCATAACCCAATTAACTTGCACATTATTTTTTATTTTGAAGTGTACCTGTGCGTCACTTGCGTGGTTTGACGGTAAGCGGTGATAACAATGAATTGAGGGTATCAGGAGCAGGGTGCAAGTTTTAATCGGTAAAGCAACTTACGTTTTAGAATTTGCCGTAATAAGCCCTTGAAAGCCCGCATAGTATGCTTTCAAGCTTGAAAAATTAAGAGACTGATGATGTGGGTGCAAGCAGAATGTAATTTGCGACAGTATGTATTTTCGCCGAAGAAGTGGTTTCACGGCCCAGCGATGTACAATGCAATGAAGCCACCTTTTAAGGGTGTTGCATGCGGTCGAGTATACAACGGGGATGGAGAGAAACCCGAAAAGTGGCCATATACATTTCGCATTTATTTTCAAGCGGCTTTAGATGACAATGAAAAAAAAAATCGCAGCATATCCACGGAGTGAATGATGAGTAGTAGGGTGAAGTGTCCGTCCGTCCGCCTGTCTTGTCTGTCCATATGCTGTGCTGGCTACGCCGGAGCGATGAACTGCCCTAGACCATTTCACCCCTATAAGCCCCTAGGGTCATCCATGGTATAAGAGCCATCATAGCGTCTTTTTATCATCACCAAGAATACATCACGATGAAAGCAGCATGCCGCGATGTTTCTTTTCATTCCTACATCATGTCCTCTCGGTTCAAGCACTTCGAAATATCAGAAATTTTCGATTCCTACCGCAGCGAATTGGAATATCGTAATATTCAGTCGAATATTCGAATGCGTTTCAATATTCGCCTACGCCCAGTATAAAAGATCGGCACACCTCCGCCGTGCAAAATGAACGCGAACACGACACACGTAGGTGCTGCGTGCTGCGCCCTCTCACCTTTCATTTCGTGCTGCGCAAATATGTCATTGCTAAATCACCAACTAGACCGAGCTATCGTTTTATCAAGTGAGTATGGTGCCTGTAAAAAGTGTGGGTTTGAGCTTGTTGGTGCGGCTTAATTTTCGCAAAACAGCGCAAAAAAAAAAAGAACAAACGAGGCGACAGAAACACGCAGAAAAGAGCGCTGAACTACGAACTAATGCGTTTATCTGTGCAAGCACGAGTAAGTCCGTTTCTACGCATGCCAGGAAGGGAAGGGGCATTGAAAAGGCGCAGGCGCCATACCCCACACATCGCGTCTATTTTATGGTGCAGATAGCTAATCTCCTTGTCTGTTAATGCTATCGGAAATGCACTGACCTATGCTTACCTCACTTTATGTATTTCCTTGGCCTCGTGGATTTCTCGAGCTCGGGAATCTCGATAGCTGCGAACAATGCATGTCTGCTGGAGAAAGAGTTTGCTCCTTGCGCAAGGTGCGGGTGCAAACCCTTTTTAAAGCAGACACGCATTGTGCGCCCTTTCAATCCCTCTCCACTTTCTGGCATGTGTAAAAGCGTATTTATTCGTGCTTGCGCAAATAAATGCATTTGTTAATACTTTTGTGCTGCTTCCTGTGCGGTTCTTTGTCTCCTAGTTTTTTGTGCTATTTGGCGAAGATGAATGACGCTTGTGTTGTGAAGCACTGGTCGACACATACCTTCTCAACGTTATCGGGCGTCCTGTTGAACAGGTTGAGCAGGTCATAGCCACTTTCCTTGATGCCGCCGAACCTGATGATGAAACCCCTTGAATACTTCCGGAGCACTGCGCCGTCACGAAACAAGGCAATTGGTTATAAGTGCCCACTCGAAGGCTTAGCCATGTTAAAACGTCAATTGTCGCGCGAATCACGATATTGAAAACTGACGGGTGTTTCCAGAATTGTGTCCGAAAAATCTTCGAAATAAGGGAAAAAAATTTTAAACCTAATTATGGGCTCGTTTTCTCTGTTAGGCACAATATTGATGAGAAATAACTGACAATAACTGATAATTGTCTGTTAGTTCGAAAAGAGAGGAACGCGATAACACTCGCTGCCGTAACACTTCATTTTCTGGTGTGGCAACACCGTTAGAGAGGTCGTTTTTGGAAGTAATTGGAAAAATTAAATTAACTTCTTATTGAAGTCTGGCGGTCAGTTCAAACGGACGAAAATAATTTTAGCTTCGCGATGAAACATCGTTAATTTCGCCCGCGTGAAAGAGCTCTATTGCCATAATTTTTTTTCAATCGAGAGCCATTAAGTGTGTGTGCGGGTTGTGCTTGCGACTACAGCAAGCATGGCGCGTATGGCCAATGGTGATCGTTGTTTGGAACAATGACATGATTGCGGTGGTAGTGCTAGCTGCGCTCATCTTCACTTCGGTATATCAGTTTCACCGGTGGATTTTGCCGCATGTAATTACTTCGTAATAATTATCAGAAACAGTTTTTCGGACATTAGCGTCAATGGGCTCAATGCGTCAATTGGCTCACTAGCGTCAATGGGCTCGTTAGCGTCAATGGGCTCTTCAGATGATCGAAACACTGGTCTCAAAATGTTAAGAAAGTTATTTATGTAAGTTCCTTAATTAGCGCCCTAGTTGATGTCCCCAGTCATGCCACAATGTTGCTACGAAAAAAAAAAACAATTGTGGAAGCAAAGCTCAAATATTCCAGTTCATCTGCTTTTTTCGGGCGCATTTCTAGGAACACCTATTGACGTGTGCAGAACTCACCGAACATGAGGGCCCAGTATCGTGCTGGAACAATGTAGGCCGCGACGCCTGCACCCACAAGCATGGCGAGGAATATTCTCGAGACGAATGGATCGGCGAACGTGATTGTGCTGAGGGGATAAGAGACGCAATTCATATTCTACTGTTAGTGTGATAATGAAGATGAAAAACGTATATATTGCGCTGCAACGTTAAAAGCGTCACAGTTAGCGTACAACATCGTCATCTCAAGTCTCGCTCATTCACTCATGCCTATATTCGAGTGACCGAGTGTCTTTTATACACATTCCTCCCGTCCATTTTCCTTCAGGCGAAACCCTAAAGGCCTGACCACACGTACACGTACCTTGTGGCCAGGCCTTTAAGGTCACGGCCTGAAGTATACATGCGTTGCAGCGCGCGATTCTGTCGACGTGTCGTCGCGCCCTTTCCCTATGGAGAGAAGGCGCGCAACTGCACGCAGCTCTGTTCCGCTCTGTAGCCCCGCCGTGGTGGTCTAGTGGCTAAGACACTCGGCTGCTGAACCGCAGGTCGCGTGATCGAGTCCCGGCTGCGACAACTGCATTTTTGATGGAGGCAAAAATGCTCAAGGCCCGTGTGCTCAGATTTGTGTGCACGTTAAAGAACCCCAGTAGGTCGAAATTTCCGGAGCCCTTCGATACGGCGTCTCTCGTAGTCATGCTGGTTTTGGGACGTTAAACCCCACATGTTCCGCTCTGTATATGCTGCATTATCTTTACACGAGTGCTGAGGTTCGGCCTTGTTGGTGTGAAATGTATAGTGGCGATGTGCAAGTTTAATGTGTTTTAGCGGACGAGGATTAAAGAAGGCATCACGAAACGAGCGTTATGCGTTGCATTTCCCTCTTTTGTCCTCGTCTGTTCAAGCGCATGGTACTTTGGCAGTTTCTGTTCACGGACACGCAAATTACGCAAAACAAAGAAAAAAAACTTGCTTAATCCTAATGCACACGTCCACGAACTCTCTAAGCGAGGGCACCCCAAAATTATTTGCAGAGTACCTTCATGTATATGTTACATTACCGTCCTTTGAACCCTCCCTCCCCCTCTCATTTCGAAACAATGTTCAGAGAAGGGCCCGAATAAATATATTGGAGGAGCACTTGTCATCAGTAAGAACATTAATTTCCCAATGGCAAAAACGAAGCCTGTATTAGCGAGAAACGAGTTTCTGCTCGCTAACTAAGCGGAGCTTCTGCATTTGCTTCACAAAGTTCTGGCATCATGTGCGCTGCAGTCCGATATTAGGCGAGAAATGTTGCGCATGCAATGCAGCAGCAGTGGTGGCTATGTGTAGAGAGTCACCGACTTGATCAGTCGCTCGCCGTACGAGGCCACCGTGCCCATGGTGTTCTGCATGGTTGCTGCGATCTCCTGGAGACGAGCCAACTTGCCCTTGAGGGACTGCCGAGACTGCGTTGTATATTGAAGAAAAAATAAAAGAAAGGGCAAAAAATGTACTTCCCGCTGTTTTCCTTTATTCCCACATTTGCGAACATCAAGCTAGGAACACGTTTGGCTCTACACAAGGCAAAGTTCAACCATCCGGATTATAGAAGGAACCTACAATGGCGATAATCTCCAGAGGCGTCTGCATGTTCGCTCCTGAAAGGAGGAGCAGCGTCCGCTGGCGAGGTCGTGACCTTTCATAAGGCATCTCTGAAAAATTTTCGTATAGTCTTGGAGGTCGTGCATGTCTCCCGCGATGCGCGTGCGTAATCAGGGCGAGTCGTAGCACTTAAAGCAGGAAATTGTACTGAATAGTATTAAACATTAAAGTCGCAAACTCGCTTTCAAATCCCAAATGAAAAAAAAAAGTTCATGTGAATTGGTGCATTATATATGCTTGCGGCACCCACAGGCAAATGCGCCACAGATCCACTTGTCTTCATTTTTTTCCAAGTTTGCGCTATAACGAGAATCTACCGCTAAACCATAGCGGTGTTCCCTACAGTGTTTTCACCGTCATTAGAAACACAATCTCCTCGGTGAAAATGAACGTTATTGCAACTAAGAAAAAAAAAGCACGACAGCGAAATCAAACAAACAACAGTGCCCGTATAAAGTAACCTCCATTACCATTATCCAACTTTTCATACCCAGGGGTGACGGATATATAGTTTATATCTTCTGTTACGTATGATATATGAGGACGTTTCACGTAGCGGCTCACGAAATGCGCACGAAATCTAAACAGAGGGGCAGGAGCGAGGCCCGCGGTAGCAGAGACTAAGATTAATGAATGCGTTTTTTTTTTGTTTTAAACGTGACTCACTGATAACTCGTGCACGTGGTCGCGGTCCCGGCAGTAATAGACCGACTTTGCGCTCATGTCTCCGCTGCCTATATATAGCGCTTAGTAAAACGTTTACATCGTCCTGAGCAACATTCTCTCACAAATAAAATATACGCTAAACTGCTTCCGCGTTTTCGGTTTTTCTTTATATAGGAAGAATAAATGTAGCTGAATTGAAGCGTGAGCAAGTAAGGTCCCGTATTTAGTTCGCTGTATTCGTTAATTCGCTATATCAATGTTTGTTACTACAATGCTCAACTGTATTTGGAATCGAAGTACACGCCCCAAATGGTTCACACACCAATATGCAACGAAAACTTGGTAAGGTAAAATTAATCACGTCATCAGGTGCGGTCATTCGGTATGTTACCTGTTGTGAAAAAAAAAAAAAAAGCCAACTCACGCTGTCATCATCACTCTGCTGGCCTTCTCGAAACAACTGAAAGCAAAGGAAAGGAAAAAAAAAACTTTAGCCTGGTATATGAGAGTGTGCTGTAACATATAAATGCAGAGCATTCATTCTTGTATTCTTTTGACATGCTTATGCTGGATAAACATGGCTTTGAAATGAGCCCTGGTAAGGCGTCTTTCCTTAAAACGTGCCTACGTTTCTTCGTTGCTTTTTTTTTTTTTTCGCGCCGTGCAGGCTGCAATCAGACCTTGATTTTGCTCGCTCTCAAAACGATCACGATGAACCTACAAACACGCAGCCATGCAAGCCGCACATTATTATTTTTCTCTCAATATATCGCTTGTATTTAGAGGTTCAAAAATAAAAAAGTAAGGTTCTGTACGATACTGTGTTTTTTTTTCTTTTTGCAAAATATCTAGGGTATTTCAAACTTCATATTTCGTGACGCTGCATGGCTGTTGGTCGGCGTGACGATGCACATTTTTATGTGCAAGGTTTCACCCGAATCGCCGAGCCCCTGGCAACCCATTACGCCAATTGATGTTTCCGCGGAAAATGCTGAAAACGTTTCGAACCCGCATACACGTAATCTAATCACTCGCGGTGGCGACAGTAGTTAATGGTGATTTAATGATTATTTATTTTATTTATTTTTTAATTTTATTTACAAAATACTGTCAACCCTCCATGAGGGTTATTACAGGAGTGGAAAATACAAACATTGTACAAGCGAGGTAATGCAACGACAAGATATCCAAAAATTAAACGCACACAGTAGTAACATCTTACGTCAAGTGTCGCGATTGTGATTATTATGATGTGGAGATGGCATATTTGAGAAAGCGTGTAGCCCTGCTCGTGATGCGCAGACAATTTTTATCAACTGCATCTCGTTTAGTCCCAACAACTATAAGAAATGTCGCAGCGGACAGTACTCACTGAATCGAAGCGCGAAAAGTTTAGGGCAGCACTAACTTTCGTTTCCAGCGTCTGCTGTTTGTGCCAGATCGGGGTAATTTTGACTCATTATTAATTTTTGAGATTTAACGTCTCAAAACCGCGACCTGATTATGAGTGACGCTGTAGCAGAGGACTCCACATATTTCGATCATCCGGGGTTATTTAGCGTAAACATAAAGGCCAACGTTACTTTTAATGGCAAGATTATATGTGACTTAAGTCGCTGATCGCGAGCAGTTGCTCATGTAGGAGTAGTTAGACTATAGAACGAGGTGCGTTTCCATCCGTGAGTATACTGTATTTCATGTATAAGAATATGATGTTAGACTAAGGAATACTTGAGAGGAGAGACGCAACAGTTCAAGTTAATAGGCACCGTCGTTTCACGTTTTTTCTTTACTTCCCGGTACTCGCGAAACGCAGCATACCCTTTCCTTCATTCTCTCTCTCACTCTCGCTAATCGGGGAGGCCTACTCTTCCAGCCTTTAGAGCCCAAACTTGAGCAGAATAGAAAGGTTTAGTACTTGTTAGTGATCTTAAGTATAGGGGAAAGGAAGAGAAGAAGGAGGAAAAATGGAGCAACAGTGCTCGACAACAGTCTCTGCATTGGACACCTCAACCAAGACATTCGTAGGGGCTAGGCTAGAATTAAGGAAAAGAGAAAAGTATGAAGGAAAAGGTAGTGACTGCAGCGGAAGAAGGATCAGAAGAAGCGTGTGTTTAATCGTGTCGAGCCGCTAGATCATGTTCGAGTGCATTAGTACTTGTAAACACAAACGTGCATGGTGGGCGGGGCAGGAAGGCGGGGGAGGGGGGCGTCCGCACCTCCTAATCATCCTAAGGAGAGCGACTATTCTACCCTGTATCTTTTACTAAAGCCTTTTTACTAAAGCTTTTCGTGTCATTTTTAATGAGCAAGGTTATGGCTACACGTCTTCTTTGTGTTTTTTTTTTGACGATACTGAAGAAGAACAACTGATGTTGCTTTCAAGAAAGTGTTTACTTCCCGTTTGTGCCCCGAAAAGCGAGGTACATATGGCACAGCTTCTGTGAGAAGTGCGTCATCGATTCATTTCTGTTTCTTCTGTCTGTTGTGGGGTTCGTTTTCTATCAGACTCGACTGACAGGTGAGGGAAAGAACGCTGCGGTCACTCTCCCACCCCCACCCACCCACACACACACATACAGCCCCTTTTAAGACGATCAATGCGAAAGCGTATGGCTCAAGTGTGAGCACTTCTTCACGTCGTTTGGACGATATACGAGAGAAGTCCTAATGCGTCTGCTTCTTTCGTCTGTTGTCCAATCATCGTGAAGCACGTTAGCAACCCTAAGTGGCACCGTATTTTCGACTCCTGCACCGAATATGTTGTGGCTCATAAACGGCTACAGCTGGACCTGGGCACCGAATAACGGCGTCGTTGCGTACCTCTCTGTCCTCTTCGACGGGGAGGACAAGGACAGCGATCATTTCGGCGAAGAAGAGCAGGGCACCGATCAGGGGCACCATGTACGGCTCGCCCTTCAGGGTCAGCCACGAGAACAGCTGCAGCGCGCGCCGAGCGCACAGAAAGAGAGAGCGATATGTGAAACGACCTTTCGCTAATTGTGCTAATCTGAGTGCACGCTCCTTTCACAGGGCCGGGTTAACTGGCGGAACATGGGAGAGGCCTTTGTCCTGCAGTGGACGTAGTCAGGCTGATGATGATGAGTGCACGCATCTATGCTTACACTCGTACACAAAGAGGCACGAAGTCGCCTCGTAGCTATTTCAATACGAAAGCCACATTTTGAAATTTTTTTCGAAACGCGCGGAATTCATGTTGGAATGCGTTTAGTGTGACAGACACTGAAGGACAGAAGAGAGACAAATAACAACAGGGACGGGGGGGGGGGGGGAAGTCACAAGTTCCCAGGCCACTATCTTATCTATTTCTATGAAAGTGTGGCCTGCGAAATTTGGCTAACTTTGCACGTGAGACAACACGTCCACTCGCGCCACGTATAGCACGTACACCTGTTTTCTGTTCGTCGTCTACTGCCACACTAAGCGCATTTCAACGTGGGCCACCAACTACCCATTCATTGCTTTGCTAACCGCTACAAGGGTATGAACGTGAGCCGCGTTCACGCGACAGTGTGTAAGCATTGTTCCAATGACAAAAGGCCGTCCATTCTGGAAGCACACTGCAAACTCATCGCCATATACTTGCTATGCACATCTTCACACGGCAGTGCATTGCGATGCGAGTGACGAGCATATGCCCTTGTCTTCATGCATGCCTCTATATCTCTTTCGTGGTACCTCTTTCACACACACCTCTAAGCGTGCTTTCACAGTAATTACCTACATGCAGCTTCTTTGCCACCACTTTCAGGCTCCTCATCCCTTCCTAAGGCGTTAAAAGAATACCTGCTACGCCTCTTAGAGGTTGTAGTTCTTTACGAGGCTTCTTACCACGAGGGAGATGATGGACCGCGGTATGGACACCCAGTTGAAGCAGCCGATGAAAAAATCAGTTATCCGTTTGTAGTATTCGTAGAGAGCCTTCAGACGTGCCATGTTCCGGGTCAGGGCCTGCGTGCGTGTTTCGCCAACACTCGTGTTCACCTCTTAATGGACAATCGTTGCTCGACTTTACTACGAAACATATAGGCAGAGCTCTGCGTACAGAAGCACGTGAGACGGTTCAATGGATACTGTTTTAGCAAGGGTCAGGGGTGGGGTGTACAACCTCTTCCCCCTCATTTCCTTTTTCAATTTCGAATGCGCATATATTAACGCATTTATATAAAAAGATCATTATTGGAAAGCAAACGAGACAGCACACTCGAGAACGCAAACCAGTGCTATAGGTGTGCGCTGCCGAGTAATGTATATGTTCAAAATCGACCACATATCAGTTATGGGTTATAATAAGAATGCACGCACAAACTTGCCTAATGTCTGGTTACCCCTCTCACCCCTCCGAGAGGAATTCTAGGTACGCTCCTGGTGGAAGCATATAGCAACTGCCTTCTCCTGAGTTTCTACAACGTAAGGTTGTAAACATTATTGTATAAACGAGCTTATTTTTTATTCGTGGACGCCGCTACCTTGCCTTTTTATTACGCGAATGGTTTGCCAGTTCTGGTGTTGACATCAACTTCAGAACGTGACGGGGTCTCGAATGCATCTGAGTAACCGTTTCTAAGCGTATCACTCAACCGTAAAAAAAAAAAAAGAGACCGTTATTATATCAATGACCTCAGGCTTTAAACCTTCGCCGCCCTTTCACTGATATACCACCTCCCGCACTCCTATTTGTCTACGCGAAGTATTAGCTTTATTTCAACGCCACGATTAACATTGCGCATAATGAATGCGCAATGCTTTAGAGCAGATTATTCACGACGTTTTCGCAAATGGGTCAAGTTACGCGTATGCACTGCACGCTTCGTATGCGGGTATACACACACAGTTGATCAGCGTTCGCAGGCTATTTATTCCAGAAAGAAGAGCCTTAGCGCCAACACTGGAAATTTGTAAAAAGGCTTATCTATCGAGCTGACCGAGGCGCGTTCCTGGCCCGCAGACTAACTCTGCTTTTATACACGTCTTGGGCAAGGAGTGTGGGAAAACATTAACCATGCTCGGAAACTCCTCCGCCTGGGCTGCATTAGCCTGCCCCGTGCTGTGGTGTTCACATAATTTAGTTTTATTGTTTTTATCGCCATGTTATGTGCCGCCAAATCTCACGCTCACCTGCATTGTGACGGTATGCGTTTAGTCGGGCGAGACCTATTCAGCGTCAATTAAGGAAGGCCGTCTCGTTTCTCCCATCTGTAGCAACGAAGCTTACCTTAATATCTAGAGTATAACCACACACACAGTGTTGACCTCAGTGAACGGAATACCTACAGCCCTCGTCAGCTCCGTTTCGTTGAGCGCCGGTGGACCGGGACCTTTGTCCTTGAAGCAGCATATCAGAGCTTTCATCTGTGGAAACGAGATGGGACAATCATGGACGACATCTTTATTGGACGATCGAGAGTGAAAGATGAAAAGAAAAATACATGGTGTCATTGCAACAGCGGAGCTAAAATTATAATTTCTTAAATAAAGTATTAGCAATGCTAACCGACATTAGAAATTGCCAGTTAACGTTAGATAATGCTGGTAATAAGCGAGAAAGTACAGCAGCTTTCTTAAGGCATCTCAAGTGCGGCTAAAAATTATCACCGGCATTGCTGTAGACAACATAGGTCTCCGAGTACACTGTACAAGAAATCCATAAATGTCGCTTCAACAATAATACTGTATAACTATGCACTGCTGTTCGCATAGTTCAGGTAATAAGCGCGGTAGCTGCAGTTGGCGGCCGCTCAAGGTTGCAAGACTTTATAATACGCACCACACAACGAAACTTTCCCCGCTTGTTTTAGATCCAGGACATCACGTTGCCGTCTTTTTAAGAATGACAGCCTCCGAATACATCCACAGATTTTTTTTTGTGCTGTATACACACGATATTCATGGTTCCAGTGAAAACAGACAATGCGACTTAAGCCACGGTTCGAAGGCGGGCCCCCACGTACCGGATTGTATATGAGGTCTATTTCGAGCAGGATGAATCCTCCCGTGGTATTGTCGAGGTTCTGGTCCTTGAGCGCGTACCATTGCTTCTTTCCCGAGTCCACCTGGAAAGAGGTCAAAGCCCAGCTTTTGTACTGGTAGGCTTTATAGAGCTTATTTATTTATTTATTTATTTAACTGTACCTCACTGGCCCCATGGGTGCATTGAGTAAGGGAGCATCATGAAACAAGACAGAATAAACTGATCGGTTACATTTGTCTTCTTTTGTTGTGTGATGTATCGATACATGAGTGCGAAAAGAGTATATTTATATACAATAATAACCTGCTGGCAAAGCAATGCAACAAATAGAACTAAGTGGCGAAAGTACTAACAACACTCATAAAAATAATGAGAAAATGATACTCATAATTGCAAAAGAAGCGGTGCATTGATCATGTAAAAATGCATGGAACTCATGATAGAAGTAATGTCTGTTGCGAAAAAAAAATGCTTAGCAGAAAAAAAACAAGGCGTTGTTTCGGCGAAAGGAGGAAGTGATGAATGTGACAGCAACAAGCTGTAATGTCATACGAAGTGAAGTATAGTTTAACAACAATTAACCTACTAGCCTGCTGCAACTTACTACTGAAGTGACCTATCCGCTCAGCGACACCTGGAGTGACTGTAACAAAACACCGGCGCAAAGAAAGGCACTGCGCACGAGCGAAGCAACCTTCTTGCTGTCTAAGCCCAAAATACGCGGCAAAAGCACTGCACATGCTAGGGTATGATCCTCCTGCTAATATCTGTCAAGATAACGCACGCGCGACCACACCTTTTGATCAATGTGTGCAATGCCCGCCAGGGCGAAGCATTTTTTAACGCTCTAATCGCCGTTCAACTGAAGGGCAGTTCATAAGGTTCATGCATACAGGGTGAATATCTTCTCAATGTCCCGGGCTATCTCCGGATTTTACTTGCACAACCCTCTTCCAAGGTTGCCTCGACCGGCCGCGAACATCCGTCCCGTATGTTTTTGTGCTCAGAAAGTCAGCGCCAGCTATAAAGAAAGGCAAGACAACAACCTCAGCGTTACACTTTGCGTTATATTTCTCTCCTAGTTATTTGCCCTCTTTGTAAACTTGCGTGACCCATTTTGTTCTTTCGACCTTGTAGACGTGTGGCACCACCTCACCGATATCAGTGGGAAGGCCACAGTGCCGAGGAACTCCTGCTTTTTGACGTCCGTGAGCACGGTCACTTGAAGCACGGCGTGGATGTCCGTCACCTTCCTGCAAGCGCCGAATGGCGAACGTTGGGATTATGGGCAACATCACCCGGTGCATCATGGCGGCAATGAGAGGGCCACCTTGGCGTTCGCGAGCGTGACATAGTTACACTCGACTTGTAGCTCGTCATGTGACGAGATTCTACAATTGCATCGGTCGCTACATTACCGCTGACAAGATATGGTACTCCGGAATCGCTCCTGAACCTCACTTTTGCGTGTAAACAAGAGCCCACACCCACAACGCCATTTGACCGCGAGACAGCGGCTCGCAAAAGAAGGGACTGCATGCTGTATATCACGAATAGCGAAGATAGTAATGTAGATGATGGCAAGCCAACAAGAAACCCTGAGAAAGACAAAAAACAGCCCCGCCGCGATGGCCTAGTGGCTGAGGTACTCGGCTACTGACCCGCAGGTCGCGGGATCAAATCCCGGCTGCGGCGGCTGCATTTCCGATGGAGCCGGAAATGTTGTATGCCCGTGTGCTCAGATTTGGGTGCACGTTAAAGAACCCCAGGTGGTCGAAATTTCCGGAGCCCTCAACTACGGCGTCTTTCACAAATCATATGGTGGTTTTGGGACGTTAAACCCCACATATCAACCAATCAATCATACACAAAAAACAACAAAATTAAACCTTCGAGAATATGTCCTTTAATGCTTAGTACACAAGCGACATGCCATGCTTCTAGACGACTGTATAGCTTTCTTTAAGAAATAGCTGACAGGCCAGTCACATCATGGACACTGCAGCACGTGTCTCGCCTTCCTCTGTTGTCTGTGTTTCGGTGTATGTGATGGAGTGTTGTCAAAAACTCTTATCAATGTTATATATATATAACGGCAATGGCAGTGGCATGCTAAATCTTTAAGACAATGAGCGTGTGACAAGCGTTTATCTTACAAGCGGTACATGGTGCTCCACGTGGGATTGATGGTCTTGGGGTCGCCCTTGTTCCACAGCATCTTCGGTGACAGCTCGACCACGCAGATTGCATTCAGGTTGCTTTCGCTGCCTGGCGGCGCAATGGTGCTGGCACGGTGTGCTAAAACGACCGAAGCAGTGAGTGAACGAGTACCGTAACACTCGGCGGCGGAATGAACTTAAGTGGAACAAGATCGAACTGTGAGTCTTAGGGGTCGTAAATTGCATGGGACATATGACGTGAGAACACCGCAAGAACGAGAATACCGCCTTTCCTGTATTAACCATTATCTCTTTCATTGTTTCATTGAATTCTAAATTAAAAAAAAAGGCCTTGTCCACTTAAAGTACAAACATATATTCGCTGATTAAGGCTTAATCGTTAGGCAAAGCGTAATGTGCGTGCATAGACGAGCATATACGTTAGCGAGGAAAAAAATGCTGTAACTTTTTTGAAGGAGTTCAACCTGTGACGCATTGGCAGAAATTGGCTTCGGGATGGGGCACGTCCTTGATTGACATGGGTTCGGGGTAGGTGAAAATGATCGAGCGTCATTTCGTGCTCTGTATCTTAGGGGAGAAACAAAATTGGCGAGAGAGGGTAGTCTGAGCTTATTGAGCGAGCCCCTGGATAAGCGACTGGGTTGAATGAAGCGTTGGGATTGCACTGTGCTGGAGGACCTTGGCATCAATTTCATGTAATTTCCCCCTCACCTTAATGAATTTAGCAACACTTACATTTTTTGCTATTGGTGTCGGCCGACAGCACATGGTCAGAATGCGCAAATGTGGAGTCGCCTGTTTTATTAGAGTAGGTGGACTAATTGTAGCTCAACGAACCGGGCCTGTTTGGACAGGATGGAAGCGAATAGAACACCTCGCGTGTTGGCTCTTTCTAAGTAAAACTGAATCAGTAAAATTCAGCACACACGCACATGACATATCGAAGTGGCTAAATGAATGGGACTTTCGAAACGTAGCATTATTACCGTAGCCCTCTTTCGCGAGTCCTCTCATGCTGTCTTGCATTGAACAAGTCGTCTTAGGAGTGGCTATACACATCGCGTGCCTATACCCTCGTACTTATTTTCTGGCGTGCACGTCGTCACTCGAAGAGCAGAGGACGTCCCACACTTATAGCGACCTTGTTAGAGCGCATGGGACGTATTGCGTACCTAAGACGATTACTTCGCCGATGTCGTGTACCTCGCCTCCGACGCTCCACCGTTCCTGCAAACGATAGAAAGAATATGCGGCAAGGTTTTATACTACATGATTTTTTTTACTGTAGTCTGCATGAAGCGTTATTAGCGTACATTATTGGGTGACAGGGATGCCGCGATGCCTTAAGCCAAGGTAGCGTGCGCACAAGGGGCGCAAGAGGGAGGGTTCCACTCCTTTCCCTTCTGGTCTTCGCACTGTGTATTATCGCAAGGGCTCACGAGGGTCAGGGCCCTGTAGTAAAGCTTCGCCCGAATGAGGAACACTACGCCCGCCTATGGTTATAGGCACTATCATTGTAGTCTAACCGCATTGGCTCGTATGTCATACGGGCAATACGCTAGAGCAACGAGCAACGTCGCTCAAGTGAACTTTTCCACAAGACACATGTCTTCGTCGAGGCCATGGCAACTTTCGGCGCCTCAACCCTGCATCTTCTACTACCTCTTCTTCACCGAAGCTTCGACTTGGGGCTAGTTGGTACGACTGAGCGCAAGACACGAAAGGCTAAAACAGGACACACCTGTCCTATTCCCTTTGACCTTAGTCCATTTCGCTCCGCGCAATGAGTACCTGTGCTAATGATATCTTTATGTAGGCCTGTTACACGTTCATTGGGAGTTTTGTTTTTGTCGTCGTATAGCGGCTATGCACGAAAACAGTGTTCAAGTCAGACGTATATATATATATATATAAGACGAAGAGGGCGGACTGTACTTACGTAGGTGTCCGAGATGCGCTCCCGAATGAGCGCCAGCGTCGCTCGTGTGGGGATGTCGCAGACCTCGGCGAAGTCCTTGGCACCCACCCTATCCAGGGCCATGCGGAACTTGATGGTGCCGGCGTTGTCGTCCAAATCCTGCTTCACTTCGTACATGGAGCCGTACTGGTAGTCGGCAAGGTTTATGTTGAACCTGCGAGACCAATGCGAGCTCCAAGGGTGAGCCACACCGTAATGAAAACGACGCCCAGCACGCCTCCTGTAAGGCACGTACTTGCGCCAACTTCGAATAATAACGACCAGAAATTATGGGCGAGTGCTTCGAAATGTGTGCAAGGGAGTAAAAAGTCGCCGATTTCGGTACATACACTATAGCTACAATGCACTCAACTGTGGCATGCACATAATAAAGACTGTCGGGATCTTTATTTAATATTGACGTTATTGCTCTCGTAAGGTGAGGTCACTTAGGTTAAACAATACCACTGAGTGCGTTCCAAACTCTTCGGGACAGCTTCATAAATTTTTAATGTTTGACACAATAGAGCGATATTGATAAAACAAGGTAGTTAACCAGAAATTAACCCATACCTAACAGCCTTTTTATTCAGAATACTCCTTCATGAGTGGCGCCGCAAAAAAGCAGTTACATACGTGCAGAAGTGCCAACGCATGTTCATATACATACATATACATACATACATACATACATACATACATACATACATACATACATACATACATACATACATACATACATACATACATACATACATACATACATACATACGTACGTACGTACATACATACATACATACATACATACATACATACATACATACATACATACATACATACGTACGTACGTACGTACGTACATACATACATACATACATACATACATACATACATACATACATACATACATACATACATACATACATACATACATACATACATACATACATACATACATACATACATATATACATACATACATACATGTGTGATCCATACTTATGTTTCTTCGCGGCATTAGCACCCGCGTTTTGCTAAGGCAACGCTTAAAGCGAGCGTGGTAACCGAAGTTAACACGCAAATTTGCTCCCCTCACACACCTGAGCCCCGTTTTCGAATGACACTTGCTAATAAAGTGGTGGCTATATCGCTCTTGTTCCCAGTACTGTGCTTATTTTTATATATAATGGAGACGCCTCCTTTTACCCCGAGAAATACTTATTAGTGATGCAGCTGCTTAATAGAATGACGGATCTCTCTTGATACTCTTATTCAAAATCAACTTATTTTTTCTTTTTTAAGGTTCATTACCTATTCTTGACCACTCTAGGTTTCCAAGGCGAACGAATTAGCTATGCGCGTTCAGCCTGAGGCAAGCTATAATCAGTGAATATACATGAACGAGCTTGACTCTATATAGGAGCAAATCGGGGTACTAAATCTTAGTCTATCGTGCTCGCCTCTCCTGCTTATAACGCATGCATTTGCCGTTGTATTTTGCCTCCAGAAATTGAAAAATAGAATGTGAAAAGCTTCTTTGTATCTATTGTTATTTTACGTCTTCATCGTTCTCAGCGCCACTTGTTTCTTTGGCTTCGTCTCTCGGAAACTTCTTGCCGAATTGCCTCGGAAAATTCCCGTAACAATGCTTTTTAACCGAGAGTGCACAGTGAACGATTTTTCATGTCCTTTGTGTGATGAAGGAGCCAAAATTTTTTTGTTCTACCTAGGTTACAATTACGATTAACATTTTTGTTTCCGAGGTAGACGGATTCGATGTGTCGTAAGGTAAATTTTTCTATAATGCTTGCACGAGAAAATTTCTAAATTAGAGCTTTTGTTTCAAATATTAGTGAGGATATTTTATGAATCCAGGTTCGACAGCTCACACTTTGCTCAGAAACGATCTAAAGCAATAATTTGTACTTTACGGAGCACTACGAACGTCTAATGGATTCTGTGGGTTTTACATTGCTTTGTATGCTGAGGTTAGTTAGCTAAATAGGCCTTAAACAAAGACGGAGCTATTTGTGATATCTTGGAAACTAATTATCACAGAAAAAGAAAACACCTGAATACTTGTAATCGGTTTACAAAAAATCCGTAAACTCTGCAAGTTGCATAAAAATGGATCAACACTGTAATAAAAGAATCATAATTTAGCGATACCTGCCGATGAAGTCGGAAGTTGCCGTGGGGTCCTTGTCCATGATCATAACCTGCAGAAGGAGACTGTTGCCCACCGGCACGAAAATGTCGAATGGCTCGTTCCACACCGGATCGTTGGTGTCTTCCATAACCTGCAAGGGCAAGCGCACTGTAACGACACTTGTCCCCGCACGCCGCTCAGACCAAAACGTTTACGTTTGCCTCCTGCGAAAGATACACCGGTAGAAGAATGTTGAATGTGCATTTTCGATGGAGGCGGAAGTGTTGTATAAGACAGTGTGCTCAGATTTGGGTGCGCGTTGAAGAATCCCAGGTGGTCGAAATTTCCGGAGCCCTCCACTACGGCGTCTCTCATAATCATATATGGTGGTTTTGGGGCGTTAAACGCCACACATCAATCAAAGCGCTTGAGTGAGGCACTGTAAGCACAAACGCCTGTGCACGAAAACAAATGCGACATCCGAAGATGCACGAAAATAAACGTTTATGAATGCACTTAAACCGTGTGTACCTTTTTTAGCTTACTTACTAATTAACTCACCGCATGAGTACTTATGTTTTTACCTTCAAAACATCCACTTCTTCCTTAATCAACAGCACACGGGAAATTCCACTTGAATCTAACTACACACTTTGGCTGGCTGCCAGTTCCTTAAAGTGTTTGAGTCGACATAGCCGCGACCCTCCGTCATATTTTTCTCACACGTCACAGTTAACCGCACGGTCAATCTTAATCACAACGATGGACCCTGTGCATTAAAAAACCACCATATGCTACTCACGCGACTAATACGGGTCCAGTGACGTAGCCAGAGGGTGGCGCACCAGGCCCGTGTTCCCCCCACCCCCTCCAGCCCTCCAAAATTATTTTTGTTTGCCCTGACACAAACAGCACAAAATGACACTCGACAACATTTGACTGGCCTTCAGATCAAGAAGGTACCCACCTCCTCCCACATCGAAAACAATTTTCTGCCTACGCTCTTGTGCGCGTCCTCTGAATGGTACGCTTCCGTGACCGCCATGTTTCGATATTGCTGTCTTGCAAAAACATTATATTTGCGTAAGACAGCTGGCGGTTGATTGTTTAGACTCATTTTGATAGACTACTGCCGGGCACGAACCGTAGCTTCCACAAATGTCTCCGACACGAGGCCTTGCCGGAGCTAATCGCGGAGGTCAGGCATGAACAATTTTACCGCATCCACTTGCCATTCAGGGGCCAGCAATATGAAAGGTTCTCCTTCGAGTGCTCAATTTAGATTGTACGGTACTGAACATAGGGCTCACCTTACTAACGTACTTCTCGTTGCCCAGCTTGAAGACGACGTAAGGAGAGCAGGATTCCCTGTCATCCACGGGATCCAGATCCAGGGCTTTGAGCAAGAGGAAT